ATAGCCTGACTGTTTCATGTGTGCCAAGGACCCAGCCGGGCTGACATCCCAGGAAACCTTGGGGCTCTCCCTGGAATCTGTGGGTCCCACGTGGTGTTTTGTCACGTAGCTCGTGTTGCAAAGTAGGGTCCAAACCAGGCCAGGCCTGAGCCGCGCATTGCTTGCATCTCCAGTCCCCATCAGAGGCCGGCCCACGTTATCTGCTGCATTTCAGCATGAAATGCTGAGCCGGCCGCACACGGCTGTGCAGATGCGATGGGGGCAGCTGGCTACAAATTCCCCTACGAGTGGCACCCGCAGGCCGGCCTGCCCCTCCTTGCCTCAGCCCTGCCCGGCTCTGCCACTTGGGCCTCACCTCACCCCGTATGTCCTTCTGTACTAGTGACCACATGGGACCTGGAGCCACTATGATCAAAGTAGCGTAGGACAGCAGGCGTGCCCTAAGCTACTGCCCACTAAGCTACTGTTGCTAAGCATATAACAGAGTGGACCCTTTCTGTGGGCAGCAGGAGGCGAACGATGGGCTTGTTCTGTATCCCCGATTATGGTGGTAGTCACTTGATCCAGACCTAAGTCATAATTCATCTTTTACTGTATGTTAATTTTTTAGAAGTCAATATGCCTGCATGCTGATTTTTTTCTTTTTTTAAGATAGGAAGATCCTGCCTATGAAGATCTGCCTGGTCACTTAAGTGTTTGAGGTGCTAAAAAATCTGAATGAGTACTCAGGGTTTTGAGTATTCTCATCAGTGTGATTAATTGGTCAATGCTGCTAAAGTTTAGGGGTTGTTATCTGCCAAATTTGTGCAAGAAGAGGCCACAGCAGTTGTTAAAAAATACAAATACAGAAAACAATGAGATACCACGACCCATGCCCCGGTGGAAATGCAAAACTGGTGCAGCCACTTTATAAGATTATTTGGTGGCTTTCTGCAAAGCTAAACATACTCTTACCATGCAATCCAGCAATCATGGTCCTTGATGTTCACCCAAAGGAGTTGAAAACTTACATCCACACAAAAACCTGCACGTGGATGTTTACAGCAGCTTTCCTCATAATTGCCAAAATCTGAAGGCAACCAAAGCAACTCAAGATGTCCTTTAGTAGGTGAGTGTATCAGACAACGGACTATTATTCAGTACTAAAAAGAAATGAGCTGTCATGAAAAGACATGGAGGAAACTTAAATTTGTGTAAGTGAAAGAAGCCAATGAGAAAAGGCCACACACTGTATGACTCCAACCATATGACATTCCTGAAAAGGTAAAACTACAGACAGTAAAAAGGTGAGGTGCTGGGGACAGAGGGATGAACAGGCAGGTGGCATGAAGGGGATTTTTAGGGCAGGAAAGCTCTGTGAGGTAGCGTCCACACTAGCGGATTCATCTTATCAATATTGGTTCATCATTTGTAACAAATGTCCCAAATGAATGCCTGGTGCTGGGGAGCCTGGGTGTGTGTGTGTGTGTGTGAACTCCTACTTTCAGCTCGATTTTTCTGTAAACCTAAAACTGTTCTAAAAAACAGTCTGCAAACTACTATAAATGCACATGAAGTTTAACACAAGAGCTGCTGGTTTATAACTCCACTGATTCGATTTGCAGTTTCTGTGTAAGGATTTCGGAAGCGCTGGTTGTAGAAGAGCCGAGGCAGGCTCTGGTCTCCCGCCTGTAGAAACGCACAGGAAGGCCCAGGCGCCCCAGGCCCTAGTCTCTCGCGGCCGCAGTGCCCCAACCCCAACCGGCCTGCCGCTCCCCGCGCCCTGCCGCGTCCCAAGACTGGGGAAAGGTTACTCAGTTCGCGGCTTCGGGTGGCCTCGGCCTGGGTCCCCTCCAGGCCCTCTGGACAGCCTCATCGGTACTCCGCTGGCGCCTCTAAACTTCGCACAGGCTGTTCCCCCGCAGGTTCCGCCCCCCGCCCCCACAGAGGTCCCCCGGTCCCCGGGCGCCCGATCCCCGCCGGCCTGCCAAGGGGCGCCACCGCGGCGCTAGGGGCGGGCGGGCTGCCGGGGCGACAGCTGNGCTGGTGAGGGGCTGGCGGCGGACGAGCAACGCGGTGGGGAAGCCCCCCGACTCCAGACTAATCCTGACTTGGGGTGGGGGGCAGCGAGCAGGACACAGAGAACAGCACAGCCTGGACCGAGTCCGCGGAGGGCCCGCTCTGCCTGCTGTGGTCGGACGCGCCCACCCTGCGGGCTTGGTGAGCAGTAGCCCTCCCCCCGTCCCTCCTCCAGCGACTCCCTCCCTGAGGCGCCCTGGGTCTCGGGCACAGCCGCGGTCCAGGAGCCTGGGAAGGGGATGCTGCGGCGCTGGTGACCAGAGAGGCCTGCTGTCCCCAGGCGGGCGTGGGCTCCCGCGCCAAGTCCCCAACCCTTAACCCGGCTGTCTTTGCAGGGCGCCCCTGAGGCCCCCCGAGGATCAAGACTGGTCTTTCCAGCTGCCTCTTGCACTGAAGGCAGGGGTCATGGTGTCCAAGCCGGCCGTCCCGACTGCTGAGGGGACCCAATGAGGCCCTGAGGAAGAAGGACCCTCCAGGGGGGCCTGGACAGAGGAGGGGGTGGGAGGAGGGGGAGGGATTGCATTTGGCACCAATAAAGGAGGAATTCAGACCCTAGCCCCGTGAACTCTCTCTGTGCACTGCGGTCTGGTACCCTCAAAGCTCTTGTGGGGCGCGGCTGTCCAGGGAAGGAGGATCCTGTCTCTGGAGTCTAGGGCTGTGGCCACGCCCAGCTGTCCTTTAAACCTGGGAAGCCAGAGAGGAGCTTCATCTGCCCATTTCCTTATCTGCTGCCCATCCCCTGGGCTCCCTGGAAGCTGGCTGCACCACTGTCATCCACACAGCAAACGTTCAGAGACCGTGGGGGGCTCACATGTCCCCCAGCTCCTTTCCCAGGGAGGGGGGCAGTGGTGAGGGGGCAAGGGTGTTGTTCCTCAGTCGCTCAGTCGTGTCTGACTCTCTGAGACCCCATGGACTGCAGCACACCAACCAGGCTCCCTTGTCCATCACCAACTCCTGGAGCTTGCTCAAACTCATGTCCATCGAGTCGGTGATGCCATTCAACCATCTCATCCTCTGTCTTCCCCTTCCCCTCCCACCTTCAATCTTTCCCAGCATCAGGGGATTTTCCAATGAGTCAGCTCTTCGCATTAGGTGGCCAAAGGAATGGAGTTTCAGCTTCAGCATCAGTCCTTCCAATGAATATTCAGGGTTGATTTCCTTTAGTATTGACTGGTTTGACCTCCTTGCAGTCCAAGCGACTCTCAAGAGACTTCAATACCACAGTTCAAAGGCACCAATTCTTCGGCACTCAGCCTTTTTTATTGTCCAGCTCACAGCTGGACATGAAAAACCATAGCTTTGACTATATGGACCTTTGTAGGCAAAGTGACATCTCTGTTTTTCAATATGCTGTCTAGGTTTATCATAGCTTTTCTTCCAAGGAGCAAGCGTCTTAATTTCATGGCTGCAGTCATTGTCTAGAGTGATTTTCGAGCCCAGGAAAATAAAGTCTCTCTTTTTTTCCATTGTTTCCCCATCTATTTGCCAGGAAGCGATGGGACCAAATAAGCAGGGTAACAATACATAACCTTGACGTACTCCTTTCCCAATTTTGAACCAGTCCATTGTTCCATGTCTGGTTCTAACTTGCTTTTTGACCTGCATACAGGTTTGGCAGGAGGCAGGTAAGGTGGTCTGGTATTCCCATCTCTTTAAGAATTTTTCCACAGTCTACTGTGATCTGCACAGTCAAAGGCTTTGGTGTAGTCAATAAAGCAGAAGTAGATGTTTTTCTGGAATTCTCTAGCTTTTTCTATGATCCAATGGATGTTAGCAATTTGATATCTGGTTCTTCCGTCTTTTCTAAATCCAGCTTGGACATCTGGATGTTCTCGGTTCACATACTCTTGAAGCCTAGCAAGGGGCGAGGACGGGGCAGGGAGGCTTAGCCTAGCAGGAAGAGGTGACAGGCAGGAGACGTTGCCCAGGAGGCCACTCCCCAGTGGGAGGACCTGAGCATGATCTCAGCCCCACAGCCCAGCCTGCTGTCTGGCCGAGCGCCTTGACCACCCAGGGCCTGTGGGTCAGGGCCGGTGACAATACCCCAAGAAGTGCTGGGGTTGCAGGAGGCCTTGGAGGACCAGGGGTGCAGGCAGGGCTGTTTCAGGAAGGTGTTTCAGGCCAGGAGGTGGGGAAGACTCCACCCCACACTGTATCATAGCAGGCCTTTCTCCCCTTCTGGACCCCACCCTTTGGTGTCTCCCACCTACCAAGCTTAGGTGGCCAAGGAAATGGAGGCAGGATGCTTGGGGACCTGGGCTAAGGTTCTTCACCAGGATGCCCCTCTGTTGGCACCCAGGGTGCACCCCCAGAGCTGCCAGCTGCCCCTGGAACACTGCCATCTCTGTCACTGTGGGCTCACCCAGCCTTGCCTGGAGGAAGCCAGCTTGTTTCTGGGACAGGCAGGGGAGTCCCTGGGACACGAAAAACCTTCCCCTTCCAGACCTAGAGGGTTGAGTAGGGGAGAGGAGGTGGGCCTGGACCTCACGGGGCTAACTACTGGCTCTGTCCTGTGATGGTTCTGGCAGAGGAGCCCAGCAGAGGGGCATCCCACATGCGGGGGACACAGTGAGCACAGAAGCCAGTCCCCCCCCCCCCCCCGGCCCTCCAGTCCAGGCCCCGGTTCCCAATTCCCCTGCCCAGCTGTGAGCTCCTCTGTCTCCGGGTCTGTGGGGCGAGCACCGTCAGCCCCTGCACGTGGCCTGGATCTGGTCTCCCCCTCTTGGCGGTCAGAGGGGCCTGGCCGGCGGCCTACGGGGGCCCCCTTGGTGGAGGCCAGGCCTGTGGCCTGGCGGTTGTAAAGGGCCATAAAGTGGGGCGGTGCCTGGCGGGGGCGAAGGTCACCCGGGAGGAGACTGCGCCAGGCAGCACCGGCGGCTCAGCGGGTCCTGGATAGCAGACGGGCTCGGACCCTCCACGGGCCGCCCGCCGCCACCGCCCAGATGGGGATGTGGGTCCTGCTGCTCCTTCAGCGGGCAGGGGGCTGGGCGGGGCGAGCGGGGCTGGCAGCACCGACCCTTCCTCCCCGACGTCCAGTCTGCTCCGTGAACAAGACGTCCCTCACAGTCAAGGAGAACACGAACCCCGGGGAGCCCCTCCTGGACATCTACGTCCCCGAGGGCCAGCAGGTGGCTCTTGGACCCTCGTCCACCCTTTTTGCGTTTCGGATCCAGGGTAATCAGCTGATTCTCAACGTGACCCCGGACTATGAGGTGCGGACAGTGGACCCAGGTTGGCTGTGCCCGTGGGGGCGGCAGGGACGCCCTGTGGGACCCGCCTGGGCACTGACACTCCTTCCCAGAGAGGGGCTCTCTGGGCATCTCTGGGTCTCAGTTTGCCCAGGGGCCCTCTTGGGCCCCCAGGCTTGGCTGAGGGCCTGGTCTCTGGGTGGGCCCCTCAGGGAGTGAAGCTGCTGGGCCCTGATGCCCGCTGGACGCGGGGCAGGGGACGGGACCCTGAGCCAGCACCTGCCGCGCCCCGTCTCCTCAGCTGGGAGGTGGGGACAGTCGGTGGGGCCAGCCGGTCAGGGGAGTCCCACGCCCACCCCCTCACAGGCGAACGCAATGCTGCTGGCTCACATGGAGTGCAGGAGCGGGGATGCAGTGGTGAGTGGCCCCCAGACCCCTCCCACCACCCCCGAGCCCACCCGCCCCTGACGTCAGAGTGCCCTGGCCTGGGCCTCCGTGCCCCACCCTGCCTGGCCGCGGCCACTCCCTGCTGACCCCGCCCGGTGGCGTGTGTTCAGATGTCACCTCTGTGCCAGCAAGGCCACACTGCCTCCAGCGGACTGTGCCTTGAGCTCCCAACCCCAATCCAGTGGGTCCCCCAAGCCCACACTCCCCCCGTGGGCCCGCCCAGCCTAGGGCACGGCAGGAGGAAGACTCTCTCCTGTAAAGGGATCCCGAGCTGGGTCCCTGCCTCCCGAAACAAGCGAATCAAGGCAGAGCGGTGTCCGCCCCCAGCCGGCTCCCCGGATAGACACGTCCTCAGAGAGGCGCCCACCCTCACGCTCCCTCCCCTGTAGCAGCGGGCTCTTCGGTTTTCCCTGAGTCACGTGGGTGCCCGCAGCCGACATCACAGCGCACCACGGAGACCTCAGGATGAGCCTCTAAAAGATAAGGCTGCTTCTTAACAGCTCTGCTCCCACTGTGATGCTGTCACCCCAGGGAAGGCAGGGACCCCTCAGCAGTGTGACACCCCTCGTCCCCACTTCCCTGGGGCCAGAGGCATCTGTGAGAGTTTCTTATGCCAGCAAGGCCCACCTAGGGCAGCTGCTGAGGTTGCTCTCGCGTCCCTTTCACTCTTCCGGTTTCCTGATTTCCCGTTTCATGTTTGAAGAAATTTGATTGTTTTGCCATTTTCCTCATTTTGGGGCTTTGCTGGTCGCACCCCAGAAGGCCTGTGTTATTTTTCTCCAGGTCATCCACACCTCTGTCTGTACTTTTTATTTATTTTTAATCTTTATTTTTATTTATTTACCTGCACCTGGTCTTAGTTGTGGCACACAGGGTCTTTAGCTGCCGCATGTGGGATCTATTAACAGTTCCCTGAAAGAAAAGAAAGTGAAAGTCGCATCTGACTCTCTGTGACCCGGTGGACTATATAGTCCATGGAATTCTCCAGGCCAGAATACTGGAGTGGGCAGCCTTTCCCTTCTCCAGGGGATCTGCCCAACCCAGGGATCGAACGCAGGTCTCCCGCATTGTGGGCGGATTCTTTGCCAGCTGAGCCACAAGGGACTGGGGATCAAACCCCAGGCCCCCTTCGTTGGGAGCTCGGAGTCTCAGTCACTGGACTACCGGGGAAGTCCCGCACTTCTGTGCTGTTAAAATCACTTTCTGTTCCCTGTCTGTAACGCCTGGAGCAGGAGCCCCAGGCGGAGAGCTGTCTGGGGTGCACCCCAGCATCCGGGATGAGCTCACCTGGCCTGGCCGGGGACCTTCTCCCCCCAGGTGACTCAGCTGAAGGTGTTTGTGTCCGTGCTGGATGTCAATGACAACCCGCCCAGGTTCCCCTATGAGACCAAGGTCTGGGAAGTGCCTGAGGTGAGCGGGAGGGGGCGGTGGCCGGTACCATCTGGGGCATCTGGAGGCCAGGGTCTGAGCCTGGGGGTCAGGGTTGTGGGGCATGTGGAGGCCAGGGTCTCAGCCTGGGGGTCAGGGTGATAGGGCATCTGGAGGCCGGGGTCTGAGCCTGGGGGTCAGGGTCACGGCCAGACCAGCCCATCTGTCCCCCAGGACACTCGGGTGAACACCACCATCATCTCAGAGACAGAATTGGAGGCCCAGGACCAGGACAAAGACGATGTCCTTTTCTACACCCTCCAAGAGGTCACCCTGGTCAGTGCTCCCAGCCCCCTGCTCTGGGCACTGCCCTCCCACCCCCACCGGTGCATCCTCCCCAGCTGAGTCCCCCACCTCCCCAGGGTGCCAGCAGCTTCTTCTCCCTGGTGGGTGTGAACCGACCAGCACTGCGGCTGGACCGGTCGCTGGACTTGGAGAGGTGGCCGAACATGACCTTCCGGCTGCTGGCCCGGGTGAGCAGGCCGCTCCTGCCCACGGCCCTGCGCGCGGCCTCAGCCCCCAGCGCCCGGGCCTGACTGCAGGGCGGGGCTGTTGCAGGACACACAGGAGAACTTGGAGCCCAGCCACACAGCCACAGCCACCTTGGTCCTGGAGGTGCAGCCCGTCGACCTGCGGCCCCCCTGGTTCCTGCCCTGCAGCTACTCAGATGCTTTTGTCTGCATCCATGCCCAATACCGTGGGGCTGTGCCCACCGGCCACAGACTGGTACTGGGGACCCCAAGAAGCAGGGTGGCAGGGGCACGGGGCCTGGCTGCTGGGGGCCGGAGTGCTTGTAATTTTCAAGGAAGAGTGAACATTCTTTCCTAAACCAATCTTGCCCCACGCCGTGGTGGCCAGGGCCTCTGAAATGCCAGTGAGGGAACTGGGTCCAGTTGTCCTCAGGACACAGCCAGAGAGCCTCCTGGGACCCAGCGAGTGGCAGTGAGCTGGGGGAGGATGCTGGGGAGGCTTGGGGGCCATTGAGGCACCCTCCCATCCATGAGTGCTGCCTCTTGAGACAGACATGCATGTTCAGATTGATCCAGTGTCTCTGGGCAAACTGACTCATTAGCACCAGATCCAAGGAGCTGCGGTGGAGAGTCGTGCTGGACGACTGGGCTGTGTCCCTGGCTGCCCACTGGTAGCGAACCCCGGCCTCCTGGAGGGGCGCAGGGATGCCAAGCAGTGGCCACAGCACCAGCCCCACCGGGTCCTCACCCCTCCTTGTTCCCACAGCCAGGCCCCCTCATCCTGCATCCTGGGCCCGTCTATGCTGTGGACGGGGACCGGGGCATCAACCAGCCCATCAAGTACAGCATCATCAGTGGTGAGTGGGCAGCAGCCCCCAGCTTCCCTCTCCAGGGAACACCTTGAGCCCATCCCTACGTGGGCAGACCTCAGGCCTCCAGAGGGGACCCAGGCCAAACACTCCCTCCGTCCTCTCAGGAAACGAGGACAGCACATTCTCCATCAGTGCCAACTCGGGCAACCTCACCATGACCAAGAGCATCCCCAACGCCAAGACCTTCCTTCTGGTGGTCAAGGTTCGTGCCCGCACGAGGCCCTGCTTGGGCCCACGGCTATAGAACACGCTGTTCAAGGACTAGCTGGTCACTGTTGTCTCCCAAACCCCCAGGGCGAGCAGGCTGATAACGCCCGATACTCCGTGACCCAGGTCACGGTGGAGGCCCGGAACGCCAACGGGAGTGTGCCCCACTTCACCCAGAGCCTGTATCGTGGCACTGTGGGGCTTGGCTCCGGGGTGGGCGTGGTCATCAAGGATGCAGCTGACCCCTCCCAGCCGCTGAGGATCCGGGCCCAGGACCCTGAATTCCCAGTAGGCACCGCCTGTTCCTTTGGTCTGCCTGGCCTCCTGCTGGGGTTGGGGGATAGAGCAGTTTTCGGAGCAGCCTGGGCTCAGGACTAACTGGGGCCACATCTAGGACCTCAACTCAGCCATCACGTATCAAATCACCAACAACTCCGACTTCCGAATGGAAGGAGAAGCGGTCCTGACTGCTGCCTCACTGGAGTATGCTGGGGTCTTCTATGCCGAGGTGAGAGGTGGGCAGTGGTCTCCGAGGGCCAGGGGTTCAATTGGAGCCCAGGAGGGACAAACCCCCTTCCTGTCCAGGTTGAGGCCAATAACACAGTGACTTCAGGCACAGCGGCCACGGTCGTGGAGATTCAGGTCTCAGAACAGGAGCCCTCTCCCACAGGTGAGCCTCCCAAGGACCCCAGGTTGGCAGGGGGAGGGCTTCTTTTTGGAGGCAGTGGCAAGTCCGAGCCCTGTCCCTGGCCCCAGGCCCCCCCACGTCCCCAGAGACGGCAGGAACTAACAGACCCTCGAGCAGCACCACTTCGGAAGTCCCCCGGCCCCCTGAGCCCTCTCAGGGGTCCTCCACGACCAGCTCTGGAGGAGACGCGGGCCTGCAGCCCTCCTCAGGCACCACTCTGGGGCCACCGGCCTCCTCCACGCCTGGGGGGCCCCCCAGTGTGGGAACCAGCCCCTCCCCCCCCGCGGCCTCACCCAGCGGGGGCTCAGCAACCAGACCCTCAAGCGGCCCCACTTCAGAAGCCCCCCAGCCCCCTGAGCCCTCTCAGGGGTCCTCCACGACCAGCTCTGGGGGGGACACTGGCCCACACCCCTCCTCAGGCACCACTCTGGGGCCACCGGCCTCCTCCATGTCTGGGGGGCCCCCCAGTGGGGGAACCAGCTCCCCCCCCACCACAGCCTCACCCAGCGGGGGCTCAGCACAGACCTCGAAACCAGGAACCTCTCCACCGACGTACCCTGGGTCCAGCAGGAACACCTGGACCCCAGGTAGCACCCCCATTACCCTTGAGTCACCCTCATGCTCCCTGACTCATGACTGGGTCTTCACCATGGGGCACGGTTGACCCCAGGTCAGCCCAGCATGACCACGAAACCCCAAGGGAGGTCTGTTCCGGTCTGGGGTAGAGACAGGTCCTAAGGGTGCCAGGAGTTAAACTGGAGAAGGTGTGGGGGTTGGGGCAGAGCCCAGATTCGGGGTTCAGTGACCCCCCAGTTCCCAGGGTCATTCAGTCCACGGGTCCCGTGCCGCCCGCATCTCCTTGCTGGAATAGTGGCTCCCTTGGCCTCCCACTTGAAACTGGTGGGCACTGACGCCCCCTCCCCACCCTCTCCAGCAGCCGGGCCTACTGGGCTCCCTGTGGGGGATCAGTGTACCCATCCCTGGGAACCTCAGCCCTTGGTGCCAGGCCTGGCCTGCTCTCAGGGCTTCCTGAGCTTCCCGCAGCTCAGCCTGGGAGTGCTTGGGGTGTGAGAGTAAGTGGGAAGCGGTCACATTGCCCGCAGGGACATCTGAAACAACCCGAACAGAAGGCAGGCCAGACGGAGGCCAGGCTGGGGACCGACGCTTCTCGGAGGCGGAGATGGCGGTACTGGGCGGGGTGCTGGGCGCAGCGCTCCTCTTGGCTCTGATCGCCCTCACAGTCCTCGTCTACAGGCACTACGGCCAACGACTCATATGCAGCTCTGGCCGAGTGCTGGTGAGGCTCTGGGCGTAGGGGCAGGAGCTGGAGGGCCAGGAAAGGGGGGTGCAGAGTCGAGACTGGAGACGCGACAGAGAGGAGCTGGAGACAGCGGGGTGGTGGAGAGGGGCAGGATGGAGAGCCGGGCGGCGTGAGGCAGGGGTCAGCGTGGGAGATGGAGGGAGGCCGGTGGTCAGCATGGGAGATGGGGCGCAGAGGCGAGGAGAGCAGGGTGGGGACGCCACAAAGACTGGGGAGCAGGGTGGAGGGGCAGAGCGCCCGTCCCCCAGTGTCGGGCGGCAGGGTGGCCAAGCCCAGCTGGCGGCTGGCTGACTGCCGGCTCCTGCCCACCCCTAGAAGCCGCAGCCTCAAGGCTTTGACAACCAGGCTTTCCTCAACGACTCCGACGACGCCAACTGGGCGCCGGCGCCTAGCCCTTCACCCAGCCACGCCCAGCCGGCGCCCCCGGAGCCTGAGCCCCCGGAGCCCGCGCCGCCCAGCCCTGAGACCCCGCGTCGGGTCCCAGAGGCCCCTGCGATGGCCGCGGACGGGGGCAGCCCAGCGGCCGTGAGGTCCATCCTGACCAAGGAGCGGCGGCCTGAGGGCGGCTACAAGGCCGTGTGGTTCGGAGAGGACATCGGCGCGGAAGCTGACGTGGTGGTTCTCAACACGCCCGCCTCGGAAGCCGGCGGCGCTGGCGACTCTGGCAGCGAGGGCAGCGGCGACGAGGCTGCGGAAGCCCAAAACGCGCCTGGTACCGACTCCATTCACTTCTAACGCTGCCTCCCCCGAGTCTGGACCCCGAGAGTCGGCTTGGTGCCTGTCCCCACACTCCACCGCGCAGAATAAAAGAACATTTTTGGCTCTGCGGGGACTCGTGGCGTCTGCTGGCTGCCAGGGGCGCTGTGGGAGCCTAGAGGGGTGGGCGGGTCCCGGCACTGCTCTGAGCGCCAGGCGCCGGTTCCCGGAAACCACCTGCTGCGCGAGGGGCTTCCCAGGCTTGGTGCCAGCTGGTGGCCAGGAAGTTCCTCTCCTGGTCTGACCGCGGCCGACTCGACATGGAGATTCTTCATCTGGGGGAGGCTGAGGAGCCACCTGGCCAGAAGCCCCCTCAAGGACTCGTGTGGGAGGGCGTGGGCTCCGGGACCATCCCGAGGGTCACACTGCGGCAACTGTGGCCACAGTGAGGGCAGTAAACGCTCTGGGGCGCCCGCGGAGGCACCTGGTCCAGGTGGCTGGACTGACTGGCGGGGTGTGGCCCAGAATGACGGTGGCCACGAGCCTAGGGTGGCACGTGGAGCTGGTGGGTGCACAGAACAGTGGCTATGGACGGACGGAACCCAGAGTCACGGAGTTGGGGCCCGAATCCCCTGACCGGTTTCCTCGGGGCGGCCCTCAGGCAAGACTTCCGACCACTACCGTTCCTTCCGGGTCGCCGGTGTTTTTCCATCCCTTTCCAAGTATTTTAATCTCGGCAGTATTTGAGTATTCTTCTTCTTCTTCTTCTTCTTCTTCTTCTTCTTCTTCTTTTTTTTTGAGTATTCTTGCCTGAGTAACTGTCACCGGATAAGAATCCAAAGAGCGCGGCCGCAGCCCCTCCCACGCGCCCATCACCCGCTCTTCCGCTCTGCGATGCGCCAGGTTTTGTTTCTGGAACCCCCGCCTTATCCCACGGCCTCTCCCGGAACGCTGGTTGCTGGCCCCAGCCCCCGCTGCGCTGGGTGAGCGAGGGGAGCAGCTGGGCCGCACCGGGGCTGGGTCCAGGGTCGCCGGGATCCCCCGTGGCGCCTCCCGCCGATGCGCAGGAGCCCGTCCTGCGCACCTGCGCTAGGCCCGGCCCCCGGTGCACGTGACTCCCTCCACGATCCCTGGAGCCCCGCCCATTCCCGCCCCGCCCCGCCCCGGCCCCCGGCCCCGCCCCCGCCTCTATAAAGGCACTTGCTCGCGAGCCCCAGGGGAGCAGTCTCCCCACGGGTGACTCCTGAGCCAGGTACTGGGGAGACCCAACTCGGGAAGAACCCGAGTGAAGGCCTCGTCGGACTCCGGGGTCGATTCTCCGAGCAGTGACTACGGAGGTCGGCCGGAGGCACGGGTCCGGGACGCGCTTCGCGGAGCAGTGACCAGGAGGGGGCGGGCTGCACGGATGACGGCGCGGGGCCCGGGTCAGGGACTCGGGGACCTGGACGGGGAGGTGGCGGTGACGCGCGGGGCGTGGCGGGTTAGGTTTCGTTTTTCCGCAACGCCGGGTTTCGTTTTCCTGCGGCCGTTCCCGTCGCGCCCCCGTAGGGTCCATTTCGGACGCCGGCTCAAAACCTGTGACGCCTTGTGCGCGCGCCGGCCACATCTGTAGCCACATCCAGCGCGGTCTTGGCCAGGACTCACCTCCGCAACGCTGTGACGCGAAGCCCGCTTCTGCGACCTCTAACACCTGGGACTACCTGTGGAGACTTAGACAACCCTCTCTCCGGCGCCAACCCCCAACAGCCCCGCGACCCCAGCCCTTTGCGCAGAGGGCGTGCCGCTCTCTCTAGGCCCAGCCTTTGCGGAGGGACCAATGGCCGAGGCTCCAGACCGGTGAGCCCGCCTGCCTGCCCGCCCGGTGCCGGCCCCACGCCTCCGGCGGCCCCCGTGCACCCTGACACCTGGCTGCTCCGCCCGCAGGGGAACCCCGCGCGTGCTCTTTGGAGACTGGCTTCTGCGCGAGGTCAGCAGCGGCCGCTATGAGGGTCTACGGTGGCTGGACTCAGCCCGAACGTGCTTCCGCGTACCCTGGAAGCATTTCGCGCGGAAGGACCTGGGTGAGGCCGATTCGCGCATCTTTAGGGTGAGACCCCAGCTCGGCCTGGGAAGGGGAGGGCCGGCCCAGGCCCGCCTGTCCAGGCCACGTGCTCCACACTCTTTCTCAGGCCTGGGCCGTGGCCCGCGGCAGGTGGCCGCCCCGCAGCGGTGGAAGTGCCCGGCCGATCCCTGAGAGTGAGCTGCGGACCTCCTGGAAAACCAACTTCCGCTGTGCGCTGCGCAGCACGCAGCGCTTTGTAATGTTGGAAGACAACTCGGGGGACCCTACCGACCCTCATAAGGTGTACAAGATCAGCTCTGAGCCGGGGGACCGAGGTGAGGAAGGCCGGGGGTGCTGCCGGCAGGGGGACTGTGCTGTGTCCTAGGAGTAGCTGCTAAGTCAGATTTTAGGTTTTAGAAACTGGCGCTGGAGAAGCTGGTGCCAGATTATTAGGGGGGTGGCAGGACTGGAGTGAAGGGGTCTATGTGAGAGGAAGCGGAGGGGCCCACTGGGGCTTGTGAAGGGGAAGCGCAGCCCAACTTCCGGGAGCAAGTGGGGATTGACATCCAGGCGCCTCACTTCAGTGTTTCCCCAACCCTAATTCTCCCTCAAAAGGCCTAGGCTTTGACCAGGGGGAGGACGAGGCCCTAGAAGATGCCCCACCTGCAAGGGTAAGGCCCCTCTGTACTCCTGCATCCTGGGTTGGGGCTGCTCCCTCCCTGGGCCTGGGGGCAGCTCATTTATGCTGGCACTGTCCTTTTCTGCAGGGTGGGCTCCCGGGGCCATGCCTGGCAACAGATACTGGTGAGAGCCTGGGGCACCAGCTGAACCCTGACGCCTGCCCCCCAAGCCTAGCTGGAGATGCCGGGGACCTCTTGATCCAGGCGCTGCAGCAGAGTTGCTTGGAGGACCATCTGCTGGATTTGATCCCCTCAGAGGCTCCTGGTGAGGGCCTGTTGCAGTGGGTGGGGGGTGCTCTACCCTGCAGGGACAGGCAAGGCGGCAGAGTGCCTGGAGAGAGGGTGGGCCCAGGGGAGGGCGTGCCTGGGAGGGATGGTGCTGGTCACAGCTGGGTCAGTATAGCCGGGCCTCCGCAGGCCCCCTCAGCTTGGGAGCTGTACTTGCCACAGAGAAGGTGGGGCCTCCAGCCTCAGGCCATAGCCCCAGGAGCCAGGGAACCTGTGGGAAAGGGAGGAGCTGGGGGCCCAGGGGTCAGCTCAGACTTCTCTTCCTTTCCAGATGCAGGCCCACCCCCAGAGCCCTGGCAGCCTCCAGAGGCGGAGCCCCACACGGAAGCCTCTGCCAGTGCCTGCACCCAGGTGGCAGGGGAGCCGCCCCTGGCTGGCCCTGGCTGCTCACAGCTTGGTCTGCAGCCAGAACCCAGCCTGGGGGCCCTGGACTTGACCATCCTGTATAAAGGCCGCACGGTGCTGCAGGAGGTGGTGGGGCGTCCGAGCTGTGTGCTCCTGTACGGCCCCCCCGGTGTAGCTGGAGAGGCTTCAGGGCCCCAGCGAGTTGCCTTCCCCAGCCCTGCCGAGCTGCCTGACCAGAAACAGCTCCACTACACAGAGACACTGCTGCAGCATGTGGCCCCGGGCCTGCGGCTGGAGCTCCGGGGGCTGTGGCTGTGGGCCCGGCGCCTGGGCAAGTGCAAAGTCTACTGGGAGGTGGGGGGGCCTCTGGGCTCAGCCAGTGCCTCCACCCCAGCTCGCCTGCTGCCCAGGGACTGTGACACGCCCATCTTTGACTTTGGCACCTTCTTCCAAGGTTAGTGAAGCACCTGCCCTGGGGCTGCAGGCCCTCTGTGCCCCACCCCCTCACCAGAACCCTGTTCCACAGAACTAGTGGAGTTCCGGGCCCGGCAGCGCCGCGGCTCCCCGCACTACACCATCTACCTGGGCTTCGGGCAGGACCTATCAGTGGGGAGGCCCAAGGAGAAGAGCCTGGTCCTGGTGAAGGTGAGGGGCCGGGTCCCCGGGAGGGGGAGGCTGCACACAGCCCCCACCTGGCCTGACAGCACCCTCTCCGCAGCTGGAGCCGTGGCTGTGCCGGACGTACCTGGAGGCTGTGCAACGCGAAGGTGTGTCCTCCCTGGACAGTGGCAGCCTCAGCCTCTGCCTCTCCAACTCCAACAGTCTCTATGAGGACCTGGAGCACTTCCTGGAGCACTTCATGATGGAAGTGGAGCAGGCTGCCTAGGCCAGACCCCCAACCCCTCCGAATCCAATAAAAAGATCCTAAGGGGACCTCGCTGGCAGTCCAGTGGTTGACTCCACACTTCCAATGCAGGGGACACAGGTTCAGTCCCTGGTTGGGGAACTAAGATCCTACATGACGCACAGCTCAGCCAAGGAAAAAAAGCTTCTAAGAACCACACCAGTGTCCACTGGGGGTAGGCTTGAAGCTCGGACTCTGGAGGGGCATCATGGATTCAGCGGATTCATCACACTGCCGGCCCCGCCCCCCACAGGCCCCTGGCACACCCCTTCCCTCTTCTACTTCAGTGAAAGCTCAGGCCACGCTTTAGAGCCAACAAACTGCCCGGCGTGCACAGACGGCCCCCCGTGCTGCTGTGACCGGGCTCCACTTGCTGTGCCCAAGGCCTGTTTCTGGCCGGTGGGAACTGCCAACAGGGTGCCCCCTGGGAGTGGGGGAGCCAAGTATAAACTTGAGTGGCTATCTATGAAACACAAGGGAGCAAAAGGCTGACTAGGAAGTGCCCCGCCCCAGGCCCCCCCTTTTTCTCACCACCTTTCAAGTACTGAGCCAATCAGACGTTTCTAAAGAGAATCCATTTTTGATAAATTAGAACACAATGGGAACTGTGTGTGTCTATAATATACATATAAAAAAGTCCAGTTTTAAACTATGAGCAAGACAGGTGCACAGACCACATGTGATCACAGGAACCCTGAAAACGGGAGGGCGGGGCGTGTCCCGTTTTCTGCTCCTCAGCCTTCCGCGCCCTGGGCTGGCGGCTCCTCGCCAGCCTCGGCCCGCCGGTGTCTGCGCATGTGCCTGTACTTGTCCACGTAGGCCTTCACCAGGTTGCCCACCTTCACGGGGTTGATCTCCCCGCTCTTGCTGTGGCAAATCTGGAGGAGGAAGGGGAACAGTGTCCCAGACATCCCTTCGTACCCAAAACGGTCATGGATCATGGGGACCAGGCCCTGGGGACCCTGTGAGGGGCGGCGGGCAGGCTGACGTGCGTCTGTCTGCTCTGTCCACTTCACAGGGTGGCTGACGGCCCTCCTGAGGCGATCTGGCATGTCCGCTTCTCCGGGGGTTGGGGGGTGGCTCATTTTCCTAGCCGTGAGTGGGGTTAAACGTGATGTTGCTCAAACTCTTAAACAACCGCTCACAAACAGCCACCTTTACACCCCAAGCACCTAAGCAGCTGGCTACAGCGAGGGGGTATGGGGTGTGGCCACGCAGCCCAGGGCTCACAGGCCCCTCCCACCTCCCCAGCCCAGGGCTCACAGGCCCCTCCCACCTTCTGCACCGCCTTGCGCAGGATGTCCTTATACTCGTCCTTGGTCACCTCCCTCTTCTGGTAGAAGGGCTTGATGGCCAGCTTCACCTCCTCCACAGCCCGCTCCTGCACATGCAGCTTCTTCATGTACTGGGGGCGAGGATACCGGTGAGAGCTCGGCGCTGGGCTACCGGCGCGCGCCTGCCCCTGGAGGAGGAGCAGGGGGTCTCACCTCCTCATTCTTGGCCTTCTCTGGGGCTGGCCTAGGGGGAGCCGTCCTCTCCTCAGAGTTGTTGGCAGCAGTGGTGGTGGCAGCGTGGCCAGCTGGCTCTGAGGCTGCAGTCGGGATGGTGGACACTGGGGCCAGGCTCTGGGCCACCCCGCAGCCCGGGAGGGGCAGGCTCCCCTGGAGGAGGAACTGGACTGCGGGCTGGCTGATGGGTGCATATGGCGGGACGCCCGATGGCAGGGCTGGGCCGGGGGGCAGGCTGGGGCTCTGTACCTGGGCGAGAGTGCAGCCTGCTCAGCCTCCGCACACTCAGTACCCCGTGCCCCCAATCCCCCACTTCTGAACCCAAATAGCCCAGGCAGCAAAGGGCTGGTGCGTGCAGCCCTCAGCCCCAACCCAGCCCAGCCTGCGTGGCCTGGGTACAAGGCTACATCCCTCCAGCCCAAGGGCCCACCTGAGAGGGGTCAGTTGGGGGGAAGCCAGGCTCTGGAAGCACATAAGCAGGGGCAGGCGGCTCAGAGAAAGGTGCCTGCTGGAGCCCAGCCACGGGGCCCACGTCGTCAGATTCCCAGACTCCTTCCCGGGGCTTCTGTGGCCTGTGAAGTGGTGTCCCTGGGGGCCAACATACGGGGGTGGGTGTTCTGGGGCCCTCCAGGCCACAAGGCTGCCTCCTGGCTGGAAAATTTCAGAAAAGCGTCCTGGAGCAAGGACCCCAAGGAAGGTGCTGCCATCCCACCCTCATGACCAAGGCGGCCTGGGAGTCACCCAAGGATCACTCTCCGCCCCCACCAAAGCGCCTACTCACACAGGCCTCTGTCGTTGGCCGGGGCCCCATAGTCTGCCTCCTGGAGGTTCCAGGTGACCCTCTTCACCAGCGCCTTGGCCCGCAGCAGAGGGTTCTGAGAGGGGCCTTCCTCCTTCCCCACAGGTGTCCCGCCAGGGGCCTCGGCACCCAGGGCACAGGGCACTGTGGCGGCCTCGTCTGCATCCTGCTGGAGCAAGTGCTTCTCCTGGGGGACCTCGGTCCCGGGCAAGGGCTGTGCCACATCTTCACCATGGATCCGAGACACCTCCCTCCGGATGACAGCCATGGCCAGGCTGGTGTCGTGCTGGGGGCCCGCTGGGGGCATGGTGGGCTTGGGCAGGAGGTCGCGCTCCGGGGAAGAGTCCGTGCTCTCCGGGGAGGGCGGGGAACTCATGTCATCAAGCTGCATGAAGATGGTGTCATTGGAAAAGTCCTCAAAGAGGTGCCCCGCCTCCACAGAGTCGCCATAGTCCACATCCTCCGCTGGACACTCCGCGAGCACCTCCGGGACTGGGGTGGTCTTGTCGACTTCTGGCCCTTCTGGTAAGCCGTCTGCTCCCGCTGAGGGTGGGGGCCCAGCCGGGGACCTGGCTGGGGGCTCCCTGTCTGGCCTGGGCTCCTCCTGGGGAGGGGGTGCTGGAGAAGCCTCTTTTGGGGCCAACTTCCGCTCAGGGGAGTGGGGGTGGGGCCGCGGGCGCTTCTCCCGGGACCGAGGCCGCCGGTGCACCCGGGGCCGGTGTTCCGGGCTAGGGGACCTGGACCTTCGCCGCCGCCTCTCACGGGAGCTGTGCCGGTCCCGGGGCCGCCCCCTCCTCTCCCTGGGGTGCCTGGGGGGCGAGCACTCCCTCCCCCGAGACCTGGACCCTGACCGCCGCCTCTTCTTCCTGCGGCCCTCGCGGTGCTCGTGGGAAGAGCTCCCAGGGCTCCCAGAGCGGGAGCGGGACCTCCGGCGGCCGCGGCCCCAGGAGCCTCTGCCCCGCTCCCTGCTCTTGTCCTTCGCCTTCTTGCGCTTGGTGCGCTCGTGGCTGCTGGAGCGCTCGCTGGAGGACCTGCGGCCCCGGGCCTTGGGCCGGTGTCTCTTGGGCTGGTCCTCGCCCGCTGCAGGCGAGGCAGACCTGGAACTCCGGTCTCCTGAACGGGACGAGCGGGAGCCCGAGCGGCCGGCGCAGTGCTCCCTGGTGGCTGCCCTCGGCTGTGGGCCTCTCTTCCGGCCGCGGGAGCTGGACCGGGAGCGGGAGCGGGTGGGGGAGCGCAGCTCCACGACCCTGTGGGTGGCTGCAGGCGGGGTGTCCGGGCTGGGTGGCGTGTCAGGCTCCACCACAGTCACGCAAGTCACCGTCCGGCTCTCAGAGCCGAAGAAGGAGCTGCGGGCTGGCAGGGCCTCATCACCCCAGGGCTCCGGGGGGGACAGCTGCTGTGCCTGTGCGCAGGGCTCCTCGTCCTGGAGCTCGGACAGACTGGAGGGCCCCTGGGGGGGCTCCGGCTCCTTTCCCGCGCTGGTCTGCACCGTGTAGGAGGTGACACAGCGCACAGGGGGCAGTGCTGGGGCCTCGGGACTGTCCACAGAGATGGTTCGCGTGATCTCCGAGGGCAGAAGGCCCAAACGCTCAGGGCTGCTGTTGGCGGAGCTGGAGTCGGAGCCCGTGGGGTTGAAGGGGTCATAGATCTCACTCTTGAGCTGCTTTGTCTTCCTGACAGAGAAGAGGGGTGAGGGGCTTGCTCTCCTCTGCACCTTGCTGTCCACTGGCCGGAACGTGTTACAGAAGCCGGGGCTGAGCAGTCTGCCGGAATGGGCTGTGTTCCCAGGAATGTTGATCCTGAAACTCTCAAAGGTGGAGCCAACACCCTTTCCCCGGGCGGGCCCCAGCGGGCTGGGGGGCTGGGCCCCCCCCCCCGAGCGCGTGCTGGGCTCCTGCGCGCCCCGGTTGCTGGGCTCACCCTCCACCCGGGCCCCGCAGCCAGGCTGTCCAGAGCCCTCCCTGCCCGTCAGCCGGCTGATGCAGGAGCTGGGGAGCTCAACGCCCTGCCTGCTGGTGGGAACTTCGTCCCCCTGGCTGCCATCTCTCCTGATCTTTGGTATTCTGGGGAGCTCAGAGATGTCTGTCCGCCTGGGAGCTGGTCTTAGGGCCTGGCCCGGCACTGTGCTCTTGGAGGGCGAGTCAGAGCTGTGTGAGACCTTCAATGCCACAGACCCGAGAGGCAGAGAGTGCTTGCTGTCGCTGTTAAACCGGTGATCCTCACCCTGTTTTATACCAGGTCTGCTCTCACTGGACAAGGTCTGAGACTGGTCCAACCGAGGTGTCACAGAGGAGCCAGGCTTTGCTGCTGCTCCCGACAGGAGAGCAGGGACATGGGTGGGGGCGGGGGCGGCCCTGCCCGGGCAGCTGGGCCCCGAGCTCTGCGGCCCGCTTCCTGACTGACGCCCACCGGCGCCTTCTGGCACTCTGGATGGACCAGGTGAGTTCCGCTGAAAAGAAACTGGCACTGAAAGACAAAAGGCCGAGCACCGCCGGTCCCAGTGGCCCCTGTGAGGAGCGCACCTCCCCCAGCATGCCCTCCCTACGCCTCGCAGTTTCCATTCCTGCTCACTCAGCACTGCGTGTGGAGGGTGGGGCCGTAGGCTCTGCGCTGCAGTCTGCGTCCCCTCCTGCTTCCTGCACTATCTTTATGCTATCTGTGGATCAGAAAGGGCCTGGGCTCTGACGGACCCTTGAAAAGGGGGCAGCACCCCAGGTTACTACTGACTGCAGCTGTATGGCCTAACCTGCCCTCCACGGCCAGACCCACTCCAGCCCTGAAACCCTCTGGGGCCCAGATCTGTGGAGAGGGCCCTGCACTGGTTCCTGGGGCCGTGAGAACAGAGAAGCACCTGTACCGTGGCAAGGAGAGCCGGTGGGCTACCTGGAAACCCCACCACCAACTGTGTCATCAGCAAGTGACGGAAAGGCACCTTCAGCGCCCTCACCCACTGCTCAGAAGTAAACCCTAGGGCCACTGGGTTGGCCACACGCAGACCGCCTCCGGGACGCGTGGCCCCAAGCCTGGGCGTGTGGAGGGCAGCAAGGGGCCGCGGGCACAGCTGCTCACCTGCCTTCTTGGCGCTGAGGGAGCCATCGCGGTGGATGACGATGTCGGCGCCATTCATCATCAGAAGGCTCTGGCCAGACAGGATGCTCCCTAGCAGGTCAGGGCTGGGCTCTGCGTCCACTTCCGGCTGGGGGGCTGCAGTGGGAGCACTCCTCCTGCAAGCAGACCGGGCAGGCCCTGCTGTCACAGCCCCTCCAGCCCTGGTACCACCCGTGCAGGCGGGAACCCCGAGGGCAGTAACGAGACCCGCCCCCCCAGCAGCTCCCACTGAAGGATGGTGGGGGGAGGGATAGTCGCGTGCGAGGCCCTCGGCCCCAGCTCCACCGGCAGGCGGGCGCACACGAGCAGTGCTGACTGGCCGGGCTGGCTGACTGTCAGCCGGGGGAGAAGGCTGGATCCGTGCCCAGCCCCCGCCCTGTCCCTGCGTCCCAGGCCCCTGGTTTGGGACTGGCCGCAGCTCTTCCTCACCCACAAGCTGGGGAGAGGCCACAAGAGGTCTCAGGGTGCCGGGTGGCAGAGTGCCCACCCGCCATAGAGTCCACTGTCCTCGGAGGCCTGCGCCCCACCTGCACCCCATCCTGTCCTGCCCCCCGGGACACACCTGGAGAGCCCCATGGAGATGGGTCTGGCTACAGGCTGGTGGGAGCGCAGGGCTGACCGGGACAGAACCCTCCTCTTGGCGCTCAGAGGGGAAGCAGGGCTTGCAGACGCCTCTTCACCGCTGGAGAAGAACACAGGCCAAAAGGCAGGTGACCCTGCACGTCCAGGCCTAGGGAGCCTCCCACCCACCCTCCAGAGCGAGTGGCCTCTCAGCAGGCCCTGTGACTCAACACCGAACTGGGGCCCTGAGCAGTGACCTTGTGTCAGCAGCTGCCCCAGCCTCTGAGTCAGGGGGTACGGGGGGCAGACACGCCGAGGGAGCACAGAGCTCTTTTCACTCACCACCTAACGCGGTCTGAGAGCCACTCAGAGCAAGGAACTTCACAAACGCAAACCCCGAGAGTGAGCCAGGCCCCACTGGAGGTGGCATGTCCACCGGCCTGAGGGAGAGCGCCCAGCCCCTCTGCACCCACCTGTCGAAGGGGTCCAGCTCATAGGGGTCTCCAAACAGGGAGAGAGAGGCTGCCCCGATGTCAGCACGCATCAGTCCCAGAGACGGGTCTGCAGGCTTGTACACGGAAGGGGTGCAGGCTCCACGGGCTGGCCTGCAGAGACCCAGCGTCCGTGCGATGCGCGAACGAGCCGTGGCTTCATTCTGAACCCAGGTCAGAGGGAGAAACGACAGCGCTGAGATCCACGGCCTCAGGAAATGCCAGTTCAACTAGAAACCCACGGCACCAAACAGGGGGCAGAGGGCTGGCCGCCCCGGAGTCTGAGGGGCACATGTACTCATCACACAAGGACTCCGGCCCATGCCTCACTCCACCCGCCTCACACCAGGAGCCTGCTACCCCGGGCACAAGCACCCGACAGGTGGCGGCCTGGCCCCACAGGCCCCTGTGGTTCCAGGAGCCACTCTGCAGTGCTCTGAACACACCTCGCTTCAACCCCGTCTTCAGTCCACGCTGCAGAAATGTGCGTCTTTATCGGTGAATCTCCAAGTAATTACAGAGACGCTCCTTCTGTGCCTCCCACTGTACCCCCTCACCGCGCACAGGCCTGAGAGCTTGCCTAGTGAGACCCCGTCCAAGGCTACCTTTATCTTCTGTGCTTTCCTCTTCTTCACACGACCCAGGCGTTTCTTCAACCTTGGCCCTGAGCTCCTGCTCTTTGCAGACGATCTGGATGGGGCTTTCTTTCTTCCTGATGCTTTCTTCCGTCTTCCTGCCAAGAGCACATTGACAGCACTCACTTCGCTGTGTGCCCCAGCCCGCTGCCCCCAAAAGACTCGGCTGACTGACTGTCCACCCCACCTGGGGGCATTGCTCCCTCACTTCTTGTTACGGGGTTTCTACACGTGTCCCCACGGGGGCGGGGGGGCAGCACACAGCGAGGACAGGGCAAGTCTGAGCCTACTCTGACCTCCAGACCTGACCACTAGAACCAGCAGGGAGACGGTTTACACCACTATGGAACAACACTGAGTCAGAAGACACAAGTCCAACAATCAAGAGTAAAGGAACCCAGGCCTCCAGTTCTGGATCCGCTCAGTGGTCTCACCCTGAGGAGTGCTCCCAGAGGCTGGGAAACAGGGGACTTCACGGTTCGTTTTCAGCAAACACACCGAGGACGACCCTGCACGGCCAGCAGCCACCTGGGTGCTCTGGGCGACTGCAGGAGCCCAGGCAGCCACAGGGGGCCCTGAGGCCACACTGCTCCCGCAGCCCTGGAGCAATCAGGAATCTCAGCCCAGAAGTGGGTTCCAAGGAAGACAGAGATCCACCCTCGTGACTGTGCGGTGGAAGCGTGTACACCAAGTCTGGGTCCCTGAGCCCATGATGAAGCTGAGAGCCCTATGCATTCTCCACTGGAGAACACTGCCCAGCTCAGGGATAAGAACCAATCAACACAGGAGCAGGCTGGGCGCCAGTGAACCCATGCCGGCCGTGGAAACCACGCTCCGCGACGCGGCCCATCAGGAGGGAGCCGCTCCACCGTCTCCTCAGTAACTCGCAGACAAGAGACCAACAGAACTCCACCACACCTGAACTAGCCTGGGGCCTCCAGCCACTCAAGAGGCAAGATCTGCCCACCAGGAGACCCGCTCGCTCCACCCCGTCAAGAGGACAGAGACACGCGACACGCAGCCCCAGCACAACACAACGCTTTGGCTCCAGCTCCACGTAAACTACTTTAAAATTCCATCACGTTTGTGACACAATTAGAACTTCCGATGCTGACAGGCTGTGTCATGAGGGTGTGGAATTACTACTCATCTCCTCAGGTGTAACAACGGCCTCAGGGTTAAGTCAGAGGAAACACTCCCGCTCTTCCAGAAACATGCTGCAAAACACTTACAGGTAAAATGAGGATGTGCTTCAAAGTAACTCAAGAGGAGAGGGGGACAGGGCCACTCTGGCCGGGAGCAGCCGGGCCCCGGGGAGAGGGTGACAGGGCCTGTGCCCGTGTCCCTCAGCCTCCACAGCTGTGACCACACCTGCAGAGACATGACAGCCGAAGACAGGGGGTTCCGGACACGGCAGAGGCGAGCCCGCCTCTCCAGGTGCTGCGGACAAAGGGTGAGCTGCTGGGACTGAGATGTGAGGTCATGGATGTGATGGGGGAAGAGTCAGGGGAAGACAGGCGAAGCAGAACCTCTCACCTGAGCCTGCAGTTCAGGGGTCAGCGTGACCTCTGGGTACAGAGAACCACGACTGCCCACCGGTAGCCCTCAGGTCTCATCTCTACACCCAGCCTGTCCTCTGAGGAGGCCTAGGAGCGCAGGAAGACGGGCCTGCAAGCTCCAGGACACGCCCAAGATGCAGGACGTGAGGACCAACTGGGCAAGAACATGGCACCACTGCAGGCGCAAACTGCAGCTGGGAGCGGGGTGGCCGCCTCTGACACGGCCCCTACCACGCCAGCCGGTCTCCTCCTCTCTACCGAGCCAAAGCGGCAGACACACCCACCCATGGGAAGGGATCCGCACAGCAGCTTCACCGCAGAACAAGCCAGACACGCGGCACAGGCAGAGGGACAAGCCACAGCACGTCCCTCACCAGGAAACAGACGTGAACCTAAACACCCGCCACATGGAACCCCAGGTCACTGCTGGTGACAAACCAGAACACAACACTCAGCACCTCCCGAGCAAGAGCCAAGGACGCAGAGACAGCACCGACTGCAGGGCCTGGCTGGAAGGCTCGCTGGCCTCACTGTGAACCACGTGCCCAGAGTGGATGCACCTGTCACGGCAAGCATGCCTCAATAACACGGGTTTTCAGAAGACCACGGGTTGTAACCCACTCAATGAAACAGGAATCCACGTCTTCTGATCCACACGAGCAGTCACGCAGGGGGGCCAGCTCCTCCACGGAGCAGAACCCCGACCGGCAAACACAGACAGAGACAGAGCAGGGACCGCCAAGGCACGGAGCAGAACCCCGACCGGCAAACACAGACAGAGACAGAGCAGGGACCGCCAAGGCACGGAGCAGAACCCCGACCGGCAAACACAGACAGAGACAGAGCAGGGACCGCCAAGGCACGGAGCAGAACCCCGACCGGCAAACACAGACAGAGACAGAGCAGGGACCGCCAAGGCACGGAGCAGAACCCCGACCGGCAAACACAGACAGAGACAGAGCAGGGACCGCCAAGGCACGGAGCAGAACCCCGACCGGCAAACACAGACAGAGACAGAGCAGGGACCGCCAAGGCACGGAGCAGAACCCCGACCGGCAAACACAGACAGAGACAGAGCAGGGACCGCCACGGACGCTGAGCTCCAGTGAAAGCTCCTCCCCGGCAGAGAGCAACCCAACTTCCAGGGACAAAGTTACCCAGACTAACACAGAAAAGGCCCAGAAAATGTGAGCAGCACTGCAGCTGCACAGACGCTGAATTACTTCAACGGTCCCCACCCAGGGAAGCCAGGCACAGGGCTGCCTGGCCCAAAGAAAACAGCACGAACCTTCACATGGACCCTGCGGGCTCTTGCTGACCCACTCGCGGAGGCTGTGTCATCTGATGCACACTCGGGGTGCTGCCACACCAACAGCCCCCCAACAGGGCGTTCAGAGGGACTAACCAAACCCAAACCCCAGGGCTGCAGGGCCTCGGGCGCAACAGCAGGGACCTCAGGCAGCCGGAGCTGGGAACGCCTACCTCCTTTCCTCCTGCGGCGGGCAGGGGCGCGCGGCCCGGGGCGCTGGTACACGGCTGTGCTGAGCCCGGCAGCCACGGCTTCAATGGTCTCGTCCAGCAGAGACGACATGAGGTACCTGGGGACACGCTGCACGACAGAGGATGGCACGGTCGGGGGGGACCACCTCAGACCTCTCGAGCGAGCCTGGGGACCCCGAGCCCCTGGAGCTGCAGCAACAGACATCAGGCTGCGGGGGCTCCCAAGTGCCCACGGGGAGCAGGGTCTGGGGAGGCCTCCTGACGGGCAGGTCGGGCACGAAGGCAGGAGGAGCGCTCCTGGGCCTCGAGGAGAATGGGCCATTGGCCTGGGCGGTGGGGTCCTGGGCCCGAGTCTGCCACGAAGTCCCTCAGCCCTCTGGGTTCAGCGCCACAGCCCCTGCGGGAGGCGGCGTTGCCCAGCACCCCCAGGGCAGCTCTGGGCTACTGCCGCCACCTCAGGCCCCCTCAACGCTGCTCCCTGCACACAGCCAACGTGGAAGGCCACAGGCACCCACCTGGAACCTCCTGGCCGTGGAGATCCGGTTCCGGTTCACTGTCGCTCGGACCCTCTCGCTCTGCCGCGTCCTGGCGATGGCCCGGGTCCTCCCCGTGCGGGGCCGAAGCCGGCTGGTGGTGGGCACCACGTCAGCCAAGAGCAGGGAGACCTCCTCCTCGCTCACGGGACCCGTGTCTTGGAAGAAAACACCCTGGGCTGATGCGCACTCCGCCGTGCCCTGGCCCTGGCAGGGGGACTCAGGAACAGAAGGCAGGGGGCACCGGCCTAGCGCCTGGGCCCTCAGAAGCCCCCCACCCCCACTGGAAGCCACTCCTGCCAGACAGCCTGATGCCATCTCCCTGGGCCAAGGTGCCCGCCCCCATGGGAAGGGTCTGGGCTGCCTGAGAGCAGGCAGCACGTTACCAGCGGCAGAAGTGGCCCCGGGGGCAGCACATTCCGGACAGAACCACTCATCCACCGGCACCTCCTGGAGAGGGGGGTCCAAGCACTCCATGTGGTACCTGGGGGACGAGAGGGTGTCTGAGCCTCACGACGGCGCCCCGCACGTGGTGCTGTGCCCTTGTACCCCCCATCCAACCCTAACCCTGCAACGCGACTGCATCTGGAGATGGACCTGCAGGGATGGTGAAGTTAAGTGAGGTCACCAGGGCGCAGTCCAGGCCCCGGGACGGGCGTCCGAGAGCAGAGCGGGGACACAGAGCCCCCCTCGCCCCGACAGCAGCAGTGGGGCTCCGCCTGGGCTGACTGGGATGCCCCTCACGAGGACATGGGGCAGGCGACAGTGCCTAGAGCTGGGGACCAGTCTGCTCCCTTCCCCCTCAGGCATTCTGGACAGTCGGACCTCCACCACAAGCCTCGGGGCATCTCTGCCCTATGGAAGAACCCCAACAGCCGCTCAACTCTTCATGGGTCACGTACTATCTGAAGCCACCCAACTGGCAGCTGGATGGGTGGTGCCCACCATTCCTGGGAGGTGGTCTCCAAGGATGTGGTCATTAGGCAGTCCTTTTCCGCCCACCACCATGGAGGCGGCCCCGCACCCCCCAGCGCTGAGGAGGAGCTACACCGGCACCAGTTCTGCACAGTGACATCTGCCCCGCGGTGGTTCCTGACTTGTCCTGAGGTGAGCAGCAGGGGAGGAGCTGCCAGCGCCGGCACCCTGACGACTCCAGACGGCGCAGACCACATGCTGCACACCCAAGCCCGGGCTGGACGCTGCTGTAGAGCCTCCTGCTGCTCCCAGCTCTGCCCTGTGTGAGGCCGCAGGGAGGCAGAGCCTGCCCCGACCCCCAGGCTGGACCTCACCCGAGCATCCAGTGGGAGGATGCACAGGCTGACCCCCAGCACCGGGGAGCACCCAGAACCCAAACTAGATTTCAGCCTGAGAAATCCCTCTGACGCAGTCAGGCTCAAGAACACCACCCAACACTGAGCGGCAGTGTCTCACAAAAACGTCTCCAAAATTGAGCGCAGTTCAACTGTGTTCTCACCACCGCACCCCAGGATCTTGGCGCAGAGGCTGGCGGGGGTGATGGGGGCTCCACCTAGCCAGTCTGCATCCAAAAATCCCTCCAGGGAGAAGACAGCTGCAGGCTCAAGCCCGGGAGACCCCCGTGGCCACTCCTCAAGGAGACCTGCAGTGCTCACATATCTACAGGAAAGACCCCCTCCCACGGTGACAGCATAGCCCTGGCGTGGAGAGGTCCCTACCCACGAATAAATCCCATTAAGTCAAACACGAACAGGGGGAATCCCTGGTGGTTCAGTGGCCATTTCACTGCCAGGGCCTGGGTTCAATCCCTGGTTAGGTAACTAAGATTCCACATGCCCCGTGGTGCAGTCCCTATACCCCCAAAGAGGTAAAAAGCTTAAGGAAAAACCGAGGCTTGGCAAATTAACAGCCCCACCTGGGACTCCCCAGTGCCCCAACATCCATGAGACCGCCAAAAGACACACAGGCTGGTTTCAGGCTCAGGGAAGCCAGAGGCAAGGCTGGTAACCACGCCTAGGCCAGGACCAGCCTCTCCTTCCCCCGCATGTGGCCTCCCAGACAGCGTCCCGCAGTCCCAGCCCCTTCCTGCTCAGCCACCTGCACTTGGGAAGAGAACGCGGTCTGCCCCACGTCCCACGGTCACGGTACGTGACAGCAAAATCCGTGGTCTGGACACCAGGGCCCCGGTTCTGCCCTCCAGATCCAGAGGGACAACAGGCTCAACGTGACGCCCCCAGACACGGCCCAGCTCTGGGGCTGCCGCGGCAGACACACTGCGGTCAGACCTCCGGGGCTGTCACAGGACAGGATGCAGCCGACAGCCATGAGGAAGGAGGGAGGCCCCTGTTCTTAGTGGTATAAGCCCTGGGGAGGGCCCTGCTGCCTCGGGGCAGGGAGACAGCAGGAAGTGGGCCCCGGCGGCGTCTGCACCGCCCCACAGGCACCAGTCCTCCAGGACCCACGCTGCTCCAGAGCGAGAAGCGCGCCTGATGGGAATCGGGAGCCCCCACCGCGTGGAGGGATGACAACCGCAGGCTACCGCAGACATAGGGAACAGCGCAGCTGGAAGCCCATCCTGCCTACCCGCCCAGCTGGGGGGCTCCCCACGGCCTAGTCTTGCACGCTGGGCGGGTCCCGCCCGGCCCATACCCCCCGTTTCCCGCGTCTGCCCTCCGTCCTGAGGTGTAAGGTGCACCTCTGCAAGCAGTCTCAGATGATGGCTGGGAACAGGGAGGGTGTAAACGGCAGTGAGAGAACAGCCCCAGGGAGGGGTGGAGGGGATGAAGCACGTGAGCTGAGGCCAGGCCAGCGGGTGCAGCGGCAGACGCTGGGGTTCAGATGACCTGTAAGGGCTCACGGTGCCGAGCACAGCCAGGCAGGCCTGTGGGTGTGATGCGCGGAGCAGTGGCCCACAGACTCCCCTCTAGCACATCAGGGGTTTCCATCTCGGAGCCAGGCCCGAAAGATGGGGAGGGGCTCACCCAGCGTCGCAGCCGTCACAGAGCAACAGCCGGTCCTCCCGGTCGCTCCGGCCACACACCTCACAGAAGGTCGGGTCTTCATCCTCGTCCTCCCCGAGCCGGGCACTCTCCACTGGAATCTGGGGACAAGAGTGTGCTGAGCACACAGCAAGCAGGATCCAAGCCCCAGAACCATTCGTGTCATTGTAAATCGACCCAAAGCAGATTCACTTGCACGGCTTCTGTGGGCCCAGGGGCTCTGAAGTAACACGCACGTGGGGGTTTTAACATTTTCTAACCATTTCACGACAGCAAGCCCTGAGAAAGAAACTACTCAATGGAGAACAAGGTGTGCGCTGCCGAAGGACCCCATGGCAGAGTGACAACGAGCCAGCCAAGCCCGTGGGCGGTGCTGCAGAGCGCGGAGGCGGCGGGCAGACGCGGACCCGGGCCTGTGCTGCCCCTCGACAGTCACTGCTGCTCCCCACAGGGCCGCCAGCACACACCATCTGTGGGGGGCGGGCCGGCTCGGTCTCCTGCCCCGAGCCCCACCCGAGGAGCAGCGTCTGCTCCTCCCTCCCTGCCGTGCTCCCCGCCTTTGTTCCTGCGCCAGGCGGGCACTCAGGGCCTCCCCGCGCCTCCTGGATCCTGACCTGCTGGTGTGAGGGGCCCTGGACCACCTCTCCCTTCCCGTGGAGGACGGCTCAGGGCCTGCCCTCACTCACAGGTACTCAAGCAGAGCCGGCCTGCAGGGAAAGTGTCCGCATTCCCGCGGCCTCTGGGCAGAACAACAGAGTGCGGGTGGGCACAGGAGACCATCCCTGGAAGGATGGGGGCCGCGGTCACCCACACAGACTTGGGAAATCTGCATGTCCAGAGTGGAGTCCCCACCACCTCTGGCTCCACAGTAAAAACAAAAAACACATCTCCAGCTGCAACCAACCCACTGAGAAGATGTGCGGCAAGTCTGTATCAGCGATCGTCTCTGACAGCACCCCGAGGCTTGCAGGGACCTCCCCGACCAGGGACGGAGCCAGGGCCACGACAGTGAGAGCAGGGAGTCTTAACCACCAGGCCATCAGGGAACTCCTTCTCTGAGACTTTCTAACTCTGCTCCTCAACAAAAGGAGACTGTGGAGGTCCCAAACAGCAAGGAAGACACCTGTGCTCAGCTCTCCTGGTCCTGCCCTGTGCCTTCAGAAGTCTGGTCCCGAGAGCTGGCCGCCTCTCCCAAGTCGGGGTCCACCCTGCCCTCCCCTCACTGTGGCTGCCATGGCTCAGGAAGGAGGAAGCTCAGAGATACACAAGAGGCGTGTGGAGGGGAGGGGAGGGAGCCCGCACTACCAGGCACACGGTACCACCACCAGCCCGGGCCTCAGGTCCACAGCTGTAAGGGGTATCTCAGCAGATTTCTCACATGTGCGCAGCCAATGCTTCAGGAGAGCAAAGCGCCCTTTGAAGGCAGGTTTTCCCGTGAGATGTGGACCAATGTAGTACACATAAGGGGGCACCTACACGTACCTTCTTCAGGATCTTACCGCCAAACTGAGCTCGAATACAAATACATTTAAATATAATTCGATCAACTGGACAGGAATGGGCATTCTGTAAGAAAAATAAAAACTGTATCATAATCTTGAATCACTGTCACTGTTAACACCACCTCAACACAATTTCTCTTAGAAGTCAAGAGTTCCTTTCACAAAAAAAATCCAACCATTGACTCAGTGCCTGTGAACACCAGGCCCTGTGCGAGGTCTGAGAGCACAGCTGTGCAGCAGACAGAAGGTGGTGCGGGGCAGCTCTCCTGGGAGCCAACACGCAAACCATCAGTGCCCAGAAAACAGGAGGGCACGGGGCAGCAGGAGCGCTGGGGGCCAGGTGGGTGGCCAGGCCTGGACGAGGCGGCCGGCACCCGAGTCGCTGCCACCACCGCCGCTCTCGCTGCAGACGGGCAGGTGCAGTGTGGTCAGACCTGCCCCCTCTGCAGGGCCCACAGTGTGACAGAGGGAAGGGGGAAGAAGCAGGCAAGACCGATGTCCTGAAGAACGGCCTGGGCACAGAGCTGCGGCCACTCGTCCTTGGACTCGCCCTTCTTTGAGTTCTTTCACAAAGTTCAGAAGGGGGGTGGGCAGTGCTTCCAGAGCTCACCCTGCAGCACCCATCCCCGTGTGCGCTACTGCTGCACTCACAAGTCAAGCCCCGTGTCTGTGAGCTGACCCCTCAGCACACACCTACCAGCCAGCTCAGCCATGCAGGCTGCCCTGGTTCTCCCGGGATTTCTGGCCATAAACCCCCTCTTCTCGTTCTGTGCTCCCCAGAGTGAGCTTCACCAGCCACCCAAGGGCCGAAAGCGCGGACAAAGCAGAGACCAGGCTTGGACGCCACCTGGAGCCCCACAGCCCCGCCATCGAGCAGAGACCCAGAACCCCAAGAGGCCGGCCAGGGGCTGGTCACCCACACAGAGCCCAGCCCGAAGAAACACTGTGCACCTTGGACCACTCCACGATGCAATCGAGGCAGAAGTAGTGGGCGCAGTTCTCGGGCGTCCCCACAGCCTGCTCCCTGAAAGCATTGAGACAGATCGGGCAGCTCTCAGAGTCGTCATCAGAATTAAATGCACCACTGGCTTCCAGCGTTCCCTGAGTATCTGCTGCTGCTGCTAACGTGTCCATGTCGTCACCATCTTCCTCAGAGTCCTCGGAACCTTAAGAGGCAAGGTTACAAGTCTGTGAACTGGAGCCCAGGAGGCATGAGGCCCCAGCTGCACTTGGAGCCGAATCAGAACCCCCGCAGGAGGCAGGCGGCCCCCAGGGGTCAGTGGGCCTCTGGGCGCAGCTTGGTGGCCTCTGGAGGACACCTCACTCCACCAGCACCTTCTCAAAGCTGTCAGGGAGCTGCCACCTACAGGGAAGGCCTCTCGTCCAGGGCTCTCATTTTTCTTTCCTCCGGGACCAGAGACCACAAATTCCTAACCAGGCAAGCTGCACACCACAGCCCTTATCAACCTCCAAAAGGTTCCGAGGCCATTCAGCTTCAACACAGCAGTCAGTATGTGCTTCCGTTTTCTCTCCCCACTAAACTCCAGTAAATAAAGATCCAAGTCACAGTGACATGGGACAAGGACTAGAGGCGCGGTGGGCAGGGTCCTCACACGCCCGAGACCCTGCTGTTACGTAAGCTGACCACACATGCTGGAAGAGCAGTTTTCTCTGGCTGCTTGTACTACCCCAGAGAACAAGGGGCTGATGCACCCTGTCCACCGAGGCGTGGCCTCCAGGACCTGAGCGAGGAGGAGAGGGGGTCCCACCCAGGCAGAGACAGGACGAGAGCCCCACACTGTGGGGCCTGAAACCCAGCAACAAGCCAGACATTGGGGGAGGACCCTGAGCCTAGATGGGAACAGTGCCTCTGCGACCCCTTTATGTCAACTGGGCAAGATCTGAGCAGAGGACTGGCCACTGGTATCTGGACTACAAACTACACTGAGACACCAAGTGTGCTATTCTCAGCCGCTGTGTCTGTGACAATGTGTTACAAAGTAAGACAACTAAGCTGGGGTCCACAAAATTCTGGAGAGTGGTTTGGCTCAAATCCGTGACTGGCTAAGGCCTAGTGGGCAGCAGCAGGTGGAGCACGAGAACCAGGTGCTCTGGTTCTTCCTCCAGAATTCCAGAAGATCAGGAGCTGAGGGGAAGGCAGAGAACTGGCGTCTGAGGCCACCAGACCCTGTGACGTCCCCACCCCCAGAGGACGCCCTGGACGCCCCTGAGGGCAGCGGCCACCAGCAGTGAGGCGCTGAGGCCCTGAGCCAGCTGCCCGCCCACCTTGTCCCGGAGCTGCGGGATCAGGCCCAGACAGACGAGGGCCCAGGAGGAGGAAGGTGCAGACACGGGTACGAGCCCAGAGCGGCAGCTGGTGGCACGTCTGCAAACCCGGGTAAGGTGAGAGCAAGGGTCCCGTTAGCAGGGCAGGACCACCAGGCAAGAGCTGAGAGCGACCTGTGGTGAAGGGCCGCTTGGCGAGGGGCATGCTGAGCAGACCAGGAGGGCGCGTGCGCACCACCTGGACAGCTGGTGAGGCGGCAGGTCAGAGTCCTAAGTTCTCCTCTTTCATCATAAGACTTGAACAGACAATATGTTTCTACAGCTGAAAACTGAGCGAACAGTGACACAAGCAAGTGACTTTCAGGAATCAACACTATGGCAAGAAAAACAACAAGATGGGCAGAAAGAACTGCATGCAAGGGGGCTCGGCCGATATGAGGCTGTGAGGATGCAGGTCACGTCTCTGAAGGCAGGCCCTGTGAGCCATCGAGGTTCTCACCAGCTGGAGATCCCCCCCTGGCCCGCCTGTTTCACAGACTGGCGCTGGAGAATGCGGGGGTGTCGTGGCGGGTCAGTGCCCCTCAGCTGCAGCTGTGGCTTCCAGGTACCTGCCCTCCACTGGCACCTCCTCCTCACCTGCGGGACTCCTGGTACTCGGCTCTGTGTCAGCTGTGCCCCCAGCACTCTCCTCGCCCCACGTCCACCACTGCCCAGCTAACCTTCCTGCCCTCCAGATCACAGCTGAGACCTGTCCTTCTGGAAGCTTCTCACCAACCCAGGACCAAAGAGCCAGAGCCCATTCCCTTCTCATGATGTCCCCTAAATACACCCTTGGCATCTATCACCCTGACCTAACTGCTTCTTTACACACTGTCTCTGCCCCAGACGGTGAGCTCCTGCCCGTCTTCCAGCCCCCTGCATGTAGCCCCTGTCCACTAGCATCCAACAGGCCCTCTGACCTCTGCTCCAGGGCTGAACTGACAAGGACCTCATGTCCTCGGCGCCAAGCCCCAACTCCATCTGCAAAAACAAGTGGAACAGCCCCACTGTGACCTGCAGATTCAACCCAGAACTGCCTGTTTCTGTAGAGAAGTAAAAAATCTAACCCTGGGATAACGTGTCACCAAGGCACACAGGGTTGCAAACTCACGCTGCTCCTTCATAAGCACTGTCCCAAACATGGGGGGTTACCTCTCTGGAACATTCTAATGCTCATATCCACAGAGCTCCAAGGACTGTGATAGACCAGGCGGATGCCTCAACATCCACGCAGGTCCCAACGGTAGTGTTGGAAGGGAAGCAGTGGTGAGCCAAGCTCCCAAAGCCCAGCGCCACATGGGGAGGGGCTGGGCGGGACAGTCTGGGGAGCCCACAGGCCACGGGTCAGCCAGGGCAGCCAGGAAGGCAGTGCAGTGGGTACATGGCACTCGGGGCAGGACATGCGTACAGCAAAGCTCCCTGCATCGAAGTTCGGAGATGCAGACTGAGAGTCTCATAACAGTCACCCCATGCCTCTGCCGGCTCTCTCAGGAGTCTGTCACAGAGCACGGGACCCAGGGCTTGGCCTACCCTTGCTCTGTAACGGGCTCCGGGCCCACTCTGCCCACAGGTCTGTCCAGCTGCATGCTCCCTGCAAACGCCCTTCACGCTACTCCCTATTCTCAGGCACTTTACCCTCCTGCTGTCACCAGACAAGAAAGAGACCTACCCACTGTGTCGTCAGCCCACATCAACACGAGCCAGCTGCCCAGCTGAAGACAAAACCCACCACAGGGGACTGCCAGAGAAGGTCACTGTGTTAGGCAATGTCACCCTGACAGCTCACAGCCTCAGCTGGCCGGTGTGGTGAAGTCAGCAAGCTCACCAAGGCTGTTTTGTAAACAGCAACCCCTGTCACGGTGCGAGGAGACATGGGGGCCCCAAGGACGTCCGTGCTCTCACCAGATCCGTCCTCCAGGTCCCCGTCTGCATCCTCCTCATCGCTGTGCTCGCTGCCCGAGTCGTCCTCAGAGGTGCCACTGTGGGCATCACTGCTTCCTTCTAGAGCAACAGAGAGAAACACAGGCCCGAGGAGCAGTGTCACAGCTGAAGCAGCAAAGAGCAGGGCTGGGGAGAGGATGTACAGGGTGTTCAGAGGACATCTGCCAATAGGGCTCCTGGCAGCACCCTGCCCCCAGGTCAGGGCAGTGAGGGAGAGGTGGGCAGGGTGGAAGCTTTTGCTGGATTTAAGAACATATTTGTATGGACTACATCAAAAATAAAGACCAAACAATGTGCTACTTGTGCACTTTAAGGGCAAAGCACGAATGCTCACTCCTCACTCTGGGCGGAGGGGCAGGGGGCGGCTCACCAGCATCGCTGGCCAGGGCAGCAGGACGGAGTCTTGGGTGGCCATCGGGCCCCGGGCTTTGGTCCACAAGCTCGTCCAGGCTGTCGTCATCCATCGCTGGACATGAGCGTTCAGCTCTGGAAGAAACCAGGGTCAAGTAAGTCCCCTCTGTCCCAGGCTTTGCATTAAGCTCCCCGCCCAAGAGCGAGCGACAATCACTACACATCACCCTCCTGATGACACGTGTCCTCCCCCCAGCACCATAGGAGACAGAATTGGCTCAGAACTGTGCAGGCACACACAAGAGACTGGCTCCTGTCTACAGAGCCACATTCACAGTCAGATGCCAACTTACAACAAACCCAATGTAGCCTCAGACCGGCCGTGTTCTTGTTCAGGCACCTGCCACACCTCAACACTCCCCGGGTACCTGAAGCCAGGCTTGAGGGAAACAGCTTATCACAAGCTGAGGCAAAGCAGGGCTTTCAGCAGAGGATGGGCGCCAGAAGGTCCAGATGCCAAGCTGGCCCTCTGCCCACACTCCCGTGGGATGCCCCCCTCAGCCATGGCTGGCCAGCCCAGCTCCGCACACCTGTCTCCCACGAGGCCACGGGCACCAGCTGGGGCTCCTCTGACCTGGCCCCGGCCCCTCCACAGAACACGGCCAAGTCACCTGCCTACCCAGGAGCAGCACAGGGCCATGGGGAGCAGGGGTCAGGCTGCCATGTCCACCTGCTCCTGGGCTCCTGATCACCACCTGGGGGTGCTGAGCCTGCCTGCTCTGCAAGGCCACTGCCAGGGTAACGGCGAAGACCGAGCCCAGTGACCGCACAGACCTAAAGGGACACAAGCACCCTCCTGCACCAGGGCCTCTGACTCTGGTCTCCAAACAAGGGCTCCTTGCCCATCAGGGCTACTCACTTCCAGTGCCCCCGAGAGGAGACCCCTCCCTGTGGCACAGTGCGTTTCTGAGTCCAGTCTGCACATCTAAGGAGCAAGACTGGAGGAATGGAAGCAAAGCAAGAACCGGGGCAGGAGGGAAGGCGGACAGCAGCAAGCCCAGAAGCCAGGAAAGCCTCTCCTCCCGGATTCCGTGCAGGCTTCTCTCCCGTGGGTCACACACCGCACACTTCACGTGCATCAACTAGCACCCAGGGCAGGAGCTATCGCTACCACCGCTGTAGAGATGCTCCCAAAGAATGGTCCCTGATGGGGCTGAGGCCAGGGCCACAGCCAGGGTGCCTCACATCCCAGACAAAGCCCCAGGCTCTGGAACGATGTCTTTTAAAACAGTGAGGGCATGTTAATTTCACTAAATCACTACCTGCCAAATGATGCGTCTATCTGGAAGTAGTCAACTGAAATTATGAACCCCCCTAAAGTCACCACCTTTTTTCTACCTAGTACCCTAAGGGTGAGAAAATCAGTCAGTCCTGCTCAACTAAGGGTCTGCACTCCCCTGCTTGGTGAGTCAGCAACATGGCAGGGACCTTCGCTATCTTCCACCTGAGCCCCGACCACAACCCCTCCTGGAGACGCACCGGCCATAGGATCAGACGGTGCCACTGTCCATCCAGGAGCACGGCACCCTCCTGTGTGCATGGCGGTGGCAGGGCCACTGCAGGTAGAGGACCTACAAGCCTCAGGCTGTACCTGCGACCAGACTCCACAGCGCCACCCTAGGACGCCTGCTCCTGTACCTACCCTGCCCGACTGCGTGCGGCGTGGGTCCTGCGCCGGGGACGGTCAGCCTAAGAGGGGGGTCAGTGTTCAAACCCAGGAAAGTACCAGGGCAAACTTCAGAAAATGTAAGCCTCCAAGTAGACCACAGAGCATGCTCAGGGACGGTTCACTCGCACAAGATCAAAAGCACAAGGTACCTCTGGCTTCTCCCTCAGTAACTGAGACTGAGGCCTGCCTCAGAGCACTGTCAGAAGAGATCAGTGTGGCCACGATGGGGTCTGGTCCACGGGGACTTGCCAGGGACACCAGCTCTGGAGTGAGGCTGACTCCCCATGTCCCTGCACATGTGGGGTTTAGTCCCTCAAGCCCTGTGCTCGGCCATCACAGCCGGGGAGGACACTTTCCAAAGGCCGCCCAACACCCCTCTCCCTTCCCTGCGTGGTCACACATAGTACCTTCTGGCAGCACCCAGGAGAAGAGCCCGGGAGTCTCTGAAGGTACTTCCCAGACCAAGCAGCTGTGCAAACAGAGATCAACATTAGGGACCCCTGGGAGCCTGTTTCTCCATGAGGAACGCTACACTCAAAACACTGTGGGAATGTGACCCTGGCTCAGGACCTACTGGCCCCAGTGGCAGTCCCAGCTCAGATGTGCCTGCCCAGATCCACTATCCCCACCTCCGCTCGCATGTTCCAGACCGACATCAAGGAAGCCTTTTCTGGAGGAGACACCACAGCCCCTCCCAGCTGCTGGCCACCTTGGGCAGTGCCAGCAGTGCTCTATGGCTTTCTTGCTCAGTCTCCAGACTTGGGGGAACCAGGGGAAAATTTAAACAAAAAGTAGTATTTCCCTCTATTTTCAAGTCCAGGGACTGAAAACACCTTTTATCCCAACTAAGGACCCAAAAGGCTTTCCGGTGTGGTCATTGGCAGCTGTGCCATAACAAGAACCTGGGTGCCTGTCCCCAGGCCCTGAGCAAGGGTGTTAGGTCCAATGGCTCAGGTCCAATGGGCTCGAATCTCATTTTTCATTCATCATCTGCCAGAGCGGCTACAAGACCTTGAAACTGTAAGCTGCAATACAAGTCAAAAAGCGAGAGCCCACCACCGCCCCCCCCCCAAAAAAAATTTAAGAGTCCAGTAAGGTCTTGGCAGGGTTGAGAGAGACACCAAGAGTCCATTACAGTGGGCTGCTGGGAGAACCAAAGTCAGGCTGGCTCTGTCAGGGCCCTGACACCAGCCTGGTGCAAAAGGAGAACCAGCTATTGTCATTCTGACTCAACATTCTTTCCCTACGGAAAAACACCAGTGGTTCAGGGAGAGGGAAGGCGTGCTAAAGCCCGAGTCAAACCTCACTTCAGCCTCAGGTTCTGTCCAAGTGACCAAGGGCCAAACCGTGGTTCACCAGGTGACTACTATTCTGTTGTTGCAGAAGCAAGAAGAGCATATAAACGCCACAAAGTTGACAACGATGTAACACAATCCTTGTTACAAAGAAAAAAGAAAGAAAAACCATGGGCCAGGAATCAGGGCTTAGGTTAACAACCGGCCCTGGCTCGGCATACAGCAGCTGTGTGACGCTGGCAAGTTACTTAACATCTCCAGACTCTAATCTACTTATCTGTAAAAACAGGAAGGCCAATACCTACTCCTGACAGACTGCTATGAAGACTACGTGAGTTAAGGAGCGGAAGACCATCCCAACAACCACACGGGCCTGTCGCCACACAGACAAAAACAATAAAAGCAAAAAGGACGAGGACCTGGAGTCGAGTTAGCAAAGGATCACACTCCGCTCTCAGAGCGGGGAGAGCGACAGCACAGGGGGCGGGTGCCACAGGACGAGGCGGAGGTCTCCTCGCCGCCCGGGAATCCGCCTGCAGGCCCCGGGCCGCCCGGACTCTGCGCGAGGCCTCCAGCGCCTGCAGGAGGCCGCCGCCACCCGTCAGCCCAGGGCCTGAGCAGCGCAGGCCTCACACCGCCGGGCAGGCCTCAGACAATGCGCGCGGCGCCCGGAGCGGCCCTCCGGCCGGGGCGCTCTAAAACCCGGGACACCGCGGCCCGCACGTACCCGGAACCGTGCGCCTCGCCGGCCGCTCCCCGACACTCGCCGCCGCTGCCGCAGCCGCCGCCACAGCAAGAGGCACAACTAGGCCCAGCCGCCGCCGCCCGCCGCCGCGCGCCCCTTGACCCGGAAGTACATGGAGCCGGCTTCCGGGGCTCTCCCGCCCCGCCTGTTGGTGGGTACCATTGGGACGAGGGAGGGGAGGAAACGTCTTAGGTAGAGGAGGGCGCCGCTACCTTAGCTCAGGCATCTCGAGACCTTGGGAACACTGTTTAATGCGTTGGTGTAATCCATACAGACCAGTCTGTTGGAAGAACTTGAAGAGTCTAAACCCCCGCCTGTGGGCTATCCGAGAGGTACTCCCCCGTCTGGAATGTGGTACAGTCCGATCCTTGCTCACCGCCCAGGGCGAATAGGAGCGGATCCCCGGCACACCTAGGGCCCCGCCCCCAGTCCGGGCCCCGCCCCGCTCGGTGGCTCCGCCCACACACGCTCCCCCCGCCCCTCACTCCCATCTCTCAGACCCCGAGAGCGCTAGCCGAGGAGAGCTTGCCCGGGTTTGCCTGGCGCGCCCCCGGCCGAGCAGCTTTGGGCCGTACGTTCACGCCACTGAACACTTGGGGACCCTGTGCGCGGGCTCCTTCAGGTGCTGGGCAAGGACGAATCCCCAACCCAGAATCCCGCCGGGGCCGCACGCAGTAAACAGTGAAGCATGTGGATGGTGCGCCGCTCGGTGTGTGAGAAACGGATTCGTGCTCTGACAGAAGAGCCGAGTCCTGGACTCGGGAGCCAGGAGGACTCGCCGGTGGTAGTTAGTGGGTGAGGAGGGACCTGGCCGAGAGGTGCTGGCGGAAGGGGCAGCTGTGGGGAGCGCGCCGTCTGTTGCCAGGACCCCAGAAGGGCGGAACCCCACTGGCTGGGTGGGGGACTGACGCTGGCTTCTAAGAGCCCCGGGCGACGGCGGCGGCGGCGGCGGGTGAACTGGGTGGGGCGGGCCGCGGACCAGTAAGAAGGCAACTTCAGTAACCCTGCAGCCCTCAGGGCCCACAGAGATGTAGGCTCCGTTGGGGGAAGCGAAGGTGCAGGAAGTGATCCCCTTCTAGTAGGTTATGAAGGCAGAACCTAAGGGATAAAAGATACTCAACATCACACCTTGTTAGAAAAATGCACGTCAAAACTACAAAGGGGGAAAAAACTACAAAGGAGTATCACCTCACACTGGTCAGAATGGCTATCATCAGAAAATCTACAAACAATAAATGCTGGAAAGGGTGTGGAAAAAATGGAACCCTCTTGCACTGCTGGTGGGAAGGTAAATTGACACTGCCACTATGGAGAACAGTGTGGCGATTCCTTTAGAAACTAGGAATAAAACTACCTTATGACACAACCCCACTACTGGGCATATACCCTGAAGAAACCATAACTGAAAAAGACACATGTACCCTAATATTCATTCCAACGCTATTTAGGAGGCTAGGACATGGAAGCAACCTAGATATCCATTGACAGGTGAATGGATAAAAAAAGTGGTCCATATGTATACAGTGGAATATTACTCAGCCTTAATGCATCTGAGTCAGTACTAATGAAGTGGATGAACCTAGAGCCTATTATGCAGAATTGAAGTAAGTCAGAAAGAGAAAGATAAATATCATCTATTAATGCATATACATGGACTATAGAAGGATGGTACTGATGAATCTATTTGCAGGGCAGCAAAGGAGACGCAGACGTAACAGACACGGGTTGGGGAGGACAGGGTGGGACTAACTGAGAGAGTAGCTTTGAAACATGCATTATCGTCTGTGAAATAGATAGCCTGTGGGTATTTGCTGTGTGTACACAGAGCTCAGATCCAGTGGTCTGTGGCAACCTAGAGAGGTGGGGTGGGACGGGATGGGGTGGGAGGAGAGAGGTTCAAGAGAGAAGGGGCATATGTATGCCTATGGCTGATTCACGTTGATGTATGGCAGAAACCAACACAGTATTGTAAAGTAATTACTTTCCAACTAAAAATTAATTTTTTTAATTAAAAAAAAAACTGAGGTTGGGTTAGCTGAGGGGTTGGATGTGAGATGCCAGGTAAAAAGGGAAACCAAGGAGGGTTCCTGGAAGCGTTGGGGGTGGGGGGGCAGCACATCAAGTGGGATGCCTGGGTGGAGCAAGGTGGAAGTCACCAGTGACCCAGAGGTTACCAGTGCTGGGGGGCAGCTGGAGGGGTTCAAGGAGAAGCCAAGCCGACTGATCATCGCCAGGGAGCACCAAGCAGGGAAACGAAAGTAGAGCAGTGGAGGAGGAGCCCACTGAGAGAGGGTTGTTTTGTTTTTCTGTTTATGGGAAAAATAACCCATGTGTTTACAGGCTCTGGAAAGGACTTTGCAGAGAGGAAGAATGAATGGTGCCAGAAAGGTGAGGGCCTCTGGAGCGAATCTTCTCTGTGGGAGTGTGTGTGTGTGTGTGTGTGGGAGTGTGTGTGTGTGTGAGTGTATGTGGGGGGGAATGTGTGTGTGGGGGAGTGTGTGTGTGNTTCCAGCTAAAGATTCCATGTGCCAGTGAGGGTCATTTCTGGTACTGGTAAATGTACTTACCTACCTGTATTTTCTGCATGTGTCTTCCAGGCCTCGATCTGGTTACCATATGGCCTGAGCGCCTCATGTGAATCTGGGCAGACCAATTAGTATCTTGGACTTCCCAGGGTCTTTGTGGACTGATGCATCAGCTCCTGGGAGAGAGTTGAAGGGGAAAATGTATGTGGATGGAATGTGTATGCATGCGTGTGTGTGGGGGGGGAGTGTGTGTGGAATGTGTGTGTGTGTGGGAGTGTGTGTGTGAATGTGTGTGTGGGAGTGTGTATGTGTGTGTGTGTGCCTGGCACAGCATAGTACCTCTTGGGTGTCACCCCAGCCATGTACCCAAACACAGGACACTTTTTATTTATTTTTTTTATTTTAGGTTTTTTAATTGTTATTTTTATTTTTTTTTCCATTTATTTTTATTAGTTGGAGGCTAATTACTTTACAACATTGCAGTGGTTTTTGTCATACATTGAAATGAATTAGCCATGCACAGGACACTTTTTAAAAGTTAGTTCTTTATTTATGGTCGTGCGGGGTCTTTGTTGCTGCACGTGGGCATTCTCTAGCTGTGGCGAGTGGGGCTGCTCTTGGTTGTGATAGGCAAGCTTTTCATTAGAGTGGCTTCTCTTGGAGAGCACAGACTCTAGAGCATTCTGGCTTCAGTAGTTGTGGCTGCTGGACTCTAGAGCACAGACTTAGTACTGTGGTGCATGAACTTAGTTGGTCCTCAGCACATGGGATCTTCCCAGACTAGGAATTGAACCCATGACCCCTGCATTGGCAGGTGGATTCTTTACCACTGAGCCACCAGGGAAGCCCCAGGATACTTTGGCTCTCTGTTTAAGTATGGATGGCATGACTTTGGGAGAGTTTCTCAACCCCTCTGTGCCTCTTTACCTATACAATAGAGATGTTGAGGGCTGGATGGGTGAGTACAGGAACAGAACTTTGGATGGGGGCCAGCAAAGTAAATGCCCTGCATCAGACACCTCCCCCTCCTCCTTAGCTTACTCTTGGCAAGTGTGGGCCCTTCTACACACACTTACCTGCCAAAGACCACCACCCACCAGAGGGTCCCAAATGGGGGTCGGAGCATGCCACTAAAGCTCTAGGGAAGGAGTTGAACAAGCAGCTGTGGCCAACTTAGAGCCCCCTTGGAGTGGGACCAGCCCCTCCCACCTTCACCCACAGCTGTTGTTGGAGGCTGCTGGAAAATTGTCATCCATAATAAACATGCACCCGTGATGAGATGTGACAGGTCCTCAGCAGGCATCTTTGGGTGGCGTACAACCCACCCAGCCATGCCAGGCTTTGCTCACCCTTGAGCTGTGTCCCCATGAAACTGCCCAGAACCACCAGTCTGGTCCCAAACTGGGCCAAGGTGAGAACATAGGCACATGTTTGTCCTTCCACCTACTGATGTACCTTCTTCCATGCTGATACGCATAACTCACACTCCTACATGCAGGTGGACCCCTTCCCACCATCAGCATTGTCCCTGTGTCCTTCGAGAAAACTGTACCCTGCAGCCCTCATTGGTTCCTTGGTGTTCACTGGCACACCCTGCTCCTGCTCCTCAAGGCCCAGGCAGGCCCAGACACGGGATACATGCTGCTCTCCTCATGCATGCAGGAGGGCGGAGCTGGACGAGGAGTTGCCTGGGTTCTGTCCAGCCCGGGCCAGCCCTTTCGCCTTCCGTCAAACCTGCATGAACACATAGGGCCAGAGCGGGGGGAGGAGACAGGCAGGGCTATGATCCCTGACATAGGAAGGAAGGCAAGGGTATCAGTGTCCCAGAGCACAATTTTTTCTCTCTCAGTTCCGAGCGCCAGAAGTCCAAAATTTAGGTTGACACCTGTGGTTTCTCTGAAATCTGTTGAGAGAATCCTTTCTTGCCACTTCTGGGTTTTGGTGCTTCAGGCCTCCTCGGCTAATGGTAACCTCTGTCTCAGTCTATGTGTTGCCTTCCTCCCTGTGTGTGTGTACCTTTCTGTCTCTTCAAAGCACACTTGGCATTGGATTTAGGGCCCACTCAGATAACCTGGGATGACCTCATCAAGCCGTGAAGTCCCTTTTTCCAAGCAGGGTAACAATCCCCAGGTCTACGCATTTGGATATAACGTGTTTTTTTTTTTTTTTTTTTTTGGGAGCACCGTTCAACCTACTGTAGAAGGTAGTAAGGGAGCCAGAAGGACTGGAGGGGACACGGCTGGGGGTCAGACCAGCAGGGTGAGGCAGGAACTCGGAGTCATCCTGACTTCTGGCCTGTCCCTGTCCCAGAACCCCAGGCTTCTCCCCTCCAAGCCTCTGCCCATCTGCCTGTCCCCAGTCACGCCCTGTCCCAAAGCCGTAGGCCTCCTCAGGGATCCCACAGGTTCCTAAGGGTTCCTTCCAGATCCACACAGTCCAGGCCTTGCTGACCCCCAACAGAACCAATCAGGCTCCTGGCTCCTTTCCCACCCACAGGGGGCCGCCCCCCACTACACCCTGCACTTGAATTCCAGTACTCAGGCTTCATACTCCTGAGGTCCCAGGCAGGGTCAGACACCTCCCTGGAGCCCTGCACTTATCCACCTGGGCAACAGATTTGAAGCAAGAAGTGAAATGGCCCGGATAGTGGGAAGGGGGAGGAGGGGCCCATGACGGTTTGTGGCAGCTGGTGGGTCCAGCCCAGGCCTCTGTGAATCCGAGAGGGCGAGGGGTGGGGCGGTGAGCTGGAGGCAGGAGGGCTGCAGGAGAAAGCCAGGTGGCTGAGGCTGAGGAGATACCGGGGAGCTCTTGCTTTGGAGGGGAACCCCAACCCTAACTCTCCAGACTGGACAGCGGAGAACAAAAGGGGACCGGGCACCTTTCTGCCTGACTAGGGATCCCAATGACCCATGATTCTGCCTCCGAGCGGCTGAGAAGGGAGTGTGAAGAGCCCGGCCCAGGACCACGCTTCCCCCGGCTGCCTCCTTGGCGCTCCACCAGGAAGGATTGACTCCAGAGCTGAAACGGTCCGTTCCCTTGGTTTCTACCTTTCCAATGCCCAGACAGAACGGGGCAGAGGACGGGGCCAAGCCGCCCAGGGCCCTGCGCCCCGTACAGTGGGCCCTCACGACGAGAGAGTGACCGGGAGTTCACAAACCAGGCAGAGCCAGAGCCCCCTCCCCACCAGGCAGAGTGCCCCGGAGTGGGTGCAGGAGGCGCGTGCACTGGGTGGTCGCAAGCGCACCGCCCGTGCTAGGTGTGCCGGAGCCCGGCGATCCAAGGAGGTGCCCAGCTCGCTGGGGACTCGGGGCGGGGAGGTGCCTAGGCGCCCGGGCCGTTCCACCCTGGGCCGGCGGGGGAGCGCCTCGGGTCAAACCACCCGCCGGCGGGGGAGCCGTCCCGCGCCCGGCAGCCTCCCGGCGTCGCAAGCCCCGCCCGGCAGGTGGCGGCCCCGCCCCGAGGCCGACGTGCGGAAAGGAACGCGCCGGCCTCGCCCGCAAGGGGCCGCTCGGCGGTGGGCGCGGCGTCCCGTCCCCGGCTCGCGTCCACTGGCTGCGGCGCGGCAGGGCGGGCCTGGCTCGGGCGACCATTGGCCGCGAGACCTGGGCATTTGCATACGGGCCGGGCGCGGGGTTCCGGACTGGCGGGGGCGCGAGGGGGCCGCTGCCGCCGCCGAAGTTGAACAGAGAGCCGGCGACGGCCCCGTGCAGGGTCGCAGGTGACGCGCGAAGGGTCCTAGATTCGCGGGCGGGAACTTGGGCCGGGCAGGGGCTGCGGGCTCGGACCGCCAAGTTGGACGGGAGGGGAGGTGGGGGTCGTGGGTGGGGGACGACTCTTCCGCCCGCACGGCGGTCCCTCCAGGCGCAGGGCAGCCACTGCCCACCGCACATTGCGCTGCTCCGGACCCACTGTGCGTGTGACAGCGGCTGATCTGTCCCTGGGCAGCGCGACCGCCCCGCCCCCTCTGTGACCCTGTGGGGCAGGGGACTGCCACGTCGGGTCAGAGGGAGCGTGCCAAGGCGGGTGGTAGGCGAGGGCGCTGCACGGACTAGGTGCGCCAGTCTGCGCCCAGCAGTGGGCCGGGTGGGGAAAACGGGGGACATTCAGAGGCCTTTGCTGCCCTTTGCATGCGGGGGCCACAGGCCGGACCAGATGCCCTCTTGGAGGGAACTCTCTTCTTGTGTGTCTCAGGGTGCCAAGGTGTGCAGGGCTCCTGCGACTGTCTTCCTGATGTTGCCAAGCCGAAGGCAGCCCTGGGCAGACACCGGTGTCATTGTCCGACCCTTGGACTTCAGGACAGGACCTCCTGAACTAGCCTCTTGAGGGCCACCTCCGGGAACTTGCTTGAGGAAAATAGTGGCAGATTTGGCTTTCCTGTGCCCTCTGCCATGTCAGCGAGGCCACTAAGGGAGTCACGACTGTGAAGATGCATTCGCGGTGCCCACAGACACGCCCTCCCAAGGGGTGTGGGTTCCTGGAGGCCTGTCTTCCCTGTTGGGTGTTCCTAAGTTCACCGTGAAAGTCTTGTGGTTGTGGAGCAGGCCCAGAGCAGCCTCTGGGCCTGCAGATGCCGCAGCAGCAGGCTTGTCCCCTCTCCCAGGCAGGGGAGGCCCGCTTAGTTGGGCCCTCGTGTGGACGTGGACGCCCCTCAGGAGGGACCCTACCCTAGTTAGCGGTTGATATGGTGTGCTGAGTGTCACATCCAGCAGGCTTGGCAGGCCAGGCTCTGCAGGTGGCAGGGAGGCTGTCAGCAGCTTTGGGGTTGAGAACCAACAGTGCGGATTTGCTGCCACTGGCCTGCGACCCTCTGTGAACCAGCCCCTGGAGGGTCAAGCAGGAATCTGAGGCCAGGCAGGGCACCGGTGCCTTCCCCCACGACACAGTCTGGCCTCAGAGCAACCTCGAGGAGGGCGGCCCTGTACTCACACCGTGCAGCGTCCTGCCCTGCCTTCCCCCGGCTTGAGGGGAGCTAAAGAAGAGGGCAACAGAGGATGAGATGGTTGGATGGCATCAGCGACTCAATGGACATGAATTTGAGCAAGCTCCAGGAGACGGCGAAGGACAGGGAAGCCTGGCATGCTGTGGTTCATGGGGGTCACAGAGATTTGGACATGACTGAGCAACTGAATGACCACTGGCCTTTTCTCCCCTCAGCACACCTCACATTGTAGTTTTCAAAGTACAGTTTAAAACTCAAAAGTAAACCTTTCAGCAACTCAAAGATTTGCTTAGTGATCTGAAGCACTTCAGGCAACTTGGGGGGATGTGGGGTTTTGTTCACTCGGAGAAGGTTCTGCCCCTTTCCCACCCAGAAATGTGTGGGTTGCCTAAGGACCCCCTTTAAGCTGGAGAAGACAGCTCTCAGCATCCCCAGAGGCAACCTTGTACCAGGGGCAGGTCCCTGGCAGTGACTTCAGAAGGAATGGGTGTTCCCTGAAAACAGACAGGAGACCAAGGGCACAAGCTCACCCAGGTCTGTGCCTGCTGTCCTCTGAGGAGTGGGGACGTGCAGGGCACAGGCTGGTCCTCCCCGGCCCCTGGCTGTGTAGGGGAGTCCCTGGATGGCACCTGCCTTACGCCCTGGTGGCCTATGTGCTCAGCTTGGGAGGTGAAAGGGCGCTAAGGCTCAGGGCTTGTGCCCGGAGGTCCACCCAACCCTGTGGACACAGGTCGGGGATCCAGGTGAAGGGAGCAGGCCCCTCGACAGTCCCCAGTCCTCTCACCTAGCATGAGGCCTGACCAGCCCATGTGGTCAGGGCTGCACCTCGTATGGCCTGTGCTTGACCCTAAGGAGAATCACAGGTCAGGCAGGAGTGTGGACAGGCATGGGAATGGGCTGTGGCTCCAAAGAGGAAACTGGGGCCAGATCCTTTTCGCCACCAGGCCTGTACAGCCACTCCCGACCCTGCTGCAGCTCAGGTAGGAAGGGCCTTCTCCTGGTTCCTCCCACAAGCTAGGCGCTTGGTGGTTTCCTTGCACTCAGGACTTCATGTCCCCTACAGTCTGCCCCCAAGGAGGCAGGGAACACTAGGCCCAGCTCAGGGGCCACCCCAGGAGAAGGGTGAGTCTTCCCCAAAGTTGCCCACCCCCACACTAAGCAGGAAGACCCCTGTGATCTAGGCTGTCCTGTCCTCTGTTCCTCAACATGCGTGGTTGCACCCAGGTCTTGGAGCCCCCCAGGTTCTGGCTGGCACAAAGCTTGCCTCTCCTGACTGCAACTCAGAGCTGGGAGCCTGTGGCCCACCCCAGACCAGGGCTGTGGTTCAGACCTCACCCTGGCCCAATTTCAAGGCTGCAGGCATGTGGCTGAAGCTTCATGCCCAGCTGGGGCGAGGAGGTGGGGTGTTGGAAGGCAGCACGGCACACCCTCCAGGGGTCAGCAAAGCTCCTGGGGCCTGGCAGACCCAGGAGTCCTGCCCCCGCAAGCTCAGGCTCAGGAAACCTGATGGACGGGTCTGGTGTGTCCTTGAATCCTCAAATCCAGGAGCCACCCCAGAGGGCGCAGTGCTTCTTGCTGCTGGTGGGGAGCAGACCAGACAGGGAAGTCAGGCGAGGGAGGGATCTAGACAGAAACCCACGTCAGTGCTGAGGCTACTTCAGGCCCCCAGACCATCCAACCCCAGGCTGCCAAGGAGAGAAGCTACCCTGCCCCCAACAAGGAGAGGCCACTCCCCAGGAGTGGGTGGATACAGCTCCAGCTTTGGATTAAATAACCACGGGTCCCTGGGAGACCTCCATTTCAGGACCCTTAACTATGGCTAGCCCCAGGCAGCTCAGGGGGCTACTCAGAGACCCTGCAGACCTTGCCCAGTGCAGTCTCAAGACACACTCAAGCCATGGGAGGCAGTTTATTGAGGTTTTAAAGGTGGTGTAGGGAGCCAGTGTACACATGGATGTGGGCAAGAATACCTCCCACATACAAGCACATACCCATAGGTTGAACACAGGGTCTGTGCACCTCCTGTCCCCAACAAAGAGCTGTGGCCTTTGGGGGCTATGATCTCAGGGCTGGCCATGCCCCTAGCTTCTCCAGGGTCTTGGCGGATTTAGCAAAGACTAGGGCAAGAGTCTTCAGCCTTTCTGTGCACCCTGCAGCAAGAATCCTAGGGCTCCAAGGTGTCCCATCTCAGGCTCCAGGTTCCAGGGCTTCCCACTGCACGGTGGAAGGAGTCCTCTGTGACCACGGGCTCGCCTCTGTCATCCAGGCTTGGCAGGCCTTGGCTGTGGACGTCCACTCTGGGGTTAGAGCTGCTACCTCAAGGAGTTCTGCCTCATGGGGGCAACTGTGGGGAGGACATAGACTTGAGAGGCCTGAGGGGGTCACTGGACGACCTCATCCCATCCAGACGGGGGAGACAGACATACTCTCTGGGCTCAGGCTGGACACAAGGGCCGGACTCCGGGGGCCTCCCGTGAGGGCCTCTTCTCTGGCTGGAGGCAGAAGATCCTGTGGGAAAAGCAGGTCAGCTTGGGGCTGGGCAGGCCCCTCACTGACCTGGCCTCCCTCCAGAACTGCTCTGACCTGAGTGCCAGCAGGGTCCCCGTCCGGCCTTGGGGGCGGGGGCAGCGCTGCGCCCGTCTGCTGGATGAACTGCTGCAGGTTACACTGACGCAGCTCCCGGTTCAGCTCCTCCAGCTCCTGGGCCTGGGCCTAGGGCACACGGGACCCTCGGCTCTGGCTCTGGTTCTGAGACCAACACCCACGCCCGCCCCCCGCACTGGGGTGCAGGCCCCGCGGGCTCACCTGCAGGGCGTGCTCGGCAGCCTCCAGAGCCCGGCCCACTAGGGCGAGGCTGCCCTGCACCTGCATGCTTTGCCGCTCCTGGGCAGCCAGGTCCTGGCGCAGGCGCTCAGCCACAGACGCTGTGGGCGAGGGGGACCTCGGGGCCTCGGCAGCCAGGTGTAACTCGGCCTCCAGGGCACGGGCCTGGGCGTCCAGGGCCTGCAGTCTCGCCGCATGCTCAGCTGTAGCTGCGCTCAGCGCGTGCAGGCGGGCCTGTGCCTCATGCTCCCGGGCCTGCTCTCGCCGCAGCTCCTGCTCCCAGAAGGCCTCCTGGCCCAGCTCTGCTGCGTTCCTGCGCACCCTTTGCTCCAGACCCTGCAGGTCTGCACAGCAGCCTGGCACTGGCACTACAGGAGCCAGAGGCTCGGGTAGCACAGGGCCGGGGGCCTGCCCAGGGCACCCCAGGCTGAAGGTCAGTGCTTTGCAGGGCTCACGGTCCAGTGCTGGTCGAGGCTTTGGGGGAAGGCTGGCTCGGATGGGGCAGCGCTCAGGGGGAGGGCAGCTGTCTGAGGAGGGCCTCCCAGCAAGGCTGGGTCCTGTCCGCCTCAGGACAAACTGGACATCACTGGCAAACTGTCCGCAGGTCGCTTGGGCGCCCACAGGACATTCCTGGGGTAGCAGCTGCCGTTCCTTCTCTCTGAGACGCTGCACGAGCACAAAGCGGCCTGTCTGGCCTGGAGTCGGGGAGAGGGGTCAGTCAGCCCACATCCCTTACCTTCAGTCCATCTGGCTTGAGCAGCTGGGGAAAGGCAAGAGGGACCAGCAACAGCCCCACCCTCCTGGGGGCCATACGGGGCCCAGAGGCCAGGCCCCACTGCAGTCGCACCTGCTGGGCCCATCCATGCTTCAGGGAACTCACCTATGGCTTGGGCTAGTGCAATGACCACTTCTTGACAGGTGGTCTGCTCTGAAACCCCACAAACCACGCGCTGGATGCCGTCCACCCACACTTTCAGCTCCATGGCCGCCAGTCCTGAGAGCATGCCTGTCCTGCAGCGAGGGCAAGGGCCACGGGGTCAGGCCCAGCCTGGCCTCAACACAGCTTGGCCAGCTTTTCCTCCTCAGGCCTGCCCCGCACCCCGGAACTGGCTCGGGACTGCTGCCCCTCGGCATCTGGTGCGCAGCCCCACACGGAGGCCGCACATTCCTGGGGGTGGGGAAGCAAAGGCCAGTGCCCCCCTAAAGAGGGAACCAGAGGGCCCTCCCTCAGCGCTCGGATGCTGCCCCACTTCCCAGCCTGCTCTCGGCCGGCCCCACTCCCGGAACCAAGCAAATCATTAACCAGACGCGGCCACCCGGCTTGAAGGGCACAGCCCCTCCCGCGGGGCGTCCGCGCGCAGCCCTCGGCACCGCAGACCCGCCGCACCCGGCGCGGGCGGCCCCTCCCTGCTACCGCGCGGTTCCGCGCTCGCGGCGAGGCCGCGGTCCCCGCTCGCAGCGGGTGCAGGTGCGGCGTGGCCCCCTCGCCGGCCCGGCTCGCACCCCTCCGTCTGAGTCGCAACCCAGGGCCGCGCCCTGCGCCGCGAAGGCCCCGGAACTCGGCGCGGCTCACCTGGACGCTCACCGGCCTCCGGAATGCGGACGCGGACTGGCTGCTGCCAAGCTCCAGGCGCCGCCGCAACCTGCCGCCTCCAGCGCCGCGGGAGCGCCCCGGCCCGTCCGCGCGCCCCGCCCACCCCCGCGCCTACGCCCATTAGCCACCTACGCAGAGCCTCTCCCCTGGACCTCCCCATTGGCTCCTCTCCCGCCCCGCCCACGGCGGCGCCCAGGTGTGGGCGGGGCTCGGCCGCGCCGGGGGACTAGAGCGCCCGGGTCCACGCGCGCCCCGAACCCGCTCACCGCGCGGAAGAGCGCTGCCTTCCGCGGCGCAGGCGGCGCGTGGGCCAGGTGCCTGGCCGCGCTTCCTGGCTGACTTTCGCAGAAGCCGCGGCTTCTGATGAGTCTCCCGCCTAAGGGAGGGGGCGCCGGCCCGGAACCCCGCGAGCCCGGCCTGCACCCAGGAGGGCAGCGGGGCTGACACCGCCCCTCCCCTCGCCTGAGACGCGATGGGGCGCACGGGGTCGGGGGGCTCAAGGCGGGAGGGACTGGAGCTGGTTGGCCACTGGTCCTCTCCGGCTGCTGCCTGGCTGACAATCCTGATGGGGGAGGGGGCCGCCAAGAGGTTGCCTGGGACAAAGGCCCTGGGCTCTTTGTCTGAGGCTCAATAGGGCCCAAGGCTGGCCCGAGCTGTAAACACACTCCTCCGCCAGGCGAGTCCTGCTATTCTGCCCGGAGACCCCAGGCCGGCGCGGCAGCCGGAGCCCCTCATAGTCTCAGCGCTGTCTGTGTGGATCAGCAGCAAGGACGTCTAGAACCTACACTGCCCAAGTCAGACTGACCCAGAGCGGGGTTTCTTCCTCCTGCTCACCACAAGCCCTGCAGGAGCAAAAGCCGAAAGTCTGAATGAATGCATGGTGAGGGAATGAAGGTGGGTGGGGGTGGGGCAAAAAGTAGAGGGCGTGGTCTTATGCGTCAGGTCTGGGGCTCACTTTTATCCGGGTCCAGGGACAAGGGAACTATTTGTTATTGTTCAGCCCCTAAGTCGTATCTGACTCTTTGTGATCCCATAGACTGTAGTATGTCGGGCTACTCTGTCCTCCACTATTCCCCCAACTTTGTTCAAATTCATGTCCATAGAGTCGGCGATGCCATCCAACCACCTCATCCTCTGTCACCCCCTTCTCCTTTTGCTTTCAATTTGTCCCAGAACCAGGGCCTTTTCCAATGAGTTGGCTCTTCACATCAGGTGGCCAAAGTATTGAAACTTCAGCTTGAGCATCAGTCTTTCCAGGGAATATTCATGATTAATATCCTTTCTAAGCATCTGCCAGCAATGTGGGAGACCCGGGTTCGATCCCTGGGTTGGGAAGATCCCCTGGAGAAGGACATGGCAACCCACTCCAGTACTCTTGCCTGGAAAATCCCATGGAGAGAGGAGCCTGGTGGGCTACAGTCTATGGGTTGCAAAGAGTCAGAAATGACTGAGCGATTTCACTTTCACTTTCTTCTCTAGCACAAACATTTGAAAGCATCAATTCTGCTCAGCTGAAAGCTCTCAGCATTCTTCTTGGTCCAACTCTCGTATCCACACATAACTACTGGAAAAACCATCAGTTCAGTTCAGTTCAGTTCAGTTGCTCTGTCGTGTCCGACTCTTTGCGACCCCATGGACTGCAGCATACCAGGCTTCCCTGTCCCTCACCAACTCCCAGAGCTTGCTCAAACTCATGTCCATTGAGTTGGTGATGCCATCCTACCATCTCTTCCTCTGTCGTCCCCTTCTCCTGCCTTCAATCTTTCCCAGTATCAGGTTCTTTCCAATGAGTCTGTTCTTCACATCAGGTGGCCAAAGTATTGGAGCTTCAGCTTCAGCACCAGTCCTTCCAATGAACATTCAGGACTGATTTCCTTTAGGGTTGACTGACTGGATCTCCTTGCAGTCCAAGGAACTCTCAACAGTCTTCTCCAACACCACAGTTCAAAAGCATCAATTCTCTGGTGCTCAGCTTTCTTTATAGTCCAACTCTAACATCCATACATAACTACTGGAAAAACCATAACCTTGACTAGATGGACGTTTGTTGGCAAAGTAATGTCTCTGCTTTTTAATATATTATCTAGTTTGGTCATAGCTTTTCTTCCAAGGAGCAGGTGTCTTTTACTTTCATGGCTGCAGTCACCATCTGAAGTGATTTTGGAACCTAAGAAAATAAAGTCTCTCATTATTTCCATTGTCTTCCCATCTATTTGCCATGAAGTGATGGGACTGGATGCCATGGTCTTAGTTTTTTAATGTTGAGTTTTAAGCCAGCTTTTTCACTCTCCTCTTACACTTTCTTCAAGAGGCTCTTTAGTTCTTCTTCGATTTCTGCTATAAGAGTAGTGTCATCTGCATATCTGAGGTTACTGATATTTCTCCTGGCAATCTTGATTCCAGCTTGTGCTTCAGCCAGTCTGGCATTTCGAACAATGTTCTCTGCATATAAGTTAAATAAGCAGGGTGACAGTACACAGCCTTGAAGTACTCCCTTGCCAATTTGGAACCAATCTGTTGTTCCATGTCTGGTTCTTACTGTTGCTTCTTGACCTGCACACAGATTTCTCAGGAGGAAGTAAGGTGGCCTGGTATTCCCATCTCTTGAAGAATTTTCCACAGTTTGTTGTGATTCACACAACCATATGGTTGTATGTGGAAAACCATATGAAAAAAACATAGCTCCAACTATATGGACTTTTGTGAACAATGTGATGTCTCTGCTTGTTTAATATGCTAAGTTTGTCATAGCTTTTCTTCCAAGGAGCAAGTGTCTTTTAATTGCATGGCTACTGTCACCATCCACAGTGATTTTGAAGCTCAAGAAAATAAAATCTGTCACTGCTTCCACATTTTCCCCCTTCTATTTGACATGAAGTGATGGGACTGGATGCCATGATCTTAATTTTTTTGAACGTTGAGTTTCAAAGCAGCATTTTCACTCTCCTCTTTCACCCTATCAAGAGGCTCTTTAGTTTGTCTTTGCTTTCTGCCATTAGAGCAGTATCATCTGTATATCTGCTGCTGCTGCTGCTAAGTCGCTTTGGTCATGTCCAACTCTGTGCGACCCCATAGACAGCAACCTATCAGGCTCCTCTGTCCCTGGGATTCTCCAGGCAAGAACACTGGAGTGGGTTGCCATTTCCTTCTCCAACACATGAAAGTGAAAAGTGAAAGTGAAGTCACTCAGTCGTATCCAACTCTTCCAGACCCCATGGACTGCAGCCTACCAGGCTCCTCCGTGCATGGGATTTACCAGGCAAGAGTACTAGAGTGTGTTGCCATTGCCTTCTCCGTCTGTATATCTGACGTTGTTGAAATTTCTCCCAGCAATTTTGATTTCAGCTTGTGATTCCTCCAGCCCAGCATTTCACATGATGTACTCTGCATAGAAGTTAAACAAACAGGGTGCCAAAATACAGCCTTGATGTACTCCTTTCCCAATCTGGAACCATCCCATTATTCCATGTCCAGTTCTAACTGTTGCTTCTTGACCTGCATACAGATTTCTCAGGAGACAGGTGAGGTGGTCTGGTATTCCCATCTCTTGAAGAATTTTCCACAGTTTTTTGTGATCCACACAGTCAAATGCTTTAGCATAGTCAATGAAGCAGAAGTAAATGTTTTTCTGGAATTCTCTTGCTTTTTCTATGATCCAATGGGTATTGGTAATTTGATCTCTGGTTCCTCTGCCTTTTCTAAATCCAGCTTCAACATCAGTTCTTGATTCACATACTATTGAAGCCTAGCTTGAAGAATTTTGAATATAACCTTGGTAGCATGTGAAATGAATGCAATTGTGTGGTAGTTTGAACATTTTTTGGCATTGCCCTTCTTTGGGATTGAAATGAAAACTGACCTTTTCTAGTCCTGTGACCACTACTGAGTTTTCCAAATTTGCTGGCATGTTGAATACACCACTTTAAGAGCATCATCTTTTAAGATTTTTAAATAGCTCAGCTGGAATTCCATCAACTCCACTAGCTTTGTTCATAGTGATGCTTCCTAAAGCCCACTTAATTTTACACTCCAGGATGTCTGGCTCTAGGTGAGTGATCACACCATCGTGGGTATCCAGGTCATTAAGATCTTTTTTTGTATAGTACTTCTGTGTTTTCTTGCCACCTGTTCTTAATCTCTTCTGCTTCTGTTAGGTCCTTACTGTTTCTGTCATTTATCATGACCATCTTCACATGAAATGTTCCCCTGGTATCTCCAATTTTCTTGAAGAGATATGTAGTCTTCTTCCCCATTCTATTATTTTCCACTATTTCTTTGCAGTATTTCTTTAAGAAAGCCTTCTTACCTCTCCTTGCTATTCTCTGGAACAGGGTTAGGGTTCAGTTCAGTGAGAACTATTGTCATTATTCGTGCCCCAAGGCTCCTTACAGGGCTCTCGAGCTGTGGGTGGATGCTGTGAGGGAGGCTTCTGTACTGGGGGTTAGGTAAAGGGGCAGCAGTCAGTTCCGCAAAGGGGTTGGGGAAGGCATGGAAGGGGGCCCGCTGCCTGCTGGTCAGAGCTCAGAAAGCCGCTCTCCCAGGTTCTCAGGGCTGTCCCCTCCCTCTCTTCCCTTTCCCCAGACAGCTGGGCCCCAGTGAGGTCACATGCTTAGCACAGCCATCCTTCTGGCCTGTGGATACACTCACAGCACAGCAGTGCCCCCAACACCCAGCGACCGCCATGGTCAGCCAGGGAGCGCCCACGGGAGCCTCCCCAGGGTTGGTCGGGGCTGTTGAGCTGAGTGGGTGATGGTGGCAGGCCCTATGGGTCACTCTGTGTCCCCTGGGTCTGCTGAGGTTAGCTAGGCCACAGGTCAGCCCCTCACAGCTTCTCCTACAGGCTGGACAATGACGGGGCCAGGGTTCACCTGGGCCCTGGTCTAGGTCTCCCTGGAAGCTCCTGGTAACAAACAGCCCCTCCCCTCTGGCTGCGTATCCACGGCAACCCTGTAGAGCCTTTCTCTCCACAGGCCTGCTTGTACCTCAGGCCTCAGGTGAGTGTTGGGGAGGACCCTGGCTCTGAGGGGACAGAGACCACACCAGTGAAGGACCAGCACCTTTGGGGACCCATGCTCTAGGCTGGGGGACAGGTGTTCAGGTCCTGGAGGCAAGGGTGACAGGGAGGAGATGACAGGGGATGGCTGAGCACCCAGAGATGTTGTGCCAGGGGTGGGGTGCCCTGCTGCCCTGGCCGGCTCAGAAACGCGTGGGTGTAGATGTGACTGGTAGTGTGCCTTTCAGGGGGGCAGACACACGCACCCCTTCTTGGAGATTGACACCCTGTGAACCAGCAGTCCCGTCTGGGGCTGTCACACACAGGGTTGGCTGTGTAAGGAGAGCCCTGCAGACCGCACACACACCAGACCCAGTGTAGCCCCGCCACCCCTCCTCCCAGCACCACCAGCAACATCAAGAATGGCCCCCAAGTCTCGTCAGGAGGCTGAAGATGCTGAGGAAGAGGCTCTCGCATCCCTGGTGGACCGAGAACCAGTGAGTGGCCATGTGGGGCCTCCAGCGGGTGCCACTGCATACCCGGTGGCTCCCACACGCCCTCAGAACGCCAAGCCCAGCTCCACCAGGATGGTCTCCTCCATCAACCTGCAGTAAGGAGGAGAGGGGTGAGGTCAGCTGCTCGGGCCAGGCCAGCCAGACAGCAGGGCCTGACCAAGCAGCGCGGGGGGCTGGTATTTCAGGTCGGCCTTGGAGTCCCTGGACCCCAACACCCTACGGCTGCTCTGGGGGCAGAGGGAGTTGGAGATCCAGGCCCTGCGGTGGACCATCCAGAATCAGCGTGAAGCCCGGCACTGCCGTATCCTGCAGAAGGTGGCTGGGCTTCCGGCTGAGAGGTCAGTGGGGTGCGCTGGTCCCCACCACTCAGTCCCCGGCCGGCCCTAACCCTAAAGAAGTTAATACACTGTAAACCACCCAGACCCTAGCCCCCGAGCATGTTGATGGGTGTTGAACCCAGCCTAGACCCCGCCTTTGACCCAGACCTCTTCAGGGCCTGACCTGCCTGCCTGGCCCTGGCACCCTAATGAGTGAAGAGGCTGCAGACCCAGAGGTGGGGCTGCTGAGGTTACCCCTCCCCCAGGAGCTCGAGAAGTCAGGAAAAATTCCTGCAAAACCAGGTCCAAAAGCTGACTTTGGAGTTGAAAGCGCAGAAGGAAAAGGCCCAACTGGTGAGGGGCAAGAGGGATCAGGGCCAGGGATGGGATGGAGGTGGGTGGGGGGTGAGTCCCAAGCCAGGGTGGGGTGGGCCGGGGATGGGGTCTGTGGAATGCCCCGCCCACTGCCGACCTGCCGGAGCAGGAGAAGGAGCGCCTGGAGGAGCGGCTGCAGCAGACAGGAGACGCGCTGCAGCAGCTGGAGGCCGAGCTGCAGGCCTTCCAGAAGTCCTGCCTCCTGCAGCTGGCCCGCTCCTCCTGGGTGGGCCGCATGCTGCGGTCTTCCACGGGCAGCGTGGAGGTGAGCCTGGCTATGGGCGGCCCCCCGGCCCACCCTCCTTGGTCAGCTGGCTGTCCCCTTCAGACTGGTGCTTCCACTCAGGGGCCTTGGCCTCCCTGGAGGCCTGCCTCCTGGACCAGGGATGAGCAACCAAGCCTGTGGTCCCTCCCACCAGGCTCTTAGCAAGTGTGTGGCCCAGGTGCTGGGAAGGCTGGAGGGCAGAGTGGCCTTGGGCAGAGGGGTGTGCTCCCCCCAGTCCCTGCCTGCTGGCCTCCTGTGCCCTTTGCAGGTAGTGACGGCAGAGACCCTGATGGACCTCAGTGACTTCTCTGAGAACGATCAGGCCCCCACTGCTGGGGAGGTAAATGAGGCCCTCCAGGTATGTTCTTGGATCTGCAGTCCTGCAGGAGGGTCAGGTAACCTGCCTGTTGCTCCATGGCCAGGGTTTCCGGCTGGAGGATGTGGACTGGAACAGCATTGCCCACCGGTACCCTAACCTCTTCACCAACCTCGAGTCCAGCTCAGATCAAAAGTAACTGCACTGGATGGGGACTCCGCAGGGGAGAGGGAGAGGAGGGGAGGGCCTGCCTTGGCTGGGGTGAACCAAAGTCCAGGTTCCACCCTTTAGTGTCCGTGGACAGGTCATTTAAACCTTCCAAGCATCACTTCTCTAACCTGCAGCTTGTAGTCAGGGATGAAGGAAAATCGTTCTGGGGCCATCTCTGTCTACCCATGAGCCCTTTGCCCAGGTGGGGTCCTAGGGACTGGGGCCACAACTTGGTGTGCCCTGTTCCCATCTGATGGAAGTCAGATGGGGGCAGGGCTGGGGTCCAGGAGCCAGAGCCCTGGGCAGAAAGTTGGTCATGACCTGCAGGCACCCCCGGACCCCGCAGCTTCCAACAGCCTCACCGCCTGACCAGTGGAGCTCAGAGCTGTGCTGTAGGCACCAGGAGCACAATCTCAAGAGTGTCGAGTGGAGCTCCCTGCCCTTGGTGGGCACCAGCAGCTCCGGGGGCGCTGACTCCGAGTCCAGCAACAGCCAGCTGGCGGTGCATAATCACGTGCATAAAGTGACAGGGGCCCGTCCCCCAGTGCCTGGCCGCACTGCCAAGCAGGTGGAGGCACGGGCACAGAGCCTCTGCAGGGACAGTCAGGCAACATTTGAAGGTGGAGCGGGGCGGGTCTCCCCTGGTTTCTTCCCCCTCCCACAACTGCAGGTCTGTGATCTCTGTCCCAAGTCACAAAGGACATCCCCCTAACCTCCTCACTTTCACAGTTGCCCAGGTTGAGGCAGCAGGGGCCTCTCCAACCCTGTCCCTAGGGGTTAGGGTGGTCTTGGAGGACTCCTGCTGCTGCCTATGTGCTCTGGCTTGAATTCACTTGCCGCCCCACCCCCCACCAATTACTGTGCAGCACTCCTCTGCTTCCCCACGCGCCGGGGGCCCACTGTCCCTCCTGCTTGGATCTGACCCCTGCTGCTGCTTCTCCCCCACATGGACCTCCAGGGCACTGCGGGCCGGGTCCGGCCTCACAGGAGATGTCCTCGGTAGACCCTGGACCCTCCAAATTGGGGTCCCCCTCCCAGGCAGTCTGCCTCTCCCTGCATCTCCAGAAAACCCGCTCAGACAAGCAGGGCAAGAATGGCCGGGAGCCTAAGTCTGGGGTGGATTCCCATCTCTGGACTTCCGGGCGCTGTCCAAGGTGAGGCGGGGACCCAGCTGGGGCTGCAGGGTCAGGTCTCCTAGTGGGACCGTGGCGGGAGGGACCCCACTGACTTGGCACAGCGTCCCTGCCTGCGCTCCAGCCCCAGCCCCACGGGCACCTGCCTGAAGATCGTGGCGGTTAGCCGCCGCCAGAGGTTCGTGCGCATCCTCAACCAGTCGCTGGAGGAGACGGTGGACCTGGGTGGCTTCATGCTGCAGCAGCTGGTGCTCGACTTCCCTGTGTGCATGTACCGCTTCCCACCCAACACCCTGCTGGCTCCGCGGCACCACATCACGGTGCGCCCTGCTCCCCGCACCCCTCGAGGCCCAGCCCTCCGGCGGCCCCCCCTTCACTCGGCGCCCTGCCGCCCGCTCTTCCCAGGTGTGGGGCGAGGGGCCCTGTAGCACCAAGCGGCAGCAGCCCTCCTCCCTGGGCCAGGAGCCCGTCCACTCCTACTCCAGCCGAGGCTGTGCGACCCTCCTCCTGAACCCCCAAGGCGAGGTCAGAGCGGGTCCCAGCGGGGACGGGGGGACGGGCCGGCTTAGTGGAGTAGGGGTGACTTCCGTCTTTCCCACGGCTTCTTAGGTCCTCAGCGAGCACCAGTCCCCACACTACGTGACCCCAGTGTCCAGGATCTTCGCAGACAACACCGACTTGTCCATCGACTGTTTCTCGCTCTCAGAGGCCCGGCCCGGAGCTGCCCTTGCGGAGCATCAGCCCCAGCCTCGACCCCCGCGCAAGGGTCGGGTGCGGGAGGCCCAGGCTGGGCGCCGGAGGCCTGGGTGGGGACCGCGAGTCCCTCAGTGCCTGCTTTCTCCCCAGGCCTGGACTTGGCAAAGACCCCAGACTCCCTGCTAGGACTGCCCCCTTCCCCCCCCCCAGGTCCCACCTTTCGCCTGTTCTGGACTCCCCTCAGGTCTTCCACCTCCCCAGGCCGCGTCTGCCCCGGGACCACCCCTTCCCGCTGGCAGGCTGTCTCTCACGATCCCTCCCCACCTCCCCAGGCCGCGGGTCGGGTTGCCCCGCCTGAGTACCATCAAGCTCCTCCGCCAGCGGGAGGCGCCAGTATGGCCCGAGGACGCGGCCCAGACCCACGCAGAGCTCTTGCCCGCCATCCCCAGCCCCGGTGAGTGCGCAGCTGGGAGGAACGTGGAGGAGGGGCGGCCGGCAAGGAGGGGGCGCCCGGCTGACCCCACCCATTCTCTTCCTGAGCAGAGGTCGGGATGGGCCTCCAGGACTGCCAGGGTAGGAAGGAGCACAAAGTCCGGGTGAGTGCCGCGCCGGGCCGTGCCGTACCCCGCCCCGCCCCGCCATCAGACCACGCCCACATACCTGCCCCCTCCACCGGGTCCCGCCCTTCAACACCAGGTAGCGCATGCTGCCCCGGGACACCTGGGCGGGAGGGGTGGAAAGCTGGCGCTTCTGCGCTCCCCAGCAGCACCGCCGGTCTCGGCCCCGCTCCCCCCCCCAACCCGCAGGTGTGCCGGAAGAGGGTGGACCGCGGCTGTCCCATGGTGACGCTGTCGGTGCAGAGCACGGCTGAGAGCAGGTTCGGCTTCCGCTTCCTCAGCTACCCGCCCATCACCGCGGACACTCGCTGGCCGCTGTAGGGCCGGGCCGGGCGGCGGTGCCGACGGCTGCGCCCCCGCGTATCCACGACTGTGGCGGTGGGGCAGGGAGAAAGCACGGCAGGCAGACGGTGCTGGCTGCATAATTTATTGAACTAACGCCGCCTACTAAGTAAACCGCATTTCTGTACACCTGAGAGTCGAAAATGATTCGTTTGGTTTCTGGGTATCCAGCCCCAAGAGGAGGGAGCTGGTCCTCCCATCCCCACGCAGGGAACCCCACGGGTCCACCGGGGTTGGCCGACAGCAAGTGCTTCTACTTGGGACCGCAGCAGCCCAAGGGTGGCTCAGAGCCCTGGGTGGCTGGAGGGCTGGCCAAGGGCTGGCCAGGGCCCAGTTCCAGCCACCTTGGCCGGGGCCCAACCTGCTCTCTCCCAGGCCTGCTCCTCAGGGAAGGCCAGGCCTCACGGAAGAGGTGGGTGGCTGGGCCAGTGGTGGGGACTTGTGCGTTCTATCCTGGGTTCTACCTCTCCACCGTTGGTGGTCCCAGCTCCTGACTTCCCTCCACCAAGAGGGTCCTCTCCTGTGCCAGGCCCACTTCTCCCTCCCCAGCACCCTGGCCCAGGTGCTCTGGATTCTATGAGTGCACTCTGGGCCTCCCACGATTGCCCTGGGGCCCTTGGCCACTCGCCAGGCCGGCCTGGCAGTGGGTAGGGGTGTATATGAGGGTGGGGTCGGGCTGGGGTGGTGAGTGTCAGGTGCGGCATGCACCAGAGGCTGGGGGTCTGGCTGCTGAGTCTGGGGCTGGCTTTGGGCCTGGACATCCCTCTGCTTGAGGGCTGGGGCCTGAGGTCACTTCTCGGGCTCTCAGAGCAGTGACTGGAGCCAGCCTCTGACCCAGGCCAGGCTCCAAACTACCCAGGGTTCTGAGCCTACGCCCCCGGAACTGCAGATCTGCGGACCCCCTGGAGCTGCAGCCCCGGTCTGGCATGGAGGACTTGGGGGGACAGGGAATCAAGTTGTACCCCGAGGTCCTGGAAGACTCTGGGAAAGGAGGAAAGACAGCAGGTCAGACAGGGCCACCAGCGTCACCAGGGCCGGGCCGCATGGCAGGGCCACAGTGTCCGCTCACAGGCAGGTGGCCCTGGGGTCGTTCCCAAACCTCCCCCATGCAGCGAAGCCCTGGCACCCCCTGAGGGCAGGCTGGGTGGGTGTGTTCGTGGTCACCCAGTGCCCACCTGGACCCTGACTGAAGTAGGAGGTCCTAGCACCTCTCTGTCCCTCACTGGCTGTCGCTCCTCCAGCCACTCCTGCTGGCTGCCTGCCCACACTCCCTCCTCTCCTCCGCCCTCAGCTCGGTGGCCTCAGCCAGGTGGTGAGGTCCCTGGCTGAGTCCGGCCGCCTTCCCCAGCCCCTGCCTCAGGCACAGCAGCAGCACAGCGAATGCAGAGCTTTGGCCCTGTCCTTGCTCCATCCTGGCCTCTTTGGTGCTCCCCCCCTGCCACAACCTGCAGGGTCCTTGCAGCCCCTGCTTACAAATGCCCGCTCCCCAGGTTTGCCCGCCCAGCTGTTCCACAAGTCGGTTCAAACCTTTTCTCCAGGAAGCCCCCCTCGCCCCTTCTCTCTGCCTCACAGCCCCTGCGCTGGCTCTGCTCAGCCATGGTCACTCTCAAGCCAGTGTCCCTGAGGGAGGGTCTTGCCTGGCTTAGCTCTGTCTCAGCCCAGGACAGGCCTTGTCTGCAGAGGAAAGGCAGTAGCCGCCACCTGCTACCCCCCACCGTGGTCTCCTGCCCACCACCTTGCGGGGGGCCTTGCTCTCTTCACTGGGCTTGAGCCGTGTACCGCCCTTGTCGGGAGGGCCTCCTGTCTCCCTCTCCCAGCTGACCCGGCTGCCTGGCCCCATGGCTCAGGGGAGGGGAACTGGAGCCTCCAGCCCCAGGAGAGGCCCTCCTTGCCCTTCCCGCCTCAGCCCGGTGCTGCTCTGCGGCGCTGGTTCTGTCGGGCAGGCTACCTGGGGCCAGGCTTGGGGGGCTGCGGTGAGGCTTGGGCCCGGCCTTGTCCTCTTGCTCTTCAGGGCCCTTCTGTGGGCCCCAGGGGGCTGCGGCCCCCTCTTCCCAGGACTCTGGGCACCTACTGGGAAGGGGGCTGGGGTGTGGTTGGGGGAGGCTGCAGCCAGCTCCTTCTTTGGAGCAGATTCCAGAGGAGTGTGACTTGGGGCTGGTCCCCCAGCCTTGGGCTCCTGTGACCCGACCCTCCAGCCACCCGGGGACCAGCAACAACTCAGCCAAGGCAGGTCCCAGCCACAAGCCCCCCCGGATCAGAGCACACAGGGTGGCAGGGCTGGGGTGGGGGGTAGGGGGCACCCACTGCAGGTGCAGCTCCCTCAAAGCCTGAAGCCCGGCGCAGGCCAGGAGGTCGCGATCGTCAGCAGGGTCAGGCCTTGGGGCAGAGGCCCTGGGGGCCAGCTCTTCCAGCCTGGGAGGCGGCAGCTTCTCAGGGTGCACCCCAGCCTAGGAAGGGAGAGGGCTGGTTCAGGGCATGGCCTGCCGGGGCTGGGAGGATGGGTGCCGGCCAGGGTGCCGCCTGTCGTGGGGGCAGGCTGTACCTGGCACTGGTGCCGACGCTCCTGCAGGCCTTTCGTGGGGTTCCCACAGAGGACTCGACCGGTGCCTGGAGAAGAGGGTGCAGCTGGGCCTGGTTTGGGGCTGAGGGGCTTCAGGGCCAACTTCACACTGAGGCGGGTCACCTACCATGGGTGAGGTTGCTGGCATCATCCTCTGGGGCCGGGCCCTTGGGAAGGAGGCCTTCAGGCAGGGGGACCCCGGGGACCAGCAGGGAGAGAGGCCAGCGCCTGGGGGCCCGGGGCTGGGTCTCAGGCAGGCACAGCTCAGGGCTCAGGCTCCACATGGGGGATCCGTGGGTTCGATCTGCCCAAGAGTCAAAATCAGAGGTCACCAAGGCCCACGCCAGTTGGTCAGCCAGGAGTCCCCCCAGCTGAACCCCGTCCATGGAGCCCACTGCCCAGCATCAGTGTGCCTGAGGCCCCGAGTCACGGGATGGCAGGTTTCTCCCTTCCCTGTGCAGATGGTGGGGGAGGCCCGCACCAAGGCTGCTCCCAGGGAGCGTGTCCTGGCCTGGGGGTGTGTGTGCAGGGCTCTGGGGACAAGGGGTCAGGTCTGAGAAGGGACACAGGAGGTGACCTGCGAGCGGGACGGGGGTGCAGCCCCTCCTGGGGCTCGCAGGTGAGGTCCGCAGGCCGGGCGGGGTGGCCCCAGCCCGAGGCCCTTGGACGTGGCTGCATGTACCCGTCCCGGGGAGCAGGCTGTCTAGGATGCAGCCCTCCTTGATGGCCTCCTTCACCAGGAGCCAGTCCTGGTCCAGCTTCCAAGAGGCCGGCAGGCCCGTGTGCGCAGCGGGCAGCTCGTCCAGGACCTGCAGCTGGGGGATGAGCTTCCTGACCTCTGCCCTGTAGTTGTAGCCTCGGGGCACCTGCGGGTTGGGGGCAGGCCTGAGTCCAGTGGACCCGTCAGGCCAGCCTGGGCCTGAGCTGCTCCCCCAGCCCCACTGTGGGCAAGGCAGGGGAGCTGAGGGTTGCTGGGGCCAGGCCCGGCTGGGTCACTCTGGAACCTCGGGGACTGCTGGGACCCTGGGCTGTTGCCCACATATGATCGCACTCTGTGAGCTCACTGCCAGGGTCCAGGGCTACCCTCTGGCCTGCAGGGCTGCCTTGAGTTCAGAGCTTGGCCCTGTGGGTGGTGGAAGCAGCCGGGCAGGCGGAGGGAGCTCTGGCCAAGGGGGTGCAGCCCCCAGCACGGGGGCCTGCGGGGTGTGCATACATGACTCCACGTGGAGACTGTACTCTGCATGGCGTGTGCACAGACCTCTCCCGGGAGCACACGTGAGCTAGGGCCTGGCCTGGGTATGTGTGGCCCTTTGGAGTCCAGTCGTGCGTGGCCCAGGGGGCTGTGGGGGCAGCCACTGGGCCCCCAGCAATATGAGGAGGAGCTCCCGGTGAGGAGGCCCCGATGTGCCCTGGGCGGGTCCCCCGGGGTCTGCTGCGACCTGGCCCGTTCAGGCGGGCAAAGCAGTCCCCTGGCTGGCTGAGGGGCTGGCACCACAGATCGCCTCCCTCCTGGTGGTGCCCACCTGGTGGGTTGGGCCGGGGCCTGGCCTCAGGCAGAGTGGGTTGCCCTCCAGGGTGAGCGTGGCCAGCCGCGGGCACAGCTGCAAGTAACGCAGCTGCCCTAGGTCCTCCACACAGTTGCCTTCTAGGTCCAGCACCTCCAGATGCTCCAGCAGGCACAGCGGGCTCAGGTCCCAGATGTCGTTGTAGGAGAGGTAGAGTTCCTGGGGGGCATGGAGGGGGAGGGGTGCTCAGCCAGGGCTGCCCCCCACCTCCTGCCCCCTGTCCGCCCTGCCCCTCTCCTCCCCCACCCAGGGCAGGGCAGACCCACCTTCAGGGCAGGAAAGGAGCTGATGCCGTCCAGGTCAGCCAGGCCGCAGCGAGCCAGCCAGAGCACGTGCAGGTGGCCCAGGGAGGTGCCCAGGTCCCTGCAGAGGGCAGGGGGGCTGGTCAGTGCTGTCCTGAGGTGGAGGGCTGTGTCGGTGACCGCTCAGGCCCTGTGCCATGCCTTGTGCCCGCCACCACCCACATCTGCTGTCTCCAGATGCAGGGGCCGTTGGGACTGGCATGTGCGGCCTCCAGGCCAAGGAGGAGCTCCAGAGCACCCGGCTGCCTGCCTTCACTCCTGGCTGCAGCCGCTGGAGAGCCCAGGCCTGGCTGCAGGTCGCCCTTGTGCTTGACGGCTGCTGCCCACTGCGGTGGACCTGGCCTCCCCAGTGGGGCCGGCGGGGGCCCTCCCTCCCGCTCTCCCCAGGCCTTTCTTGCAGGTGATTCCCCCCCTGCAGCCCCTCCCCAGCCCAGCTGTGCTTTCAGGAAAACCCCTCCCCACCGGGACTGGCCGCGCCCCCGCGGGTGGGCAGACTGGGGCTCCGGCAGCTCCTGGGATGCATTCGTCTGTGCTTTCTCTCCTGATGTCCTCTGCTCTCGTGTCTGGAGCGTGGCCTTGCCCGTGTGGTCTCGTCGGCCCTTCTCGCTCCCGCTTCTAAACCTACACCTTTCCTCTGCTTTCCAGGAGGCCCCCTTGTCTCCCACGTTGCTGTCAACATCACACATTTAATTGCTCAGCGCCCGTAGCTGTTCTCTCCTCTTTTCCCGTAGATGCTCTTTTTGTTTTGAGGGTGCAAAGAGGCCATGCGTCCTTCTTTGCCTCTCAGAACATTCCGTGAAGGTGCCTGAACATCTTACTCCCCCTTGGCACTGTCCACAACCGCTGAGCCTGCGGCCTGCGTGCCCCACCTCCTGAAGCCCACGTGCCCAGGAGCCCGTGCTGGGCATCAAGAAGCCACTGCAGCGAGAAGGGCTGCGCACCTAGAGAGTAGCTCCTGCTCGTGCCAACTAGAGAAAGTCTGCACACAGCTAGGAAGACCCAGGGCAGTCATAAATAAGTTAACCAATTAAAAATATTGTTAAAGCTATCAGAATAAAACTAGTAATAACTAGAAAAATCAGAGAAGATGAACAGAGCCCAGTGATGACTCTTTAAAAACTTACAGAAAATCCTTTGGCAAGACTGATCAAGGATAAACAGAGGGACCATGCAAATTAATGTATGGGACTTAAAAAGAGGAATAATTATGGTCTGGCAGCAATTTAAAGTAGCAAAAGACCATTAAGAACCACCTGTACACCAATATTCTTGAAAACCCAGAGAGCTGGCATTGAAAGACAGAAAACTAGGGCATTCCCTGGCAGTCCAGTGGTTAAGAATCCGCCTTGTGATGCAGGAGACATGGGTTCAACCCCTGCTCGGGAAACCCAGGTCCCACCTGCTTCACAGCAACTAAGGCCACGCAGCACAAGTACTGAACCCATACGCCCCACCTCGAGAACCGACTCGTGGCAACGAAGACTCCACGTGCCGCCCGAGGCAGCCAAATAGACAAATGTTTTTTTAAAAAGGAAAGAAAAGTATATTAATAGCTACTAAAGAAATTAAATGGTCACTAACAGCCCTCCCTCCTCTCTGCCCCTGTCAAGTCCCCAGGTTTGTATCAGTTTTAAAGTACATTCTATTATGAAATAGTCAATATCTTCTACAATAATTTCTTATATAGAAGTTTTTTTAAAGAAAAATTAGGCAATTGAAAAGAACAGTAAAAGCATGGGTCTGAGTCAGTCTTTGATTCCGGGACCAGAGAAGTACAAATTGGACCATCAGTGGGCTATTACTGACAAAGACAGATGTGAAAATTGTGAAGTAAACATTTTAATGTTACAGTGACTTAAAAATAGCTCATCAAGTAGTGTTACTGCAGGAATGTAAGGATGAATTACAAAATCTGTCAATGGAATCCAGTACATAAGCAGACTAAAGGAGAAATATCACTTTATGATCATGTCAGCAGATGCAGAAGAACCCAGACACATACCCGTTAAGATGAGGAACAAACCCAGGACATCTGCTACTATTATTGCCACTGTTTGACATCATGTTGGCTAGTAGGTCCTGGCCAAAGCAATAGACAAGAAAGAGAAGCAGGAGATTAGAGTGAAAGATAGTGCTCATAACTTGCTGATAATATGACCATCCATATAGAAGCCCAACTGAATTAACAAATTATTTGAACTAACAGGAGAGTTTGGCAATAATGTTTAAATACAAAACAAAGGTACAGTATTGCCAGAGGTAATAGACCCATTTATCAAAATCAATTGTTTTATAGATTAAAAAAATCTACCCCAAATCAGCATAAGCACAGTGTTTTTCTAAATTTGCAATGACCAAACAGAATACAATAGAAACAGGACCTCATCCACGATTATCAAAACACTATAAATATGAGGGAAGTGATTCAGTTCTGGTTTCAGGGAGCCCAGCCTTCAGAGGAGGCTGATGTCCTGCCCTGTACCAAGTGGCAGTGGGGTGCACAGGCGGGGGTCCTGGTTAGCCCACTGCAATCACAGTTCCACCCCCTGGAGAGTGGTTAGTGTACCAGAGTGTACACATCGTACAATTCTGGCCAAAGAAATGCAGGAAGAACGCTGGGAACCTTGTTCTTACCAACTGACAGACACAGAAGGGCACATTTCCTGTTGTGGATGAACTGCATCCCTGCAAATTCATATGTTGTATCCTGACCCTCAGGACCTCAGACTGTGCCTTGATGTTGAAACTGGGTCTCTGCAGATATCACTAGTAGAGATATGAGCATATGTGCTAAGTTGCTTCAGTGGTGTCCAACTCTTTGCACCCTATGGACTGTAGTCAGGGGGCTCCTCTGTCCATGGGATTCTCCAGGCAAGAATACTGGAGTGGGGTGCCATGCCCTCCTCCAGGGGACTTTCCTGACCACGGGATCAGACCTGCATCTCTAATGTCTCCTGCCTTGGCAGGTGGGTTCTTGACTACTAGCACCACCTGGAAGCCCTAGTGGAGATGAGGTGGGCCCTAATCCAATATGACTGGTGTCCTTTTAAAAAGGGGAAATGTGGATCCTGACACCAGGAGAATTAGGCTATACAAGGTGAAGGCAGGGACTGAGGTGAGGAACGCCAAAGATGGCCAGCAAGCCGCAAGGAGCGTGACAGGTTCTCCTTCTGCCTCAGGAGACACACCTCGACCTTGACTCATGACACCCACACCTGAGTCAGTTTCTGCTGTTCAAGTTGCCTAGTTTGTGATGGTCTGACAAGGCAGAATAGCCTTTAAACATCTTCAAAGTTTATCAGTTAGAATGCTTTCAGCTGCAAGTTACAGAAACCTGTGTCCAGTTGGCCTAAGCAGTGAGAAACCGTTTACCCCTTCAGTGGGTAGCTCTAAAGGGAGGAGGTACGTGTATACAGGGGCCTCCCCTGGTGGCTCAGTGGTAAAGAATCTGCCTGCAATGCAGGAGCAGCACGCAGGAGACACAGGTTCGATTCCTAGGTCAGGACGTTTCCCCTGGAGGAAGGCATGGCAACCCGCTCCAGTGTTCTTGCCTGGAGAATCTCATGGACAGAGGAGCCTGGTGGGCTATGGTCCACGGGAACACAAAGAGCTGGACATGGCTGAGGCAACTTAGCATGCACACGTGTGTGTGGTTGGACAGCAGAAACTACGTAACACTGTGAGGCAGTTATACTCCAATTAAAAAAATAAAGTCTATTAAAAACATAAAAGCACACATGAATGGAGAGCTATGCCATATTCATGGATGTATGTAACTTAAAAATTAAATGAACATGTGACTTCTAAAAATTCCGCCCCCCCCCCCCCCAAATCCAGAAGGATTAGGATGTGTGAAACTCAACAAACTGATTGTAAAACTCAAAGGCAAGAATAAGTGTCCAGGAACAGCTAGGTCAGCTTGGAAAAAGGAAAACTCAGATGAGGGTCATGTGTCGCACAGAAGCACAGAGCCACGCCATGAGGACAGAGCTCTCAGCTCCCAGCGTGCCCACCTGGCCTGGGGAGCTGACCCACTGCGTGCACGCGCGTGCTGAAGGATAGAACTGCATCTCCATCTCACACCAGGAATGGGGGCAAACTGGCAGATAAGAAGGATTAAAGACCCAAAAGTAAAAAGTGACACCACAAATGAATAGAAGAGAAGACTATCTCCAAGACCTTGGAGGGGAAGAGGTGGACGAATCTCCTAAAAAACTCCCCTAGCACCAGCTAGCACTAACGGGCTAGAACAAGTCAGAATGAGGGGTTTCTGCTTGAGTTAGTAGGGGAGGCAGGGTGGAGAGTCACAAAGTCTCCAGTGCACCCAGACTGCACAAACAGCCCACAGAAATGGACAAGGAGAGGGCAGAACTCACCTGAAAAGTCAGCACAAGGGGTAGTAAAGACTGTCCCTTTGGTCACTGTAATAGTCCCCAAGTTAGCTGTGTTACTGGGATTTCCCCACCCAGCAGTCCTGGCAAAGGATGCACGTGTCGGATGCTGGCTGGCCCAGAAGTCAGCCCCACCAGTCCTCAGGTCAGGACACTTTCAGGGGCTGAATTCTCCCTTAGCCTTGGATGAAGTGACAGTCATCACACAAGTCATTTCCCAGCCTTGTAACACCACTGAGGTTCTAAAGTCTTGACCATCCCTGTATCAGCTAAGCTGTAATACCACTCTGTTGGACTGTCGTGTTGAATTAGTTCCCTCTCACAAATATTAGCTCACTGTCACACCATGGAGATTTGCAAACATAGTTTGGCCAAGTTTTGGAATTTGATAACAACTTAAAGATTTCTTCCATTTTGCACTATTGTTATTAAGGAACAGAACACATTTTTGCATAAAATTTATGATGCAATTTTTCCTGGAATTGATTTTTCTTGTTTTTTTGCTCAAAATCAAATATTTTGTTACAAATGGTCCATCATATTTAATTTTATATCTTCCACTTCTCTTTATAGTTTCCATTCTTCATGTATTTTCTATATATTTTTATTAATCTTTGAGCTAATGTATAAGCCTTAATGATGGAGAAAGTACGATTTTTTTTGTTTCTGTTAAGTTACAGGATTGATGTCTTTGTCACAATATGCCTGAAGATGAAGTGAAAGTCGCTAAGTTGTGTCCAACTCTTTGCATGGACTCAATACAGTCCATGGAACTCTCCAGGCCAGAATACTGGAATGGGTAGCCGTTCCCTTCTCCAGGGGATCTTCCCAACCCAGGAATTGAACCGGGGTCTCCTGCATTGCAGGCAGATTCTTTTCCAGCTGTGCTACCAGGGAAGTCCTACAATATGGCTGAACCATGCACTAAAGGCGTTTCCGAGAGCCTGGCTTCCAGATCCTTCCTTGCAGGCACAGGGGCCACACAGGAGCCCTGGGAGCCAGGCTCCCTGCTCGTTCCTGCCCACAGTGGGCACGCAGCCCCTGACCTCCTTTGCTTTCACTTTCAGGCTTTCAATTATTTTATTAAACTCTTTTTGATGTTTATACGAATGAAGTAAAGTGAAGTGAAAGTCGCTCAGCTGTGTCCCCATGAGACCCCATGGACTATATATAGTCCATGGAATTCTCCAGGCCAGAATCCTGGAGTGGGTAGCCTTTCCCTTCTCCAGGGGATCATCCCAACCCAGGGATGGAACCCAGGTCTCCCACATTGCAGGTGGATTCTTTACCAGCTGAGCCACGGGGGAGCCTTACATGAATAACCAGCAGTATAGATAGGCAGTTGCTCATGAGTTACGTCATCTTCTCCCCTGAAAATAACTGGACACTCACAGCCCATTTAAAACATTGGGAGAACTTTCTAGATTTGTGGCTGGCCTCCTGCTGCCTTAGGACAGCTGTCTAGCTGCATAAAACACTCCATTTGCTCAAACATGCAGATAAACTCTGATATTACTTCAGCTTCATCCTTTCCAGCCTGACGAAGTAAGTAAAAATCTTCCTCTGTCCTTCATTCTGCACGTCATCTTTTAAACTAATTATCAAGATGTTCTTGTGCTTCACGTGGGGCCCGAGGCCTGGCTGGACAGCAGCGGCTGTGCCCCTCTGCTCGTCTTGCTGAGCACAAGAGGTGATGGGGGTCAACTCATGCCCCAGCGCAGGGATACGGCCCCAGGGGTGGTGAGGGGCGTGGGAGTGCTCCAAAGCCAGTTGGTGATGCACCGTCCAGCGTCATGGGTGGGGGTTTCTTTGCCGAAGGTCAGTGGGCACTTCTGAGGACCACACAACCTGCGGTGACCAGCCCAAGCCAGCCTGCAGGCTCCAGGCAGAGTGCGTCAGCCTCAGCGGGACCAGGGGTGGGCGTTAGAGCTAGAGACAGCGGGATGCCCGGCCCCGCCCCCCGCCCAGGCCGAGACCACCGGGGCACTCACCTCAGGGAGCCCAGGCAGCTGCCATTCAGCTTCAGCTGGCTGAGGTTGGGCAGGTGCAGCCCTGCGGGGCACAGGGGGAGAGCTCAGCACTGGCCCTGCCGCCCTGGCACCCTTTGGCGACACCAGTGCCCCTGGTTCCTGCTGCCTGTAGCTGCTGAGGCCCAGGGTGGCCTTGGGGCCACATGCTGACGCCTGAGGCCCTGCTCGAACGAGGCAGGCCAGGGTGTACAGAGTGCCTCGAGTGGGCAGGGCCACACAGGAGGCCATGAAGGCACTGGACTCTGGTGGGAGGGGTCCCGGCTGGCATCCTCGCACCGAGCGTGGGTCTTGCCCCTAGGCCACTCCTGCGACTGGCCCCTGGGTCCCGCAGGCATAGCCAGGCCAGAATCCCCATCGGCTCACATTCTGGGCTCTAGAGCAGGGGACCCTGGGGCCCCGGGATGGGGCTTTGAGTCAGGACTGCCTCGAAGAACAGGACACTGACAGAGTCTCTGTCCTCAGTCCCTGGAGAGAGGTGTGCGGGGCGGGCCGTGAGGAGGGGGGGGTCCAATGACCAGGGCTGGAGGGCAGGGTCCAAGTAGGCAGACCCTCCAAGTGCAGCCTGGCCGGGATGATGGTGGGTGTGTGTGGGGAGGGGCTCTCACCGAAGCTCCCCAGGCTGTTCTCACGGGTGTTGACACACATCTCCAACATGCTCACCAGTTGGAGGTCATCCTCCTGGGCCAGGGCCTGCTGCAGGGGTCAGGGGCATCAGCCCTGGAACCTAGACAGTAGTCACACCCCCTCCACCCCACCCTCCCAGTGAAACTCCTGCTTTTGGCCACAAGGCTGGAACAGGTGCAGGCATTTCCCTGCCTCACCCACGTCAACTCCAGCCACTATCAGCTCTGGCTGGACCATAAGTGTGATGTAAGAAGAGTGGAGATGGTGACCCTGTGTGGTTGGTGGGGCCATTGCCAGAGAAGGGCCTGCCCTGGAGGGGTCCTCACCCTAATGAGACCCACGGAACAGCCCCAGTGCAGCTCTGGGCCTGAAGCTCAGCCCTGCTGAGCACGGCCAAGCCCTAGCTTCCCTCACACCCGTGGAAAGTATGCTTATACTGTAAGCTGCTGAGTTTGGGGACTGTTTGTTATGCAGCATCACTATAGCAATAGCTGACTTATACAAAACTTGAGACCTAGATGCAGCTCCAATAGCTGCCATAACAAACAATGAAACGCTGTGGACTGAGCACTGGCAGCAGGGGTGGGGCTGAGGGGTTCCTAACATGAGTGTTACTAAAACTGGAAAGATGGAGACACAGATCATGTGATGATGCAATTTTTTGGTAAAAAGGGTTTCCAGTAGAAACCTGGCTGGCAGAAGATGCACACAGTGAACTTGTGACGGTGGGTAGAGAGGTGCCCAGCAAGATGTGGGCAGAGTGAACTGGCCACAATTCACTGTATTTGATGAGTGCCTGCAGGAGGCAAAGTTCAGCTGGAATGGGGAGATCCCAGGAGTTCTGAGACCTGTGGCTCGAAAAATACAATGGCTTCTCAACTCAAATCAGTGAAAAGAAAAAGGAAGAAAGGCTTGGAGTTAGAAAGACCCCGTGAGATTCGGCCTCAGGGAGAAACCGGTTGCTAGGCACTTGCTGCCCATGGGTGGCTCTAGGAGGACCAAGGCCTGAGATCCCTGGCTCCAGTGATCGAGTCTGCAGAGACAGAAATGCTCCAGCAGCCACCAGTGGAATGACTTGGGCGTAGTGGGCACTGATACAAGTGCTAGGAAGCATGCTTGCTGAGGGCCAGGGCCTGGACCGAGGTTGACCGTGGCTGTCAGAGACCAGGAGTCCGGGCTTCTCTCACACAGGTGGTGAGTCTCCCCAGCCAGAAGCCAGGTGGAGGATGGGCAGTTCCAGGGTGGGCGGGGTGGCCCTGGCCCAGGCACCCGCCCAGCGCAGGGGCTGGTACGGCAGCCGGCCTGACGTGATGGGTCCATGCTGGACCCAGACCTTGGGCGCTGCTGTGCTGCAGGCCCGGCTGGAGGGCAGACACATAGGGGCCACGAGGGGCGGGGGGCCCGCAGGAGTGTCCCGTCCAGACAGTGTGAGCCCTTCGAGTGGGCTGGAAAGGTGGTGGGGTCCTGGGGCACCCAGGCTTCCTTCTGCAGAGTTTTGGTGGTTGTGTCACCCCAGGGTCGCCAAGGGTCCCCTCCCATTTGCCTCTCACATGGGTGCAGGTGTGTGTGGGGGTGGAGGGGCACTGGACCCCATGGAGCCCTCAGCATGGCCAACCATGGGTGGGTGAAGGGTGTGGCCAGGAAGGGGAGGGGCCCGATTGCCAGGAGGGCAGGGCTGCGCTGGGGTCGCCAGGGGAGAGCCCTAAGTCAGAGGATCTGCAGAGCCTGCGGGGCCTCAGGGTGGGGGGCGGGACTGCCATGAGCACCCCAGGTTTGGGAGAAAGGCTTCCACAGCTGGATCAGCGGGGTACCGAGACACCCCGTTGGAGCAGCCCCCCGGCTGCCTGCTGCCTCCTCTGCTCACAGCTCGTGAAGTCTGCGTGCTGTGCGCTCCGGGGGCCTGTCACCCTGTCTTTCACAAGGACAGGGGCCCTTCTATCTGGTTTAGGGTCCCTGGAGCCCCACGCACAGCAAATCCGTGGAAGGGCCTGGCTTGGGCCCTTCTGGCCTGAACGCTGAGGGACTTTGGGGTAGGCCCCGGAGGGGAGCAGGGGTCCAGGGGGCTGAGGGCATCTGGCAGCCAGCTGAGCCCAGCCCCACACTCACCAGCCTGGTGGGTGACAGGCACTCCTCTGCCAGCTGCCCGCTGTGGCCGTGCTCACAGTGGCCTGGGGCCTTGCTCCGAGGCTGGGGGTTGTGCAGGCTCTGCGGGCTCAGCTCCCGAACTTGGACGCGGGCTGTGCTTGGCCAAGGCCCGCAGGCTCCATCCCAGGCCTGGTCCATTCACACCCAACCTGCCGGGTGCAGGCAGAGGGCAAAGCCGGTCAGCCTCTGCTCCTCCTCTGATCCACAGCCCAGCCGAGGCCCTGCAGAGCCGCTGACAGGTCTGCACACACAGCAAGCCCCCCGAGCCCCTCTGTGGCCCAGAGAAGGCCCGACAATGAAGTCAGGGTCTGCCTGGGCCCTTATGGTCTGTCCCTCAGCCTGGGCTCACACCCCGGCCTGGGCAGGCTGTCCTCCGGATGCCTCTGCCCACCCTTCAGGGTCCCGGGGGCTGCCGGCACCGGCCTCCCCCTCTGGAGCCCCACGGAGGCCGCGAGCCTGGGCCGCTGCCTTCAGGCCGTTTGCTCCTCTGCCACTGGGAGCAGCAGCCAGCTCTGCCTTGGGCCTCGTGTCGTCCTCCACCAGCGGTCTCTGAGCCTGGGGCCTTCAGGACCCGGGTCTCGGGCACTGCCTCCCACCCCTGTGCCCACCAAACCCCCTCACCAGGAGGCTGCTGCCTTTTCCCACCGTGGGTCAAACATCTGGGCAGAGGGTGGCATGTGGCCCCAGGCGGCACCTGTGAGAGACTCCAGTTGGCTTCCTGGTCAGGTCACTGTGCTCGAGGGACCTGGGACAGGCTGGGCCAAGGTCACAGGGCTCAGAGTGAGCAGGTGCAGAGGCAGCGGGGCTGTCAGCCTGGGCCCTGGCCCTTAGGTCCTTTCACCCATCCTGGCCTGGCTGATGGGGGAAGACAGCCATGTGGGTGACCGACACCGGGGTCCCTCTGGGTCCCTCCAACGCAGATGCTTGATCTTCATTCAAATCCCCAGTTCCCTCCATCCTCAACTCCACTCTCTCCAAAAGGGGTGCCCAGCCTGTTGCTCTGGCCCATCCCCTGTGGGCTGGTCTCCCAAGGACCCTGCTCATGTTGGTGTTACCCCCCAGGCCGCAGAGGAGGGGGCCCACCTGCAGCAGCCTCAGCTGGCATTGCCCCTTAAAGACCCAGCTGCCTGTACCCGGCCCCAGACCCAGGAATCATCTCTGTGAGTAGAGCCAGAAGACTGTGTGGACCATCTCGGCTACTTCCGTCCATAGGCTCAGGGCGTCACTGGCCCCCACGCCTGTGCTCCTTGCCCCCTTCCTGAATTTACCCCCATAAGACTGAGTCCCTCCTGCAGCCCTAGGTGTTTTATGACTCATTCAGCAGAGTGAGTGCCTTGTCCGAGACAGTGTGGGTTCTGTGCAGGCAGAACCTGGCTCACCTGCCATGTCCAGTATGCAGAGCAAGGGCTCTGGGACATTCCCCCCACAACTGCTTTTGTCTGTCAGCCCCTGTGGGCGGTCACGATTCATCCTCCACATCGTGTCTAGAACCAGCCACCCCGGCCGGGGCGGTGGTGGGTGTCAGCTGGGCTTTGCCAGAGAGGGTGGCAGGGAGTGGTGGGCCTTGGAAGAAGTTGCCTGGGCTACCAGGTGCCCTTGTGTGAAAAGTGACCACACAACAAAGACCCAAAGAGGTGAAGCCATGCAGAGGAGTCTCAGGGAAGAGATTCATGAAATTTCTGGCCAGGATTTCTTTCCAAAAGTTCCTCTGCTGCCCCCTTTTCTCCAGCTGGTGAAAGGCCCCGAGTCTCAAAGGAGGACCCCAGCACCAGGCCCCCTGGGAAGATGCTGCCCCTCCCCCCGAGATGCCAGCCTGGGGCTCTGGGAAAGGTCTGGGCTGGCCAGGTTGCAGCTTGGGAAGCCAGTGGGCCACCCTCTTCCCTCTGTGCCTGAGAGCAGCTGACCAGAGGTCCTGCCCATGACCTGGCCCAGGGTATGGTCTTGTTTATCCAGAGGTCCTGCGGTCCAATGAGCAGGGCCTGGGTAGGAGGCTGAGGCTCTCGAGACACTGTCCCCTCACGTCCACTCGCTGGCCTCGACCTGTCCACTCTGTTCACAGCCTTGATCCCTCCTGCCCTGCCACTCCCTGAGGCCCCAAGCTGGAAACCTGGGGGCCTTTCTTCCTCTATGGCGCAGGCGAATGCCAGCTTCTGGCTGGACTCACCGCCTCTCTCGGTCCCCTCCACCTGCCACCCGTTCTGAGGTCAGGGTTTGTGGTTCCTCCTGTCCTGGTGACCTCAAGACCCTCAGCAGAGCCAGGGATTGTGGGATGGGACCCAGGGAAGCAGATTTGACATCTGGGGCATCACAGGGACCCCCCCTGTCGTGGTCGCTCCATCCTCGGCCTCCGTTCTCCCCTTGCCACGGGGAAAACTGTGGCCCTGCGGCCCCAGACCCAAAGGCGCTCTCGTCTCTTACCTGACGGGGTCGGCCCCCGTGCCCCAGCCGAAGCCCCGGGCGCCCTCCTCGCCGGGCGCTCCCTTCCACTCGGTAGTTCTTACGGCCGCGGAGTTGAGGGGCCTGGGCGCCAAGGCAACAGGGGCGGGGCCTCAGCTGAACTTGCAAATATTCATGAGCCACGGGAATCCTTAGGCTCCGCGCGGCCGAGCCACGCCCCTTAGCGACGGTTGCTGGGGCGCGGGGGGGGGGGGGCAACCCGGTTGCGGGGTTTGCGCTGGTCTCGCCCCGCGCGCGCGGGAGGGCCCCTCCCACAAGGAGGGACTCTGGGGAGAGGAGACGCGGTATAGCCAGCGGGGCGCAGACGAGCCCGGGGTCTGCACCCACAAAGGTGGTGTGGGGTGCAGACTCGCACCCACATTTCTCGGTGGGAGGCGCCCCTGTCGGGCTGTCCCTGAGACCAGGGCCCTGCAGGGCTTACCTCCGCCTGCTTGTGTGGCCCACGCCACGACAAAAGGACCCTCTGAAGACGAGGGAACTGCAGACCTGGACACCTGGAGGGGAGTCGGGAGTGTCCGCGCCGGCGAGGGGCGCGGCCACCGCTGTCATTTATACGCCTTTACTGCGGGTCTACGCGCGTCAACCGGACACGTGGGGTTGGTTGGCGCCGTGCTGGAGGCGGGAGCGGCCCCCAGGGGCCCGCCGGGGTCGAGGCCAGCAGCGGGATAAGCTCGCGGGAACTGCGCGGAGCAGGGGCGGAGGGGGCCGAGAGGCGCGGAGGGTGGAGTTGCCAGCTAGTGCCGGAGGGGCAAAGGTCTGGGCTCACGTGAGACGCACCGTTCTTTCCTGTAAATACGGAGGATGTTTTTATGCTTTACTGTAAAAAATTTTTTTAATGTTAAAAACATGCATTTCTGAGCGTCTGTAAAGGAGAAACAATGTGCACATTTACGCTTGGGGTGCGGTAGACTTCAGTTTAGCCCCCCATAGTTACTTCGGGGGTGGATTTGCTGGGTACGGGTTATTAGCTGAGATTCCGCAGGGCTGGGACCTGGCGCTTCGGGGAAGCTTGGTGGGCAGGTAGTCTGCAGGGGCTGCCCAAGTTTTGGGAGGCTGGCGGTGATGCTCGTCGGAGCTGCGCGCTACGTAAGCGAGAAGCAAGACCCTGGGCACTGGCTGGAAACACTGGGCCGGACTCGCCGTTCTGCGGGCTCAGACGTCCCCGCCCAGGAGAGGCGCCCATGCGCCGCCTGGCCTAGGGCGCAAGGCCGAGCCGCTCCCAGGACCCCGCGGAAGCTGCCAGGCTCCCCTCCCGGAGCCACCTGAGCCTAACCCTCGTCTGGGCAGCCCCTCCGCCCTTCTGCGGCCTCAGGTCAGGGGCATCCGCGGGGCTGACGACGCGGGCTCCTGCGTCCCTGAGACTCAGCCCTCGGGCTGTCGCCTCCTTTCCGGGCCCTGCGTGGGGCGGCGCGGACCCGGGCCGGGGGAGGGGTAGGCGCAGAGGTGCCCGGCGGGGGTGCCCGGGGTCCAGCGCGGGGCTCCGGGAGCAGCGCCCCGCCCCAGTCCACACTAGGCCGCAGACTCGCCTGGCCACGGGGTCTCTATCTCCCCACGAGGCCCGCCTGCTCCCAGGAAACCCCGGGCCTCCCTCGGGGACGCCACCCCCCGGGGGCCCATGCTCCGAGCAGCCAGCCCCGCAGGCCTCGGCCCGCGCCGGCCGCTGGAGCCGGCACCGCCCTCGGAGCTGCTCCCGGAAGCCCCGCCCGGCCGGGGCTCTGACGGGCGGGCCTCTCGGCCAACCGGGGCGGGACGAGGCGGGGCCCGGCGCGCTCGGTCGGCGGGGGCTGCGGGAGGCGGCCGGTTCGCTCCGCCTCGCCCCGGCCAGCACCTCCGGCTCCATGTCCCGGGCACGGCCTTATGGGCTCCGCAAGTGACTTGGATGTCCGCGAGCAGAAGCGCTAGACGGGGTCTTCCACCCGCTGGAGCCCCACGGGCCCCTCCGGAGAGCTCGGGCATCCGGCGGCCATCACACACGCCCGGCGAACCAGGGGTTTAGAAAGTCACTGCCCGAGGTCCTCGCAAGGGCGCCCCTTCTTTAAGCATCACAGACCGGTGACCCCCCAGCTGGGGGCCTAGGGCCCAGGCCCTCTCCCTTTCTCACCTGTCCCCTCGAGCCCACACCTCTTTTGGGTCTTTTACTGTGATCTGCTTCCTGGAGCCCCGGCCCCCTGCCCACCTCCACACCTGCTTTATATTCTCCAAAGTTCTGGCAGTGGGACCCGTGGGTTTATGCGGACTTTTCCCTTGGAGTGTAGCCCAAACCTGCCACGGCAGGGGTTCTTTCTGTCACCGTGTGCCTGGAGCGGCACCTGGCATGCAGTAGGTGCTTACTGAATACTTGTCAAATGCACCAGCATGCCCTGGGGGGAGGGCTGGAGCGGATTGTCGGTTGCCACCAACCTGTCTGGGCACGCTGCTGTGCCCGCCACTGTGGCAAGACCTGTTCTCGTGGAGGTGCTGGTAACCTCAGCCCACAGCGCCTCGAGTTCAAGCTTTTTGCCTACCCAGCAGCTTCTAATTCGGGTACGTGCTTGGGAGATGCTCCCAGCTGCCAGCCCTGCCTCTAAGGGGTCGGCTTCTTGCTTTTCTCATGCAGTCATTATAAAGTGCAGCTGGAGGCAAGACTCCCTCCCATCTCTGGGCTGGAGGTGCCACAGGTGAGCGACTGGACCACCACTCTGGCTGCTGCCCCTGACCCCTGGATGTGTAGGCCCAGAGGGCAGGCCGGACCTGGGCAGGCTGGTCCAGGGAGCTCCCTGCGCCCGCCCTGCATGGTCCGGCCTGCTGAGTGCGGCTTCCTCGGCAGGTGGGACCGGAGATCACTGCAGCGCCTCGTGCCACGGTCATCGCCTCGAGGAGCGATGACGGAGTATAAGCTCGTGGTGGTGGGCGCCGGCGGCGTGGGGAAGAGCGCCCTGACCATCCAGCTCATCCAGAACCACTTCGTGGATGAGTACGACCCCACCATCGAGGTGAGCCTGCCTGGCTCTTGTCCGCTGCTTGGCTCCTGATGTGGGCTTAACTCGCACCTCCTCTGAGGAGGGGTCCCCACATCACAGGTCCCCGGAGGTGGGGGGCTAGAGAGGAGCAAGGGAGGTCCCCCCTCCCCGGGAGGGCCAGCTGTCTCTGAACAATGTCGTCCGTAGGACTCCTATCGGAAGCAAGTGGTCATTGATGGGGAGACGTGCCTGCTGGACATCCTGGACACGGCGGGCCAGGAGGAGTATAGCGCCATGCGGGACCAGTACATGCGCACCGGGGAGGGCTTCCTCTGCGTGTTTGCCATCAACCACGCCAAGTCCTTCGAGGACATCCACCAGTACCGGTGAGCTGCCCGCTGGCCCTCAGGGGCCAGGCCCTCTCTGCGGCCTGGGTGCAGCCAAACCTGCGGGCCGCCTGCCGGCTCAGCCCTTCCTCCTTGCAGGGAGCAGATCAAGCGGGTGAAGGACTCGGATGACGTGCCCATGGTGCTGGTGGGGAACAAGTGCGACCTGGCCGCGCGCACCGTGGAGTCTCGGCAGGCCCAGGACCTCGCCCGCAGCTATGGCATCCCGTACATCGAGACCTCCGCTAAGACCCGCCAGGTGAGCCCGGCCCCTGCCCCACAGCCAGCCAGGGCCCCGCCCCGCCCGTCCACCTGGGACAGGGCTCACTGCCCCCTCTCCCTCGACGCAGGGCAGCCGCTCTGGCTCTGGCTCCAGCTCCGGGACCCTCTGGGACCCTCCGGGACCCCCGTGACCCAGCCGCCCCTCTCGCTGTAAGTCTCCCCGGATGGCAGGGCAGCGAGGGAGGCCAGGGCCCGGGTCTGGGCTGAAACAGCTCCCAGGGGAGGTGGAGGTCCCTGGAGAGAGCTGCCCTGAGCCAGACCGGAGCGGTGACCCTGGGGCCCCAGCCCCTGTGCCCCCAGAGCGCCCCGTGAGTCCCAAGGGGCCCCGAAGACTCAGTGGGCTGTTGGGGAGCGGCTGAGGACAGGCCTCCCAACGAGGCGGCCCTGGGGCCCAAGGCAGGCAGGGCCCGGCTCCCCGTCTGTGGGTTGGGGAAAGGGCTGGGGTTCTGCCCCCGGCTGAGGCGGTGGTCCCGCCCTGAACTGGGCCCTCTTCCTAGGGCGTGGAGGATGCTTTCTACACCCTGGTACGCGAGATCCGGCAGCACAAAGCGCGCAAGCTGAGCCCGCCGGACGAGGGCGGCCCCGGCTGCCTGAGCTGCAGGTGCCTGCTCTCCTGACGGTGGCGCGGGCGCGGAGCACTGGGTGCCACGCAGGAGGCGGCACAGCGGGGACGGAGGGAGATGCCGCCAGAGCCCGGCCCCCCACGTTGGCGGACGGAGTGCCTACGGGCCTCCCGGGACGCTTCGCACAGACTCTGGTGAACTGATGCGCTGGCCCCCAGCCTCGCTCTCCTCAGCCCCATCCTGGCCCAGCGGGCGCAGGCCCAGTCGCAGTAAATTATTTCATGGTCTTGACCTGGCGTTTGCCTGAGGCCAGGAGGCCGTGGCGCGTGTGGCCTCCCAGGAGGTAGACGGGAACCACAGCTTCGTCCGGGCGGTGGCTGCCCCGCCTCTGGGGGCCCCTGGCGTGTCTGGCGGAGCTCTCAGTGCAGCCAGAACCAGCCACCTGACACATGGGAGTTTGTCAACCTTTAATCAGCACAGGGGGAGGGCATCTGAGACCAGAGACTGTCCGTGCAGGTCGGGGAGGAGTGGGCCCCTGGGGCGGCTCTTGGGGCACTGCCTGGTTCTGCTGTGGTGTCCTGGCCCTGCGAGGGGCGCTGGCTGCAGGCGCCACAGGGCAGGGGGGCGTTCTGAGCCCAGCGCCGTATCGCCAGCAGGCTGGGTGGAGCTGGTGGCTGGGGTTGGCCCAGGCAGGAGCCGAAGGGGAAGGGACCCGCATTCTGCCTCAAAGCAGGCGGCCATTTGCCTGTGGCCTCTTGGTTCACTGGGAGGTCTGAGAGGGAATTACATCACTGGGGCCGCTGTGCTGAGGGTGGCCCTGGGCTGAGGACAGACAGGCCAGACACGGAGCCCCCGGGGCCAGAGGGAGGCCTGTGGCTGTGGCCCCCTTCATGCTGCCGCTGCTTGGTCTTCGGGCCTGGCGGGGCAGGGTCCAGGCTGCTTGTGCTGGGCAGGTGGGCCAGGGAGGGCCAGCCTGTCTTCTCCGGGGAGTGTCTTGATACTGGGAGGGGTAGGGGGGGTCTGGGGCCCAGATTCAGCCGCTCACTGGAAATGGACAGACCGGGTCGGCTTCCCCACCAGGCCGGGTGACCTATGCAGGGTGGGCCTGTGAGGCCTGCGTGGCTGCCCCAGCCCGACACCGGGAACCGCCCTCCAGCCCGCTGGCCTCTGGCCTCTGCAGGGGCTGACGCTGCCCAGCCCTGGCCAGGTTGGCTGAGTCTTAGAGCAGAGGAGCAAACTGATGGGGTGAGGAGGAAGCCCCGGGACCCCCACCCCTCACCACCCCGGGGTAACTCGGGACCTCTGCTGAGCCTGCTTGGGCGGGGGGAGGTCACCTTTCATCCTGTGCAGCTCAGCCATCGAGAGGCCTGCAGGGCCCAGCCTGGGGACAGCGTGTCCTGCAGGAACTCCTGCAGGTCTTCCAGGGGCGGCTTCCGGAGGGGTTCTGGGGGGAGGGAGCCGTCAGGCCAGCGGGAGCCCCCCCAGAAGGCCCGGCCCCCCACCCTGGAGCACCGCCTGTGGGCAGCGGCGTGTTCCGCTGTGCGCCACGCCTGGGGGTCCAGCCGTGCCCAGGGCGGGGCTGGGTCAGAGGGCGTGCTCCGGGCCGGTGGGCTGGGTGGCTCACCACGGCCTGCTCACTCCACATGGGCCACTGGCTTTGTGTACCTGAGGACCTGTGGCCGTGAACACGTGCTCGCTCTCCAGGATGTAGGTGTCTCCAGGCTTCATGGTGACGACAAGGGGGTCTATGCGGACAGCAGGCCCAGCAGGGTCAGCTCGAGCAGGGCACGGTGGGGGTCGTGGCACAGGGTACGAACCCCCCAGTGACCTCTGGCCCCTGCAGTCCCCCGGGGCTGCAGCACGCCAGCTCCTGTAGCTCCTCATCCTGGGGGCTTGTCCTGGTGGTCTTGGCTCCTGGACTTCGGCTCCCGAGTGAGTGCCAGCACTCAGGACTGAGGGACAGTTCTGCAGATCATCCCCCCCAGCAGGGCAGCACACTGGCTCGCCTGCTCCCAGCTGACCCAGCCTTCCTGATGGGAGCCCCACGCCTGCAAGGGGGGCTCTGGACTACCCTTGAACACCCCCTGATGGGGGAGGGGCCCCCTCTCTGGGCTTCCCGAAGGGGCAGGAGCCCTGGGGGACCCACTTCCTGGCAGCTTCGCCCAGTCAATGAAGCCCTGTAGGAACCGCTCAGTGGTGTGGATCCCTGTGGACGGCTGCTCCTCGTGACGGGCAGCGTGGGGGTCAGGCCTGCCTCGGGGCCGGAAGCAGCCCTATCTCGGGGCCCAGGACCCCCAAGGCTGGGGGGACGTGCTGCCGCGGGCCTGCCCCAGCCCCCTGCCCCACGGGAAGAATGAAGCCACAGTAGGCCGGGCGGCCAGGGTGGCGGGGGGACAACCTCTGGGGGATGCGTCTGCGCGCTGCTTCGGCTTGGGGGGGCCCTGCCGAGAGTGAGCTGGTGGCGGGCCTGGGATTGTGGCAGTTTTGGGAACCCTGTATGAAGAAGCCTGAGAAGCCCCCAGACCCCACAGGTAAGGGCTGCCCCCATCGAGAGTCAAGTGCCGCCCTGACCCCGGCCCTCGGGGCCTCAGTCCTGGCTGGACACGCTCTTCCCAAGGAAGACACCCTCCCTGTGGGGCCGGGGCCGGGGCGACGCCCATTGGCCCAGCTCTGCTGCCGTCCTGGGCTGAGGGTGGACTGGGGTCCAGCCCTGGCACGTGCGCCCCCACAGCAACCACAGCAGGGCTTCCGGAACCGAGGGGCGGGGAGTGTGGCCTACAGGGTGGCTGATGGGTGCGTGCTTGGTCGTCTGCTGGGCCTGGGAGTCAGGCTAGGCACTGGAGCCACCTGGGCTCCATCTGGCTGTGGCCTCGGAGGGCACTGGGCACCTGGCGGGCGTGAGGCAGGGACGGGGGAGCTGTCTGGGTGAGGCCAGGCTGGGGACCCAGAGCGCAGCGTGGGGAGCCAGTGCCCTTCACTGATAGGAAGATGGGCTTGGCTGGGTCCCACCAGCCCTGCTGCCGGGGGAGCTCTCCAGGGAGACTCCTGGCTCTGGGGAGCGCCCAGCAGTCCAGGGCAGTCACCTACCATGCACGGCCTGCTTCTCCTCAGTCACAAGCTGGACCAGTGCCAGAAGCTGTTTTCCTTGCCCAAGAGCATCAGCTGGATGGCCACAACCTGGTTCACACCAGGCTCTTGGAAGAGCCAGACACACGGGGAGGGCTACCCAGAGGCCTCCCTGGCTCCCGGACGGGCTCCCGGCCAGCGGAGCTCACCCTGGAGGGGCCACCTGAGACGCCCTCCGGACTGGTGCAGGGGCCAGCCCGCTGCCTGGGTCCCCTCTGAGATGAGGTGAGTGGGGCAATGGGAACCTGCCGTGAGGGCAGGCTGGGGGCTTCACCTGGGAGGGTACATGTCCAGGGGCTGGCCCAAGACCCCACGGTGGGCAGTCCCTGGCGTCCACTCAGCTAGTGTTCCTTGAGGTAGTGTTCTGGAAAGAGCCAGGCAGAGGGAGAGCTGCCTCCTTGGGGGCCCTACACGCATCTGGGTTCCTGGGAACTTTCGTTCCTGCTGAGCTTCTGGTGAATGATGCGGCATTTTCAGGATCAAAAGTCACGTTTCACAACAGTGATGCTTATTTGGCCCTGAGCTCACTTGTAATGGAACGTTTCCCCTAGCAGCCCTGCCAAGCATGGGGTCGTTCCAACCAGGAGTTGGGTACCTTTCTGTCCTGAAAGGCAGGGTCTGCACCCAGTGTTTCTGCCTCAATCTGAGATCGGGGAGCCCCTGCACCACCTGAGGTGGTGACCATGTGCACCTGAGTTCTGACCAGCTCGGAGATGCCCCTGGGCTGGGCAGGGCCTGGGGGCAGGAGTACTCCTGGGTCGTGCGTGGAGCAGGCCTCCAGCGTGTGGACCAGGGCTTGCTGTCTGGGGAAGGGACACGGAGTGCGTGTTTCCCGCTGATCTTCATTTCATACTGTCTGACAAACCCTCGTGACAAAATAGGTGTGTTTAAGAAATAAGCCAAAAAAGCAGTGAAGTCACACTTCCGTGTTAAACGTTTTTCAGGGGTAAAGTCCACATGCAATGACATTCAAATATCCCAGGTGTACAGTTTGACAAGATTTTATTGTTTCAGCTTGCACACATTACAGTTCAGTCTCTGGGAAGGCAGCCCCTTGGGTTTTTGCACGCTGAGGGGTGGACACATCCACACTCTGACCGAAGCTCCCCACCCATGAGCCCCAGCAGCCGCTAACACTTGTCCTCCCGGAGCTATGCCTTTTCTAGAAGGTCCTATGAGTCGATTCACAGGTGGGGCTGGATTACTTTTAAGACGCACAGGTCCTGTTGTGCGAGTCAACATCCTGTTCCACTCGATGGAACCCCATGGTGTATCCATCCCCTCTTGGAGGAGCATCTTGGTTGCTTCCAGTTGTTAATGATCACGGATAGAGCAGTGAATGTTGCAGGTTTTATGTGGAGGTGAGGTTTCAGCTCATCTGGGTGAGTACCAGGGAGCATGACGCTGGTCACGTGGTGAGGGCGAGTGCACTTGGTGAGAAGCTGCCCGGCCACCTCCACTGTGACTGCGCATCCGCCCCCCCGCCCGTGCTGGATGCTGTCCCCATACACTTTGGTTCTTACTCTGCACCAGTCCTTTATTAGATTTATGATTGGTGAATATTTTCTCTCTCCCTGGAGCTTTCTGTTTCATTTTAACAGTCTGGTGCAGAATTAAATTTTACGTGTAGATACAGTTCTGTCTCTCATAGGTGTCTTCTCTCTCACCTGACCGGCCTCTCCCCTAGTGCCCATGGCCTCGCCCTGTCCTGACATTCTGGTTTCTAATGCCACATGTGAGGCCCCTGGGGAAGGAACATGGGGAGCTTGTTTCATGCTGCTCTTTATCACAAAGAAGCCAGAGGTTTAAGATGGAGCCAGCAGTTGGCACGCGGCCATGCCCCCTGTGTGCTCAGACAGCAGGGGCTAGGCCCTGGGTCTAGGATACTTACCAGCTGGCCCACTCCAGGAGAACTCGTTCTGTGGCCAGGCCTGCGGGCTGGCAGGGGTGGCGGGGACAGCGGGGCCCACCAGGCTCGGCCTCACCCCTGGCTCCTGTCCCCATGAGGCCTGCAGCCTGGTGGCCCTGCGGGGCTGGATGCTGCCTGGGCTGGTCGTGGCTGACTTCCCTGGGCCTGGTGTTGGAGGTCAGCAGTCTCGCAGCCACTCTCTCCAGGCGAAGACAGTCGTGGGGCCACCTGGCTTCAGGGTCTGAGGAACCCTCTCCGTAGGGCACCTCGTGGTGAGAGGAGTCGGGGCGACCACTCCACACCCACCTCGCTGCTTGCAGTGCCGCCTCGGCCTCAGGGACCCTCAAACCTCGGTCTCCCACATTACAGGCGGATTCTTTACTGAGCCATCAGGAAAGGCGCTAGTAGTAAAGTACCTGCCTACCAATGCAGGAAATGTAAGAGACGTGAGTTTGATCCCTGGGTTGGGAAGATCTCCTGGAGGAGGGCGTGGCAACACACTCCAGGATTCTTGCCTGGAGAATCCCATGGACAGAGGCCCTTGGTGGGCTACAGTCCTCAGGACCCTAAGAGACCCAGAGAGACACAACCGAAGCGACTTAGCATGCACATGCATACACACTTTAAAAACAATAAATGATGAAAATTGTCTCAAAAAGCAGAAATGTATAACATCAGGATGGGCATCATTTTGACCCCTCCCACTGGCATTCAGTCCATCTAGGCTCGGGTCCAGCCTGGTCTCTGATGCCTGGCGCCTGTCCCTGCCACTCGGCCCTCTGGGGCCTGCTGGGCCATCCCACCTGGCCCCGCTCTCCCCCGCCCACCGTGCCGCGGCCCCTCACGTGCCCACTCTCGCCCCCTCGACGCTCTCCCCGCACAGCCAGGCCGGAGAGGCACCCCGCTGCCCAGCCCCAGGGACTCACTTGATGCTATAGCGCGCCTGGAACACGATGCAGTTTAGAAAGTGCTGTTCACGGTCTGTCATCTGCTTTGTGTCTGGGGAGTGGAGTCCGGCCGGCGCCTTCCTTCTCTGTGGGCGCGGCCAGCATCAGGCTTAACCCCGACCCACTGCCCGACGCTTCGTGCCAGCGGAACAAGAGCTGTTTCTGCAGAAACCTCCTCTGGCTTCTTTCTGAAGCCAAGGCAGGTCACGAGGGATGCCCGCGTCCAAAGCGCAGACCCCTGCCCGTTAGGGAGGCGCCTTCCAGGCCAGTTGGACCCCTCCTCCGTCCCCTGCAGGGGGCCTCCTAGGATGACCATGCCTGGGGGGCTGTGCCTCTGTTCTCTGACCCCTCAGCCGGAGCCACACTGGTCAGTTAGGGACGGGTGGGGCCGGTGGGGCCGGGCCAGGCGGGTGGACCTCGGCAGGGGCTCGCTTTCTTCCCCCCGGTCATCTCCCGCTCCTCGCGTCCTTCGGCACTCGCCTGGCTCGGGGTCCACGAGGACTGGACGGCTGCTGAGGGCTCAGGCTCCCATCACTCTGACCTAAAAGAGCCCAGGAGGAGTGCGGAGCCCCACGGTCCTGACACCGCCCTGTCAGACCCTGGTTAGGATGCAAAAATTTAACTTTAGGGCTCCCCTTAGGCCTAACAGATGTGCATGTTTCCCGTTTCAGAGCTTTTTGTTGTTCATATAGTAAAAAACTCTGGACCACCGAATATTATCCTGATTTCTGCATATACCTGCCTGGTTTGCGGGATCCTTTCAGGACTGAGTGTGATGCTGGCTGTGGTCCCACAGTGACCAGAGGGTGTTCGCCACCTTATTAGCCTCCTAGGTTCCCTCCTCCGGCTGCAGTTCCCCTGCTGGTCCCACTCTGTCTGGGTGCACAGGGCACCCTCCCCGGGCCGTGTGACCTGGGGTACCCTTGTGGAAAGAGGGGTTGAGCAGTGGGAACAGACCACATGTAGGGACCTCGCTTAGGAAGTCTTTCTTATCTTTCTGTGTTAATCTTTGTAACTTTGCATTCAGATGGATATCTCTCTCCTTTCTCCTTTGCCTTTTGCTTCTCTTCTTTCCTCAGCTATTTGTAAGGCCTCCTTAGACAACCATTTTGCCTTTTTGCATTTCTTCTTCTTGGAGACAGTTTTGATCATGGCCTCCTATACAATGTTATGAATAGGAGTTCAGAACCGTTCATAGTTCAGAACTGTCCATATTTCTTCCGGCATTCTATCAGATCTAATCCCTTGAGTCTATTTGTCACTTCCACTGTATAATTGTAAGGGATTTGATTTAGGTCATACCTGAATGGTCTAGTGGTTTTCCCTACTTTCTTCAATTTAAGTCTGAATTTTGCAATAGAATGGGAAAGACTAGAGATCTCTTTAAGAAAACTAGAGATACCAAGGAAACATTTCATGCAAAGATGGGCACAATAAAGAACAGAAATGGTATGGACATAACAGAAGCAGAAGGTATTAAGAAGAGGTGGCAAGAATACACAGAAGAACTATACAAAGATCTTAAGGACCCAGATAACCATGATGGTGTGATCCCTCACCTAGAGCCAGATATCCTGGAGTACAAAGTCAAGGGGGCCTTAGGAAGCATCACTATGAGCAAAGCTAGTATAGGTGATGGAATTCCAGTTGAGCTATTTCAAATTCTAAAGGATGATGTTGTTAAAGTGCTGCACTCACTATGCCAGGAAATTTGAAAAACTCAGCAGTGGCCACAGGACTGGAAAAAGTCCGTTTTCATTAAATCCCAAAGAAGGGCAATGCCAAAGAATGTTCAAACTACCACACAATTGGACTCATGTCACACACTAGCAAACTAATGCTCAAAATTCTCCAAACTAGGCTTCAACAGTACATGAACTGAGAACTTCCAAATGTCCAAGCTGGATTTAGAAAAGGCAGAGGAACCAGAGATCAAATTGTCAACATCCATAGGATCATAGAAAAAGCAAGAGAATTTCAGAAAAATATCTACTTCTGCTTCATTGACTATGCTAAAGCCTTTGACTGTGTGGATCATAACAAACTGGAAAATTCTTAAAGAGATGGTAATACCAGACCATCTTGCCTCCTGAGAAATCTCTATGCGGGTCAAGAAGCAACAGTTAGAAACAGACATGGAGCAATGGATTGGTTCCAAATTGGGAAAGGAGTATGTCAAGACTGTATATAGTCACCTTGCTTATTTAACTTATATGCAGAATACATCATGCAAACTGCTGGACTGGATGAACTACAAGCTGGAATCAAGATGACTGGGAGAAACAAATAACCTCAGATATGCAGATGATACCACCCTTATGGCAGAAAGCGAAGAAGAACTAAAGAGCCTCTTGATGAAAGTGAAAGAGGAAAGTGGAAAAGCTGGCTTAAAACTCAACACTCAAAAAACTAAGATCATGGTGTCCTGTCCCATCACTTCTTGGCAAATAGATGGGGAACCAATGGAAACTGTGACAGACTTGATTTTTGTGGGCTCCAAAATCACTGCAGATGGTGACTGCAGCCATGAAGTTAAAAGATGCTTGCTTCTTAGAAGAAAAGGTATGACCAGCCTAGACAGCATATTAAAAAGCAAAGACTATACTTTGCCAACAAACATTCATCTAGTCAAAACTATGTTTTTTCCAGTAGTCATGTATGGATGCGACAGTTGGACTATAAAGAAAGTTGAGTGCCAAAGAATTGATGCTTTTGAACTGTGGTGTTGGAGAAGACTCTCGAGAGTCCCTTGAACAGCAAGGAGATCAAACCAGTTAATCTTAAAGGAAATCAGTCCTGAATATTCATTGGAAGGACTGATATTGAAGCTAAAGCTCCAATACTTTGACCACTTGATGTGAAGAACTGACTCATTGGAAAAGACCCTGATGCTGGGAAGGACTGAAGGCAGAAGAGAAGGGGACGGCAGAGGATGAGATGGCTGGATGGCATCACCGACTCAATGGACATCAGTTTGAGTAAACTCTGGGAGATAGTAAAGAACAGGGAAGCCTGGTGTGCTGCAGTCCATAGGGTTGCAAAGAGTTGGGCATGACTGAACGACTGAACGGAATTGAAGGCACCTCACTGGGGAATAGGAAAAGACCCGTTTCTTGTCCTGATTCAGCTTTTTCCAATAACACAGGCCTGTCGTTCATCTGGTTTGGCTGTGCCTTCTCTTTCATGTTTCTCTGGGTGACCCCTTGCTCTTTTCCCCTGGTTTCTGTCCCTTGCTGTGTGACTCTGTCCATGCCTGCCCCCCACCCCCAGCTGTCAGGAGGGCTTAGTTTGATTCCAGGTGGCACCTGTCCATCTCTGGACCAAGTGTCTGTACCAGGCCAAGCAGAATGGGCAGTGGGGCAGGGGCGTATGGGGCCCTCCTGGCAGGCAGGCTGGGGCCATGAGCCTGGGAGGTGCCAGGAGAGGCTGGGGGTGGGTGAAGGGTCCGGAGGCGGCCTGGCCTGTGGCCGTTGCCCCACGTGGGGGAGAGGGCTGGCCCTGCCCTGTTCTCTGCTCTCACCGGCTCCAGGTCCAGCATCAGAGACACACCTGCCCTAGCTCCAGTGGAGTTTCCCCTGCAGACCCGTCAGTGTGTTTGGGGGAGAAGCCTGCCCTGAGACCCGCACGTGTGGGGGATGCCCGGGAGGAGACGGAGGCAGAGGCTCTGCCTCAGCTGAGACGGACTGTGGCCCTGCTGTCCTTGCCCTGCGGGGCCCTAGGCTGGGCTGGCTGTGGTCCTGCTGTCGGATTCTCCCGGGGCCGTGTGAGGTGCCCAGGCCAGTGCCCTTCAGGTTAGGATGCTCCGTTGCGGCCCTGGTATTTACTCCAGTTCCTCAACATCTTCACTCACTTGTCGGCTCACCTGATCTCTAGGGCCTTTTGCTGGAAAATGGGACGTGGTGTTGGCCCAGCTGCCAGCTTTCTAGGGAGGCCCTGAGCGGGGTGACCTCGAAGGGGCCAGAAAAGGCGCAGACTTTCACAGCCCGAGGACACCTCACAGGTCTGGGGCCAGGGCGGCAGGGAACTGCAACCGGGCCTGTGACCTCGCCGCCCTCCTGCCGCTGCAGCATGGACAGGCCCTCACCTTTGCCGAGCGGATGCTGAGGTCCTGAGTGCTGAAGCTAGGCAGCTCCTCCTGACCGGAAGGCAACAGGAACAGAGGATGAGGACCTGCGCCTGGCCGAGTGCAGGGAAGTGGCCCGCCCCCACGGGCCCCCAGGTCTCAGCCCAGGAGGCTCCGGACAGGAGGAATGACCCCAGGAGGGTGCTGGCTTGGGCTGGGTTGCATCCCCACAGCAGCCCAGGAGGTGCCCCTCCTCCTGCCGGTGCCATCGCCCACTCTGCCCCGAGCTGGCGGGCCCTGTCAGGAGAGTGGAGGCCCGGTCCAGGCCACCCTCCTCCAGGAGCCCAGCACCTTCAGCCCCACCTCGGGAGCTCCGTCCCTGCACACGCACACCTCCTCTTCCTCCCACCCTGGGGCCTGGCCTGCCCTTTCACCCCCAGACCAAGGGGTCTCTCCTCCAGAGAAGTCTTTGAGCACCTGGAAATGCACCCCAGATGGGAAGGAGGGGCATCCTGATGACTCACAGTATAGGTGTGGTGACTTCCTGCAGCGAGAGGTCAGCATCTTCCCCGTGTTCCACTGGAGCCCCTGACTGGCCCTGAAACCCAGAGGGGACAGGGGTGAAGACATCGTGGGGCAGGAGGACTCCCCTGCCCTGCGTCCCAGGGCCCCAGCATGGACCTGCCTGCATACCTGGCTAGGATCCTGCCTGGGCCGCCTGATCCCATGTGCTGGTGCCCCCACCTGGGCCATCCCCGCGCCTCCTGATGAGAATGTCCACACGGACTCCGCCTGTTCAGTCTGGCTGTGAGCCCTTCCTGGAGCATAGCTGCTCTTGCTGCTGATGGCCCCGCCTAGGCGCCCCTGCTGCTCCTCGGCTCTGATCCCACCAGGGACGTCCCTGCTCCTGGGGGCTGTGCAGGTGGGAGGTCAGTCCCCGCCTGGCTGCACCCACACTGATGACTCTGGTCCCCGCCGGGCCGCCCCTGCTCCTCGGCTCTGATCCCTGCTGGAACGTCCCTGCTCCTGGGGGCTGTGATTCTCACCTGGGCTGCTGTGATTTCTGCCCAGGGGTGCACCTGCTCTGACTGGGTCCCTGACTCTGAAGAGACACACTCAAGCATCACCTGATTCACCTGCCTAAGATCCCCACCAGGCCTCACCTGCCTGTCCTGGGCTCTGACCCCTGCCAGGCCTCACTTGCTCATATTTGGCTGTTATTTCTGCTCATTCCAGGGCCATCAGGGTCTCCAGCTTCTCCATGTCCAATGCTGCAAGACAGAAAACCCAAACACCCCAGGGCACCAAAGAGCCTTGGAGAACAAATGAGTGAAGCTGGCTCCCTGTTGTAAGTGCTCTGGTCTGTCTGATCAGCAGGGGAGAAGACTACTCCGCCTGGGTAGGTGGCACCCAGGTTGGCGCATCACGGCTTGCATGCACACTCCTAACACTTCCACTTCCCAACTCCCCTCCCAGCCGCCTGGGAGACCCTGCCACAGTGAGATGAGCAGGAACAGGAAGGGAGCCAGGAGGCCCAGGAGAAGAGCCGAGCCGCAGCAGAGCACACCACGCACCTGGCCCTGAGTGTGAGGAAAGGAGAGGTCAGACGTGTGCCAGGCAGGGACTCCTGAGGCTTCTAGGAGCACGCCTTGCTGAAGCGGATGCCTGAGCGACAGGGTGCTTCCCTGTGGCCCTGCGGTTAGGACTGCACGCTTCCCCTGTAGGGGGCACAGGTTCCATCCCTGGTTGGGGAACTAAGATCCCACATGCTGCACAGTGCGACTAAGGAAAAAAAAGCAGTAGCAACAGAAAAAAATTGATGAAGTAGACTTTATCAAAATGAAAAGCTTCTGTGCTTCAAATGACCCCATCAAGAAAATGAAAAGACAACCTACACAATGAATAAAGATATTTGTGAGTCACCTATCTAATAAAGGGCCTATTATACAGAATACATATATATAACATACAGAATATATGAAAACTCCTAACTCAACAATAAAAAGCAGCAGCTCAATTAGAAAATGGACAGAGGACATGGACAGACTTTTCTCCAAAGTCTATCCAGCTCTAGAGAGCAAGGCCATTGGACGCGTGCAAATCCAGATCACACGGAGCGGCTCCTCCCAGCAACGTGAGACCAGGGAGTGACGGCAGCCCCTCCTGGCGGGCCCTGTCAGGAGAGTGGAGGCCCGGTCCAGGCCACCCTCCTCCAGGAGCCCAGCACCTTCAGCCCCACCTCGGGAGCTCCGTCCCTGCACACGCACACCTCCTCTTCCTCCCACCCTGGGGCCTGGCCTGCCCTTTCACCCCCAGACCAAGGGGTCTCTCCTCCAGAGAAGTCTTTGAGCACCTGGAAATGCACCCCAGATGGGAAGGAGGGGCATCCCGATGACTCACAGTATAGGTGTGGTGACTTCCTGCAGCGAGAGGTCAGCATCTTCCCCGTGTTCCACTGGAGCCCCTGACTGGCCCTGAAACCCAGAGGGGACAGGGGTGAAGACATCGTGGGGCAGGAGGACTCCCCTGCCCTGCGTCCCAGGGCCCCAGCATGGACCTGCCTGCATACCTGGCTAGGATCCTGCCTGGGCCGCCTGATCCCATGTGCTGGTGCCCCCACCTGGGCCATCCCCGCGCCTCCTGATGAGAATGTCCACACGGACTCCGCCTGTTCAGTCTGGCTGTGAGCCCTTCCTGGAGCATAGCTGCTCTTGCTGCTGATGGCCCCGCCTAGGCGCCCCTGCTGCTCCTCGGCTCTGATCCCACCAGGGACGTCCCTGCTCCTGGGGGCTGTGCAGGTGGGAGGTCAGTCCCCGCCTGGCTGCACCCACACTGATGACTCTGGTCCCCGCCGGGCCGCCCCTGCTCCTCGGCTCTGATCCCTGCTGGAACGTCCCTGCTCCTGGGGGCTGTGATTCTCACCTGGGCTGCTGTGATTTCTGCCCAGGGGTGCACCTGCTCTGACTGGGTCCCTGACTCTGAAGAGACACACTCAAGCATCACCTGATTCACCTGCCTAAGATCCCCACCAGGCCTCACCTGCCTGTCCTGGGCTCTGACCCCTGCCAGGCCTCACTTGCTCATATTTGGCTGTTATTTCTGCTCATTCCAGGGCCATCAGGGTCTCCAGCTTCTCCATGTCCAATGCTGCAAGACAGAAAACCCAAACACCCCAGGGCACCAAAGAGCCTTGGAGAACAAATGAGTGAAGCTGGCTCCCTGTTGTAAGTGCTCTGGTCTGTCTGATCAGCAGGGGAGAAGACTACTCCGCCTGGGTAGGTGGCACCCAGGTTGGCGCATCACGGCTTGCATGCACACTCCTAACACTTCCACTTCCCAACTCCCCTCCCAGCCGCCTGGGAGACCCTGCCACAGTGAGATGAGCAGGAACAGGAAGGGAGCCAGGAGGCCCAGGAGAAGAGCCGAGCCGCAGCAGAGCACACCACGCACCTGGCCCTGAGTGTGAGGAAAGGAGAGGTCAGACGTGTGCCAGGCAGGGACTCCTGAGGCTTCTAGGAGCACGCCTTGCTGAAGCGGATGCCTGAGCGACAGGGTGCTTCCCTGTGGCCCTGCGGTTAGGACTGCACGCTTCCCCTGTAGGGGGCACAGGTTCCATCCCTGGTTGGGGAACTAAGATCCCACATGCTGCACAGTGCGACTAAGGAAAAAAAAGCAGTAGCAACAGAAAAAAATTGATGAAGTAGACTTTATCAAAATGAAAAGCTTCTGTGCTTCAAATGACCCCATCAAGAAAATGAAAAGACAACCTACACAATGAATAAAGATATTTGTGAGTCACCTATCTAATAAAGGGCCTATTATACAGAATACATATATATAACATACAGAATATATGAAAACTCCTAACTCAACAATAAAAAGCAGCAGCTCAATTAGAAAATGGACAGAGGACATGGACAGACTTTTCTCCAAAGTCTATCCAGCTCTAGAGAGCAAGGCCATTGGACGCGTGCAAATCCAGATCACACGGAGCGGCTCCTCCCAGCAACGTGAGACCAGGGAGTGACGGCAGCCCCTCCGGACTGTGGACAGGAAATGCTGACCCCGGCTCCGCCATGGGTGCCCACGCTGCTCAGTGGAGGAAATCAGACACAAGAGACCACAGACTCTGTGATGCCACTGATCTGAAACGTCCCGCGTCGTGGGATCCACAGAGACAGAAGCTGGGTTAGTGCTGTCCAGGGCTGGGGGAGGGGCAAGGGGCAAATCTGCTGATGAGTTAGGGACTCTTTTAGGAGGTGGTGAAATGTGGTGTGGACACAGTGGCTGCGTAACTCCATGAATACACTAAAACCACAGAATGGGATGCTTTAACACCCACATTTGGCACTGTGAGAATTGAAGGAAAGCTCTCTGAGCCAGACTCCCACCGTCTCAGCCCCAGGAGCCCCTGAAGGCGGGGGCCTGGGGCTCTCCACAGGAACCCCCGCCCCAGGAAGACCCCACTCAGGAGGCGGAGTGGGGACGGGGGGCCAGGGGGCGCTAACACGAGGCACTCACACCTCCATTCAACTCACCTTGCAGCAGGTTCTCGCTGGGGATCTGCCCAGGGGACACGGCCGACCCGGAGGGCACTGGCCGGGGGAAGGATGCGTGCAACCTCAGGGCCCTGTGCAGCTGAGGGTCTCTCGTCCACAGTTCCGAACACAGCGCAGAGGAAGGGCCGCATCGTCCCCGTTCACACCGAGGGTCCACTCATGCCTGGAGACGCACAGGAGGCCCAGCCCGTTGGGAAACGGCTCGGGTGTGTGAGATGCGTGGAGAGGACCGGGGTCAGGGTACTGCAAGGGTCAAGGACTGAGGCCCTGTGTCCCCACCTCGGCCCCCAGGGCAGATGTACCCGCGCAGCCCGTGTCCCTGACCTGGGGCAGGAGGAGAGACACGGGAGGGTCTCGGACAGAGCGTGGGGCCCTGGGGTGGCTGAAGCTCCGCTTGCCTGGGCCCTCTGTCACACCTCCGCCTCCCAACTCCACCCTCTGCCCTTCACCCCCTTCCCCTACATCCTTCCTCCTCCCTCAGCTGCAACACTGCCCCCGCCAGCCCCTCACCCCCACCCTTTCTCCCGCCTTCTCCCCATTTCCCGATCCAGACCACTGTCCATCCTTCTCAGCCCAGCTCTGTTCTCCCCACCTCCCTTCTCCCCCTAGCGCTCCTACTTCCTGCCATCACCCCATGTCACCCCGCACCCCTCTTCCTGCCGTATCCATCCCCCTCCGGCTTCACCTACCCACCTCCTCTCCCTCCAGCATCCTCTCTCCCGCCTCCTCTGGGTCAGGAGTCTGAGGTCTGACCCTGGGCTCCTTTCAAGGACACGGGCACCTCTGGCAGCAGCCCTCCCCCTATGGATCCAAGAGGGGCTGGATGTGCCTGACCCAGGGTCAGTGCAGCGGGTCCAAGCCACCTTGGCCAAAACCAGGGAGAACTGAGTCATCCATCCATGAACCTCTGTCCCCAGTCTGGCCACAAGAGAGGAGGTGATGCACACCTTTCCAACCTCTTGCCTCCTCGATGGAAATGCACCTCCTCGATGGACAGGGCAGGAGAGAGGGAACTGGGCAGGTGAGGGTCAGAGCAGGTCAGAGACCATGGGGCCTCCAAACACTATGGACGTGAAGCAGAGTGGATGCTGGGCAGTGGGCAGAGCTGTGAGGTCACTGCCATTCCAACTCCAAGGGGCCCAGCTCAGAGGTCAGGGCCAGCACAGAGGCCAGAAGCCTGAAGGGCACTGTCCCAGGTTCAGGGTGTCACCAGGCACGGGGCGGTGACCAGAGCAGCTCTGGCCTGCAGGTCCTGGACATGATCTCTCTTCCTGTCCTCAGGACCTGCCGGTCCCCTGCCCTGATTGCCCCCGCTCTGCCCCTCGCACTGCTGGTTAGCGGTGCGGGGGATGCGCTGATGCTGGCCATAAGACTTTGCTCTCTGAATTGAATCAGTACAGTCCTTTCCAGCCCATGCTTACCCATCTTCCTCAGGTTCTCTGGAACTGGTAGCTAAACCAGGGGCTCACTTGGGTACAACCTTCACAGGGACCCACTCTAAGCCAGCGCAGCTGCCCTGGGCCAGCCTGGGCCTGCTCCTCCCCCACCCCCACCCCATTCCCATCCTGCTGCACCCACCTCTTCCATCCCTCCACCCATCTCCTTCCCTCCATCCCCTCGGTCATCCTGCGTCTGCTCCCCATCCTCCTCCTGCTCCTCCTCCTCCCACCCTCTCCCTTCTCCATTAAACCTTCCTCCTCCTCCCCAGTCACCTCCTCCTCCCGCCATCCTCCCGGACCCTCCGTTCCTTCCGTACCAGTGCCCCTCCTCTGTCCTGCCCCGGCTCCTGCTCTGGTCCGGGTGTCTAACCCTGACCTCAGGCTCCCCACGTGGACATGGACACTTCTGGTGGCAGCCCTCCCCGACGGACTGCTGAGGGGGCTGGACGCGCCTGGCCCATGGTTGGTGCTGGGGGGCAGTGTTGGCTTGGCTGGAGCCCAGGGGACTGAAGCCACCCCTGGTGGCCTCTGCCCCAGTGTGGCCACAGGGCACGAGGCGGCGACGGTGCTCACCTTTCTGACCCCGTGCTGCTGGAGCTGTGCCTTGTCTCTAATGATGGACTAGGGTTGGGTTGGGTGGGTTTGAGCAAGGAAGTCAAGTGAGGATCACAGACCCTTGGGGGCTTCCAACTGCCTACGGACATGAAGCAGAGTGGGTGAAAGCAGTGGGCAGAGCTGTGGGGTCACTGGCATTCCAACCCATGGTGGGACCCAAGGTCACAGGTCAGGATCGTTCTGAGCCTTTTACTTTGAAGGTGTCTTGCCTGTGAGGGAGGGTCGTGTCACCCTGTGGCCTCAGCTGGGTCTGTCCTCTCCCACCACCCCTGGGTCCCCCTCCTGGAGTCCAGCCATTGTGCTTCCAGAATGGAGGTGGTGCACCACAGTTGTCTAGCACATCCACTATGTCTCCCGTAGCGTGACTGCGTGTCCTCTCCACTTAGCGGTCTTCAGAATCTTCCTCACATCCTTCCAGGGTGAGTCTTTGTTCAGGCTGTGTGCTGTGCACTTAGTGGGTCCATAGTGATTTATTAGGGTTCCTTAGTGATGGCACCCCTGCTCCGATGCGACGATGCACCCAGGTGTACGGGGGCTCCAAGCACTTACCCTCCTGCCTCAGAGGGTGCGTCCGTCTCCTCTGTGCTCTGAGCTCCAGCTGTGTGTTCATGGTAGCCATGGATGCCCGGCCAGAACCCTCCAAGGTTCCTTGACCCGCAGACCTTCCCTTGCGGTGAGAGATGCACAGCCACGTTGCTCTGCTTTCAGTCTGCACATCTCTTAGTGAGGTGAACAAGCATATTTTACCAGTCTTTCTTTTTATCGTGAACTAACTGTTCGTATCATTTCCTATCCTTTTGCCCTCTAAGAAACTGATCTATAGGAACTCCTCACCCATTAAGGACATTAGAACTGGAAATATTTTCCCACAGTTTCACATTTGCTTTTAAGTTTGATCTGGGTATTCCTCCCCAAGCAAGTACTTGATTTCCATGTGGTCGAATCTGTCACTTCCTATAAGCACATGGAGGACCCTGTGTGATTCAGAAAGGCTTTTCCTGGTTCCAGTCGCATCAGCGGGAGCTTTACCTGTGACCGGCAGCTGGTGTGGCTCGCCCCTCTAACGCGTGCAGGGTTTCCCCAGCCATTCTGGTGCCACGTGGCTGCTCCCCAGGTTCTGTGCACCTTCCGTCCAGGGGTGGCTGGGGCTACAGAGGGTGGCATGGGCGCCAGGATTGCCCCAGAAGGGCAGGCATCAGCAGACCTTCCCGCAGCTCACTCCTTCTCTCTGTCCTCAAGGGCGGGGCTCAGAGGAGGGCCCTCCCAGTGGGAAGGGCTGGGGCCTGAGCCAGGAGGGCCAGGGTGGACCCTCTGTGCCCCGGGCTGCTGACCAGGCCCAGGGCCAGGAGGGCAGGGGGCCTGGGGTGTGAGCTCGGCGCTTGCTGTCTCTTCTGCCCCCAGGTGGGGTGTCAGGTGGGGCCCCACCGGAAGGGAAACAGGAGGGCACAGGGGTTGACTGTGAGCTCAGCCAGCGCTGCGTCCACAGCCCTCGCTCTGCACGGCCCCTGACCCACAGGAACTGGCTGGGCAGCGACACTCAGGGCCTCACCCACAGGTGGCATCCTGCTCAGCTGGGCCCTGGCTGTCTCCTGCTTCTGTCCGTGAACCTCAGCCCGGCCCAGCACAGCAGCCGCCCCGGCCTGGAGCACCCCGGCCACCACGTCTCCCCGGGTGTCCGAGCCTCCTCCCCAGACACAGGAAGGCAGCCTGCCCGCCTGGCCTGCCCCCACTCCCAGCTCCAGTTTTCTCAAGCACTGGGCACCGGGAAGCACTTGGGAACGTTGTCCTGATTCCCACCGTTCCCTGAAGTCCACGAGGTGAGCTGCGGGGCAGTTAGGCTGCTCATCACAACTACAGAGGCCGGGGCCACGGTGGTGGAGCTCTCGTTGGCCCCGGAGCCGGGCTCCACAAGCAGACGCCGCCGTGAGAGAGGCTGTGCGCCCAGCGAAGAGCAGGCCCTGCTCACTGCTGCTGGAGAGCCTGCGTGCAGCAGCGAAGACCAAAGAAATTAAGACTTTTCAATTAGAAAAATAAAGATTGAGGGAGACATTAAACAAAAAAATAAGAGCAGTTTTGATCAACACGCAGACAGTAGGGGCAGGGGAGGGCAGGCTGGCCAGGAGATGGGGCCCCAGGAAGGGACGTGACCCAACCGTGTTCCTCTCACAACCTCAACAAACGGAAACCCATGGAAACTGAGAGGGCCGAGGCGCCCCGATGTCCCGTGTGTCATAACCAACATGTCCTACAGAAACGAGCCAGTTCACAGAAGCCTCGATGCACGCTGACGGGCCTGACCGAGGGGACGCGTGGAAGCGGGGGCTGCCCATGCCTCTTGAGCGTGTGCGCGACAGCCACCAGGACTGACCACACACGAGGGAAAGGGCAGACCCGAGGAAGTGCTGCATGAGGTTTCATGAGGAACAGGTCCTGCCACTAAGTTGGGAGCTGGAAGCCCATCACGGCCTGACCCCACAGGGGCTGCAGCGGCCGGGCGTGTGAGGAGCATGGACTGGCTTCTGTCCCGGGCGGAGTGGGAGCCCGCGAGTCAGCCCCAGTCCGTGAAAGCTGGTGCTCCGGGCCCGGCGACAGCTGGACGCAGCTGCGCCCTGCATTGTCCTGCACGTGGGCACAGAGGCCGGCCACTCAGACCTGCAGCAAAAGCCCTACCAGGCTCCAGGCTCAGCTCGAGCCCTCAGAAGCCAGGAGAAGCCTGTGACTTGGCGGCCAGGTCACCCGGGCACCAGCTCCTCCTAGGTGAACCCCATGGAGTCCTGCCAGGGGTGGGGTGAAGGGCTCTGTGCAGACACCCTGCTGCTCTCCCAGCTTTCGGGCAGAGAAGACTCAGGAGGGGTTCTCCCAGGTGGCTCAGCCCCTGACCCACCCATCCCAGGAAGCAGACAGACTGGGTGGAGGGAGACACAGTCCCCACGAATCCTTCCCTGATAAGGGGCAGGGGTGGTGGTACCCTCATCCAGCCCTTGTGTATGGTCTGAAGAAAGTCTGAGGGCTTCCTGGAGAAGCTGGTCCTGCCGAGCTGTGAAACAAACCTGTTTAGTCACAAGGCACGTGCTTCATGGGCCTGTGATTCTAACAAAGGGTTATGAAAATATGTATGTGTCTGTGTGATCTGATATCTGAGGAAAAAACAATAAAAACTTTAGAACATTTCAAAAATACACGTGCAGCAAAAATAGAGTGCACAGGGAGGGCTCTGCTGGGTGTGTCCAGAACCCAGAAGACACTGACTTGTACACGGGGCCTCACTAAGTTCTTGCTGGTCATTACAAAAACATACAAACAAAAGGCAACCTCATACACTGGGAAACATCTCTAATAGTTCATGGTTCTAAGAAGACATCATAAGGAAATTAGAAATACTTCAACATGACGATGCTCATGTCAGGAGGAGGCAACCACGTGTTTCAACAGAAATGCAGAGCCTTCACGTGCTCTGGAAGAGTCACCGGAGACCCTGGAAATGGTGGGCGGCTGGGGCGTCGGGAGGCTGGTGGCAGAACGGGGCAGAGCCTCCGAGTGAGAGAGGAGGAGGAAGGTCACAGGAGGCCTGGGAGCTGGTCCTTCCAAGGGCCTGGAACCCACGAGCGAGTCTTCCAGTGGGCACGCAGCTCAGGGACCCCAGGGCAGGACAGCCCCCTAGGAGCCCGGGGATGGAGGCTGCAGTCTCTCCACTGAGCCGCGGGCCAGCAGGCTGAGGCACGAGCTGCTGCCCAGACCAGTCTGAGCTCCTCGCCACTGCTGGGCAGCCTGTCCTCACCGTTGGTCTCTGCTGACTGTGGTTGGCACTGCGGGCGAGGAAGCTAGAGAAGACGCCCCACGTCATCTGCCGAGAGTGAGGGCAGCTCAGGGCCATGAGAGACGCGCTGCACAGTCACTGGAGCGGCTGAGAGCAGGCGGGCCATGCCTCGGGCACCGGCCCCTCCCTCCCAGCCCCCGGCGGCTCCTCACTGACAGAACAGGACCCTGCGATTGCACACCTGGATGAGCACCCCCAGGGAAATGAAAATGCAAGTTACCGCAGCCCCCTTCCCAACAGCCCCTAAGTGGGGACGAGGTGCGGGTGTGGTCCAGCCCCTCCATGGACCTGTTGGCAGCAAGGCAGTGATGGCAATGACCCAGCAGGGATTCTCTCCAGAGAACCAGGCGGCCTGCCAAGGCCAGTCCCCTGCCTTGCACCCTGTGTGTGTGATTTCTCCGCTGCAAGGACCAGACGCTCACAGCTGCCCTTGGGCACGGGGGCTGTGTCCTCACAGGCCCAGGTCGTGGGCCCTCCCGTGTCAACAGTCACCTGCCTGCATGTGACACGCCTTCCAGCTGTGCATCCTTTCTTCCTTACAAATTTTCTCTAACCTGCTTCTAACTCCCCCGATGACACAGAATTATGGCGACAAGTGCTAATACAACCTGAGGAATACAAGACTGCGTCCTAGACCACTTTAAGGCGAGTCCTGGCAAAGAGCTGCCTGAGTGTCTGTTTTGGAGGTAATCCTGGGCACACGGACTCCTTGTCCTTCAGTGCTGGTCATTTCCTCAAACCGCAGAACAGAAGGAAAAGACTGTCTCCTCCCAAGCTCCGCGTCTACGAGGCCCAGCAGAGGCCTGACGCTGACACCAGCAGCTCTGAGGCAGAAATGGGTCAGGCTGAGCCAGGCGCTGCAGACAAGTTTTCTATTTATAGCCTCCATGAGGAAAGCGGTATCTCCGAACGTAGGCCTTTGGGGAAACGGGGGCTGGCAGGTCCTGTATTGCTGCACAAGAGCTACCTCTGCCCAGCCCCTGGCCCGAGATCTGGGAGCAAAGCAGGCCTCCAGCAGCCTGTCCTGGACAGAGTGTCTGCCTGCTGGCGGGGGACGGTGCTGGGGACAAAGGGGCTCTTCTCCAGTGCTCCACCAGCTCCTGAGACTCGCTCGCCAGGAGGCTCCAGGCTGCTCCTCATGCTGGTGGCCAGCCCTGCACCCATCCACAAGGCATCCGGAATTGCCTCTCGTGAACCTTCAGCCGCGTGGCACCCTCCTGTGGGTTCCCCTGCCACCCCGTGCCCGGGAACCATGACATCCTAGGTGTCCCTCACTCCTCTGCGTTCATTTGTTGTTGCCGTTCAGCCGCTCAGTCGTGTCCAACTCTTTGCGACCCCATGGACTGCAGCACGCCAGGCTTCCCTGTCTTCCGCTATCTCCTGGAGTTTGCTCAGATTCATGTCCATTGAGTTGTGATGCCATCCAACCATCTCATCCTCTGTCGTCCCCTTCTCCTCCTGCCCTTGATCTTTCCCAGCCTCAGGGTCTTTTCCAATGAGGCAGTTCTTCGCATCAGGTGGGAAAAGTATTGCAGCTTCAGCTTCAACATCAGCCCTGCCAGTGAGTATTCAGGACTGATTTCCTTTAGGAATCACCTACTAATATGTGTCCAGACACACTAACTGTGGAAATAAAGGTTTTATTCTAAAGACCCTGCTCCTCTTAAAGGCTTTCAGGGCCCCTGAGCAGAACAAAGACCCCTGTGGTTGGAGCAGACCCCTCCTGACAGACACTGGAGGGCACATCTGAGGGCTGACCCTCCAGGCTCCCGATCACCCCTCCTGCCCACATCATCCTCATAGTTAGGGGCCACAGTGCCCCCTGCTCCACTGAGACCCTGGGCGCCCCTGGCGCATCTGCACCAGCCCAGATCTCAGAGTCTCCATTAATTCCATTACAAGCGTCCACCCACATGTGCATTTGTGGATATGTGTTAGGTGTCATCTTTCTGAGACCACAACCTCAGGAATCTCCTGGCAAACCAGTGGTTAGGACTTGGCACTCATTGCCAATGGCCTGGGTTCGATCCCTGCTCGGGGAACTAAGGTCTCACAAGCCACATGCAATGTAGCTAAAAAAAAAAGCAAACAACAGCAACAAAACCCACCTCTTCCCTTCCATTTTATGACTTCACATTGTGGACCTCCACACCGTGACTTCTCCCACCTCCGTGCCCAGCAGGACCCCCAAACAGGCCCGTGAAGCAGTGTCTCACCTCTGCTGACACACCTCCTGCATCTGCATGGCATCCCGCGAGCAGCCGTACTCGGCCTATGCACACACGGGCTGTCGCTGGTCCACACCTGGCTCTTCACTTCACATGGCTCTGCCCCTCCTCCTTCTTCACCCCTCTCCCCACCTGGAGCCCTCTTTGCTGCACTCCCAGGGCCTGGAGCTTGGGGTCAGCCTCATATAGGGCTGGGGCCGTGCTAGTGGGAGTCCAGCACACTCTCTGCATGACCCCACGTTTCTGCCACCGCAGGCACAGCTAAAACAGTCTCCCCGTGTCCTCCTTTCTGTGGGATGGCCTGATTCCCGGGAGAGAAAGTTCTAGGTCAAAGGTCACATATCATTTCAGCTTTGCCAGACTGCTTTCCAAACAACCATCCCTCCAGACAGCACCACTAACATCAGGACACGTATCTTTGCTTTGATGGAGGTTGCTTCTCATGTGAAGTCTGACTGCAGGGCAATCAAAGCAGCCAATTCTAAAGGAAATCCACTCTGAATTTTAAGTTTGGTAATGTGATTCTCACACTTTTTCTTTTTCAAAACTGTTTAAATTATTCTTGTTCTTTGCATCTCCATGTGTAAGTTTTAGAAGCAGCTTGTTTCTATCTACAAAAAGTCTTGCTGGGATTTTCACTGAAATTCTAATTAATTTGTAGATCAACTTAAGGAGAACTGAGATCTTCACTATATTAAGTTTTTCCGTGAATGAACATGTGTGACTCTCCATTTATTTGTCTTAAAATTCTTCCCGCATGTGTTTAACTGAATCTCTGTGCTGCACCTGAAACTAATATGATATTGCACATCAACTACACTTCAGTTTGTCTTGGCTGTGCTGGGTCTTCACTGCAGCATGTGAGCTTTCTCTAGTTGCACGTAGGGGCTTCTCTTGTGGCGCACAGGTTCTATAGCACACGGGCTCAGTAGCTGCAGCACGTGGGCTTAGTTGCTCTGTGGCATGTGGGATCTTAGTTCCTGGACCAGGGACGGAACCCATATCCCCTGCATTGGAAAGTGGATTCTTAACCACTGGACCACGAGGAAAATCTGTCTTTATAAGTTCTTAAATGTGCAACACTCAATCAAAAGTAACAAGGTATATCAGGAAATAAGATGCATTCAAAGGAACAGGAGACAGAAAGTGACCCAACAGATATGAAGATAGTGGAGCTATTTGACAAGGACTTTAGAAGAAATACAGTAAAGGTACTCAAGGAGTGAAAGACAAGATGAACAAATCTGGGGTGGGGGGAGACCTGGAAACAAAAACAAACAAATGAAAACTCTAAGGAGACATATAGAATAACTAAACTTAACAGCTCAGTGGATAGTTGTAACAGCAGACCTACAGATAAAGAGTTAGTGAACCAGAAGGCAGGTCAAAAGAAACTATGCAGACTGAAACAGAGTGAAAAGGTACACAATCTAATAAAAAGCAAAACAGATACTGGGGTTCAGTGGAAAGGTCAAGAATATTTTTAACTGAGTTGTAGATGAAGAGCAGAAAGAGAGTGAAGCATCCAAGATGCATGAGGAAATAAGAGCTGAGACTGTCCCCAAACTGATGAAAGATATCAAGCTACAGATTCTAGAAGCACAATGTGCATCAAGAAGGGTAAACACAGGGAAAAACACATGCAGGCACAGTACAGTAAACCTGATGACTGAGAATAAAGAAGAAAGCTTAAAGCACCAAGGAAAACATGCCATCTTCAAAGGAGTAATAGTAAGAATGACAGAAAACATGGAAACCAGAAGACAGTGGAATAACATCCTCAGAATGCTAGCAGAAATAAAAACCAACTTATACTTCTACACCCAGTGAAAAATGTCCCTGAAAAATAAAGAACATAAACAAGTTTTCAGAAAAACAAAAACTGGAAGAATCCATCAACAGGAAACCCACACCAAATGAAATACTAGAAGGTGTTCTGCAGGGAGGGAAAAAAAAATGTGTCCCCACTTGGAAGTTGAAAATGCTAGGACTGAAGAGGGCCTGGTTTCAATCCCAGGTCAGGGAACTAAGATCCCACAAGCCACATGGCCAAGAAAGAAAGATAAGGACTCGACCAGGTGAATCAGGTAAGTAAAAAAATAATGACAATGACATAATTCCAGTGAATTCCACAGGCCCCCACTGTGGCCAGCACACTCCGGGAGGGGGCCAGTGCATGTATGGTGGTAATCTGCTGTACTTAGCTTTGTGGGGTGTCTCGAAATGCGGGGGAAGGTCCTTCTAGACCTTCCTTCCTCTCCTCAGGAGTTTGACTCAGCTCTCAATTTTATCTCCTTCAGTTGGGCACCACTTCTTTCATTTAGTCTACAGACAACTGGCCACGTTCCTCACCAGCTCCAGTCGGCAGGTAACCCTTCTGGGCCTGGCCTTCCCCTCCATCAGGGAATTTCCCTCCATCAGGGATTTCTGTCTGCTCTGCTCAATGTTGAATCCTCAGCACCTACAACACAGTCAGGCACACAGGAGTCAATTAGTATTTAGAAAGGAATACATTTAGGTGAGACACTGAATTATTAACATTCATTGACTATGTTAGATGACTAGATTACACCCATAGATTACAGATGTTTTTTTAATTTACAAAATTGCCTCTTTCAAAACCACTGTCTCTATGTCTTACTCTCCAGCTCCAGTTGTCAGCGCTCTTTGAATCCTGAGATCCAGACTTTGCTCCAAGTCAGAGAACTGACCCGCTGACGGCCCGGGCCCTGCGAGGCTTCATCTTCACCCGGTCGGACCTGAGGAGCCCACCCACCACGCGCGCTGCTGGTCTGAGGATCAGGTCCTGCCCGGTGAGGGGCGTGACTACAGCCGGCCCCGCCCCGACATAGCGTGAGGCACGCCAAGGCCCCGCCCCCACCAGGTCCCGCGGACGCGAGGCCCCGCCCCCACTCTGCGCCCCGCCCCAGCGCGGGCCCCAAGGCGGCCCCTAGGTCGGAAGTAGGCCTTGTTCCTCCGGGTCTGCAGGTTGGTGACGGCCCGTCGTCGTGTCTAAGTCAATCACTCCCGCAGTCTGTCAGCAGGTGGGCCAAACAGACGACTGACCGGCCCGAGGTCAGTTCTTACCGACGCCGCTTTGGTCTTCCTGTGTGGACGCGCGCCGGGTGCCACTGAGGTTACGCAGCTCGGGGAGACGCGCGCTTGCGAGAAGGGGCGAGGGGTTCACTGAGTCGGGTCCACCCCGCCCCCGCGGGCCTAGGGGGCGGGGCATCTCGGGGCGGGGCCAGTGAGGCGGACCCCTGCGGGAAGGGCGAACACCGGCGCGCTCCGATGACGTCATGGCGCTCGAGTGCGCCTCCGCGCGTGCGCGCCCCCCTGCGGGCCCGCCTTCCGACGCGCGGCACTGGGTCTGCGCCTGCGCGTTGCCTCTTGGCTTGCTTCTCCCGCGTGGTTGTGGGGTCCGCTCTTTGGGGTCCTGCAAGTTACAGAACCCAGGGCTAGCCAGTCAGACTTTCCTTCTCAAGTTGAGTAATCCCCGACCTTATTCCCCACAGAACCAACCCCTGGGAGGGACAGACAGCCCTGGTAGAGCGCACTCGCCCGGGTGGCGCCCTGACTTGTGCTGGGCCTTGGGATAGCCACCCTGCCTGGTGCAGCTTTGGCCCGAGGCCCGGGGAGGTGGGCGGGCAGCTTCCGTGGTGAAGAGAATGACGTAAGTGGGACAGCGCCTCGGTGGCTGTGGGCTCAGCTTGTGACTAGGGCTGGCTGAAAACAGTGTTAGCCTGTGGAGATTGGTTGCGGAGATTGAATACGTCTGAACAGTTGTTAAAGTCAAACCCTCCGGGAAACAAACTCACTCAGAAGGACAGCGTGGATAGTGGAGTGGTGCAGTTTAGTACACCAGCGGTCGGAGGCAGTCTCTTTAGCCAGGGACCCTGACCAACTTTTGTGAAAACCTTATATATCTTAAGTGTACTGCTCAAGCACACATCCCCAGATTCCTTAACCCTAGCTTGGAAAGTGTTAAAGGGAGATACGATCAGGTTACAGCCATGATTCATAATCAGAAGGGGCAGCTGGTAGCCTACAGCAAGTGGGGCCATAAAGATTACAGAGGTGATTGACTACCTAGGGGGTTCTTGCATTCTTTTTGGCGACGGGAAATCTTGGTTTGGAATCTGGTGTTTATCAGTCTGGGAGTCCAGTTTGGCCATAGGTAATGTTATCCCCATGGCTACCAGGCGCATAGTCCAAAGTTCACTTTAAGTGTAATATGGAGTTTCCTTCTTTTTCAAGATGGAGTCAGCTCAGCCTGTTCTTTTCCTCCTTCACACTGACACACAGTGTGGCCATGACGTTAGGTTGCTTACATGTCTATTCACATACCTATGTATATTCATGTATATATGCCTATTCTTTGTTGTTGTTTAGTTGCTAAGTCGTATCTGTCCCTTTGTGATCCGGTGGGCTGCAACACACCAGTCTTACCTGTCCTTCACTATCTCCCAGAGTTTGCTCAAACTCATGTCAATTGAGTCAGTGATGCCATCCAACCATCTCGTCCTCTGTCGTCCCCTTCTCCTCCCACCCTCAATCTTTCTCAGCATCAAGGTCTTTGCAATGAGTTTGCTCTTTGCGTCATCAAGTATTGGAGCTTCAGCATCAGCCCTTCCAATGACTATTCAGGGTTGATATCCTTTACTATAGATTGGTTTGATCTCCTTGCAGTCCAGGGGGCTCTCAAAAGTCTTCTCCAGCACCACAGTTCAAAAGCATCAGTTCTTCAGTGCTCAGCCTTCTTTATGGTCTCACTCTCACATCCATACATGACTACTGGAAAAATCATAGCTTTGACTATACAGACCTTTGTCAGCAATGTCTCTGCTTTTTACTACACTGGCTAGGTTTGTCATAACTTTCCTTCCAAGGAGCAAGTGTCTTTTAATTTTGTGGCTGCAGTCTTCGTCCGCAGTAATTTTGGAGCCGAAGGAAAGAAAATATGTCACTGTTTCCACTTTTCCCCTCTATTTGCCATGAAATGATGGGACCGGATGCCATGATTGTAGTTGTTTTGAAAGTTGAGTTTTAAGTCAGCTTTTTCACTCTCCTCTTTGACCAGCAAGAGGCTCTTTGGTTTCTCTCATTTTCTGCCATTAGAGCGGTATCATCTGCATATGTGAGGTTGTTGGTATTTCTCCCAGCAATCTTGATTTCTGCCTGTGCTTTCTCCAGCCTGGCATTTCACATGAGGCACTCTGCATATAAGCTAAATAAGCAGGGTGACAGTGTGCAGCCTTGCCGTGCTCATATTTGGTATGTCACAGGCCCTCCCATTTGTGCCCATGAAGCTGTTAGCCAAGACAGAGTCTACCACAGAGCCCTGTGGTAGCTTAGCATCATTCCCCTTTGGCCTCCAAGGAGCCTTTCTGTTTGTGTTAGGGGAGGTCTTTTGGCTTCAAGAATGAGAAGTACGTTGTTTAGGCAGGGCTCAGCCTCCTCCCTTAATTGTCTTGTTATTCTTGTCTTCAAGTTTCCTCCACAGGGAATGAATCTCCAATTGCTTTACCCTGGGGACGAAAGGGGATCATCTACCTTCTTGCCTTGGTCAGAAGTCTGAAATGGGCCTTAGGGGGTTAAAATCAAGGTATCCACAGGCGGATTCCTTCTCGAAGGTCCAGGGGAGAACCTCGGGCTTGGCCTTTTCCAGCTCCTGGAGGCTGCCTTTCTCCACCTTCCGGGCGCGGCGACGCCAGCTGCTGCTCCCATTGTCGCCCTTCCTTTCTGATTTTCCTCGTCTGCTTCTCTGTTACGGGTCTTTCTGATTACTCGGGCCTTCCAGGTAGTCCAGGACAGTCTCCCCATCTCAGGGCTCTTAACTTGGCCGCGTCTGCAGAGACCCCTTTGTCGTCTAAGGTAACTTGCCGCTTTGGGGATTAGGGCATGACCATCTTTGGGAGCTGTTATTCTGCCTACTGTTTCTTATATCTCATTTTTACTTTTAAAGTGGTATTGTGTGGACAGGAGCAGTAGGAGTGAATGCACAGATGTCAGATCGTTTTCTTCTGGAGGATGAGTGCTTAGGTTTTCCGTTCGCTAGGCTGCCATACTCAACCCTGATAAAAGCAGGGCCCTGTCCGCCTGCCCTCCCCACCCTCAGTGTCCCCATCCCGCCCCCATGTGTCCCCACCTCACTGTGTCGCCCCAGGTATGCCATGTGAAAATTCCAACACATGTGAGTAGTAAACACACCCCCTGAAGTTTTCTAACGATCTTTGCTGAAGGCTGCCGTGCAATCACAAGGGTGCGTCAAGTCATGACACTCGTTATGATTAGGCCAAGAGGGGAGTGAAACAGGTGTGTTATGATGCCTTTAACGTTTTTCTACTGATAGACATTTAGATTGTTTCCAGGTTTAGACAGCTGCAAAATGCTGTAGACATTTTGAACATGTCTCCTTGGCTCACGCGTGAATATTCCTCTTGACTGATACACAGAAATGGAGGGGTGTGTAGTGTTTACATAAGCCAAACTCCACATTTGTTACCTGAAAAACTGGGTTTGCTTCATGGTGGATCTTGAGCCAAAAGACACAAACAAGCCAAAGATTGGGAAAAGAAAGGATTTATTATTCATAGCAGGTAAGGAGAACACCAGTCACCTTTCCCAAAGCACTGTCTCCCGCCAGAGTCCAAGGCTTGTGTGATTGAAGTCAGGAGGGTCAGAGGAGGTCATCTCCACCCCTTCGGTCCAGTAGGTCTGGTGGCTGAGACTTCAGGCTCATCGTCACCAGTGAAATAGGACGGAGAGTCTTTACAGCTGGTGGGCCACCTTTGCTGTTGTGACTTCTCTCACCTGATAGCAGTGTTGGCTTCTGCGTTCCTTTTTTCCCTTAAGACCAGTTACTGAGACCTGTTGAAGAGCCAGCATCCTGCCCAGGCTTAGATCACGAAATGGCTTTGGCCAAAGTGGCTTCTCGTCTGTCAGGAAAGCCATGCCTGTTTCTCTTTCCCAGGACACCCTACCATGTTTGTGTGTGTGCGCGTGCATGCACACACACACCCACACCCACCCTACAATGTCTGCTTACACACACACAGACACACACACACACACACCCCACCGTGTCTGCTCACACAGACACGCACATCCCCACCATGTCTGCTCACACACACACATACCCTACCATATCTGCTTATACACACACACGCGCACACACACACCCCACCATGTCTGCTCACACACACACCCCACCATGTCTGCTCACACACACACACACACCCCACCATGTCTGCTCACACACACGCACACTCACGCTACCATGTCTGCTTGCCGGGGTCCAGCCTTGGCAGGATCCAGGGGGTGCCCTCAGGATGAACGGCGTCGTCGAGAGAGAGAAGACACGTGAGATCAGCCTTGATAGGGCCAAGTCTGTGTTTTACTTTTTTGACAACAGGTTTTATACCCTCACTCAGAATATTTTCAAGGTACAAGATGCTTACTCATGCTTACACAGGATTAGTATTACATCATTTTGTTTTTTAGGAAAAGCAGGATTTTTTTGCTTTCTAATTCTATAGTAATTCTTAGCACATGATCTTCTGGCCTTGGGGCTATTAACATTTATGCAGGTCAGGTGAATGTAAACCTATTTTCCGTTTCTATGGTGATCTTAACTGAAAGGTAGCAGTCTCATAGGGCAATAGTACAGAGTAGAAATATAACCTTGTTAATACAAAAAGTAATCCTTCTGCAGAAGTTGTCAGTTGCGTTTATCTAAGTTTACCCCACACTGATTCTGCGACTTTGGTGAGGCACCTTCTGCCTAGCACTCCTGGCTGACAATTAGCAACCATCTCATTGTTACCACACTAGGGCAGTTCTTATTTCTCTAGATCTTTAACTATATTAACAATGGTTTCTATAACACAACCTTAGCAAATTAAAAGCAAAAACACAGCAAGAAAAACACAGCAAGCAAACGTCAACCCAATAACCACCTTTAGAATAACTTTTCTTATGTTTTCTAATAGGACTCCTTCACGCCTCAAAAAGGCTCTATGTCTATTAGGGCTTTTATATAATCAGGTTCTTTATGCTATTTTATGATTAGGATAATATAAGCAATCATGCATATTAGTACCAAGGGCATAAATGCATTTGGCTAACAAACTACCAGTAAAGGAGTTTAAATTAAAACACTCCTTTTACCCTGAATAATCTCATAAAATACCACCACCTGGGAAACTTATTGATTAAAGTTCTAAATTGATTCTTATTTGGGAAGAGATGGGGGAAGGCCTTCTGCCTGTGTCACAGAAATTAGGGAGTAATCTATTGAGGCAGGCATCAGAAAGACAGATATCATCTTTAAGGTGAGCGCCGAGGGCAGCTTTTCGAAACCCCTGAAAACCTGATCCGCCTCGCCTGTCAGGCTTTCTCCTCGTGACCTTGTCATGGGTTAGGGTCTCGTGTGTTGGCTCCCAGCCTCTGCTGACACACACACACACACCCCCCACCATGTCTGCTTNGAGGCGGGACGCGTGCTTGTTCCTGCCCACATCAGGCAGCCTCACCGGAGGCTTGTGAGGGGGTTGTACACGCAGCGTCTTTAGGGGATGTTTCTACTTTCTCATGGATTTCCAAAGGGATGGGTGTCCATTGGAGGCTATGAGGCCCCGGCGTCAACGGAGGGATGCTCAGAAGTCGGGTCAGGGCTGGGGCGTCTCAGCTGCTGGTATCTGCTTCCTACCAGGGAGAGGCCAGTGCCCTCCTGTCAGGCTGGGAGCCAGGGAGCTTCAGGGCGAGGGCGCAGGTGGGGGGCAGTGTTGGTCCGTGGGGCCTGGGACTGCCTGCTGGCCTCCGTCCTGGGATGACAGGACTCTGAGTCAGGGTTTGGCTGGCCACACCCTGGGCTGGGGAGGTGGTGAGGTGGATCTGGTTTTGCTCATGTGCTCTGGGTAGTGAGCTGGGTGGCCTCTCCAGGGATGGCCCGTCCCGGTGATGACATGTGAAGTGGCCAGGTACCCGTGCCCTGGCCTCAGTTTCTTAGCAGGCTCCCTGCTAGGACATGCAGACGTGAATATGTGACTCTTGCCTGATTGTTGGCGCTAGAGCTTTCCCAGCAGGAAAGGAACGAGAGCCTTTGCCTGGGCTGGCTTTCTGCCCACTGTGGGCTCCATCAGCCTGCGGATGGGAGGGGGCGTCCCCTGTTCAGCCAGGCCAGGACCGTGCCAGGCACGGACACACAAGAGTGAGAAATTGTTCTCAGGAACGTGGGGTCCCAGAGAGCCAGGAATCTCACGTGGGCCTGGGTCACCCTGTTTCCGGAGCGCTGGGAAGGCATGGCTTCCAGGCGTGGGTCTTCACTGAACAGTTGCTCTTTGTATGAAACCCACTCCCTGCCCTGAACCTGAGCAGCCCCCCAGTTCCTGGCTCCCCGTGGGCTCCTTCTGCGGGTCCCGCCTTCTGGACCACAGGCAGCAGCAGCCTGGGGCTCTGGTTCTTTCTTTGTTTAGGCTCTGTGCGTGGCCCTGCTGAGGTCTTAGGGCCTGTGCCCTTGTAATCCATACCTGCTAGCCAGAGGCCTCCTTCCTCAGCCTCCGTGGTGAGCTGGCTTCTCGGGGGCAGGTCCCCGGGCTGAGTCAGGGAGGGGCGGAGGACATGCCCTGCCCCAGCTCCCAGCTCCCAGAGGGGATCGTGGGAGCAGGCACCCCGGGTGGCTACCCAAGAGTGCACCCTTGTGTGCAGGTCACTGGGCCTGGGGTCCCCGCCCCACCCGCTGCATCCTGTCCAGGGCCCTTGAGGCTGGTGCCCTGAGGAGCTGCCTGTGACCACAGGCACCTGACCCTCACGCAGCTGCTTTGGGGCGCGGAGGGCCCAGGTGCGTCCTGGGGGTCGGCTCCAGCCCCTGTGCCCCCAGCTGAGTCTCCAGGCTTTCTGGCCCACAGGCCCCCTCCCCCCCCACCCGCCCTTGTTCAGGCAGGGCAGAGGCAGAGCTTTGCGTGGTGGGCACGGGTTTCCACTTCTTCCTGGGCGGGCGGTGCCCAGGAGGCCACGAGTGGGGGCTGGGGGATGAGAGCTGCCTCTGCTCCCACAGCGACACCCCTGAACTCTGCAGCCTGTGGTGTCTTTGCCAGGGGAGCCCCCTCCCACTCCTGATCCTGGAGGTGAGGTGCATAGAGGTGCTGAAGTGGGGAAATGCAGCAGGTGGGAGCCTCTCCTGAGGCGTCCGGGGTCCTGTGGGGTCCTCCCTGTCAGTGGCTCTGGCCCGTCAAACCTTGAGAGCTTGGCTGAAATGTTTTCCTTCTTCCCCTGCCTCTCTGCCAGGAAACCCTTCACTTCGCACCATGAAGCTGGACATCCAGTGTGAGCAGCTGAGCGATGCCCGCTGGACCGAGCTGCTGCCTCTGATCCAGCAGTATGAGGTGGTCAGGTAGGACCACTGTGCCCGCCCACTTGGGGGGCCACCGTCCCGGGGGCGAGCTGTGCTCCCAGGTCACGTCACTTAAGAGAAAGTTGAGGTGTCAGTCACTCAGTCGTGTCTGACTCTTTGCGACCACATGGACTGTAGCCCACCCCACTCCTCTGTCCATGGGCTTTTCCAGGCAAGAATAGTGGAGTGGGTTGCCATTCCCTTCTCCAGGGGACCTTCCTGACCCAGGGATCGAACTTGGGTCTCCCATATTGCTGGCAGACTCTTTACTCTCTGAGCCACCAGGGAAGCCCTTACACTGGTAGATGCATGATATAAACCTTGCATGGTTTTCTGCGGCGTGAAGTATCACTCTTTTTGCACTTTTCTAGCCATTTGAAGGTAAACCCATTCTGGCTGAGCCTGCAGGTCAGAGCGTCCCCTTCCCCTGGGCATGAAGTTGCTGCAGCCCGCTCATGGGGCAGTCTGCCCCCTGCCATGGCCAGGCTGTGGCTGGGAATCTGAGCCCGGACTAGCCCTCTAACCCAGAAGTTCCTCAGACAGCAAGAGACGAGAGCCTGTCTGCTTCACGTTTTCCTTTTGGATTTATCTGAAGTAGTCTTAGGTTTATGGAAGAGTCACAGAGACAAGGCAGGGTCCCTTGTGCCCTGTCACCTGGGGCGCTGCTCAAGGTGAGGCGCCCGCCGCAGCCTGGACTCACGTCACCGGCTTTTCCAAGTGTGTTGTGCAGGCCCCCACGGTCACTTCCGTCTGTGATGGTCTCTCTCTCCCCCTTGTCCTTGGCCACCTGACGGTGGGGTCTGCTCGCTGGGGTTCTGGTGAAAGTCCCTCTGACACCTCCCCGTGGTTGAGTCACACGTCTCTGGGAAGACAACAGAATGACACTGTGTCCTGCCTGGCACACCTCACCGTGGGGATGTTGTCCCAGTTGTGCCACTTGGTCACCCCTGGCGGTGACCGTGGCTGCTGATGAGGGGTTGCTTGCCGGTTCTCGGGGTGAGACACCTTCAGACTCTGCTAATATTTTGCTTCTGCTCAGAGCTTTGTCCACCCATCTTTGCATCTGTTGGTGGGTCTTGCCAGACAGTGTTACTGGCACTTTGTCCAGCTGGGGTTTTAATTCCTGCATCCCTTCCACACTGATTGTCTTTTCCGGGTGAGGGCTGGCATTCCACTCACCTGTGTGGACTCGATTGTTTGCTTAGTTGGGTGGATGTGGTGCTGGGTCATGCTCTGGTGCATTCCGCGCTGGCCTTCTCGAGACCTGCAGCGGGGCTGTGCTCGAGCTGCTCTGTCTGGGTCTGGTTTCTCTCCTGGAGGTGGATGGGCGCTGTACCTGCTGCCTGTGCCCCGTGGAAGATGTGGAGGCACACGTCCCTACACGTGCCGTTATCTTGACAGTTTCACGAGATGATCCACACCCTTTTTTCTCTTTCATTTTAAGATGTGTTGTGACCTATGTTGTTCAGTTCTTGGCCCAAGTGAAAGGTTGTTGCCGAGCCGTGAAAGATGCTGGGATTCTTGACCTCTGCAGGAGAGGAATTCAATCCAGGGCCAGTGACGAGGCTTGATCACTCAGAGCTTTTGTGTGACAAAGTTTTATTAAAGCATAAAGGAGATAGAGACAGCTTCTGACACAGACATCAGAAGGGGGCAGAAAGAGTGCCCCCACTAGTCTGTAGCTTGATGTTACATAGCTACTGGCAGTCTGCTAGTTAGAGAAAGGGCTTCCTTGATGGCTCAGCTGGTGAAGAATCCGCCTGCAATGTGGAGACCTGGGTTTGCTCCCTGGGTTGGGAAGCAAACCCACTCCATTATTCTGGCCTGGAGAATTCCATGGACTGTAAAGTCCATGGGGTCGCAAAGAGTCAGACATGACCAAGTGATTGTGCCTCCAAGAGTCTATTTCCCAGTCCTGTGTAAGTTCTGGCAGCTCTATGCTGGGGTTAATGGTGACCTCCTCCAAGAGGGCTTATGCCATACCCAAGTCTGCGGCACCCAGAGCCCCTGTCCCTGTGGCAGTCCACTGCTGACCTGTACCTCCAGTGAACTAAAATGGACTGGATTGGGTGAATTTAACTCAGATGACCATTATATCTACTACTATGGGCAAGAATCACTTAGAAGAAATGGAGTACCCATCATAGTCAACAAAAGAGTCCAAAATGCAGTACTTGGATGCAGTCTCAAAAATGACAGAATGATCCCTGTTCGTTTCCAAGGCAAACCATTCAGTATCACGGTAATCCAAGTCTATGCCCCAACCAGTAATGCTGAAGAAGCCAAAGTTGAACGTTTCTATAAAGACCTACAAGACCTTTTAGAACTAACACCCAAAAAAGATGTCCTTTTCATTATAGGGGACTGGAATGCAAAAGTAGGAAGTCAAGAAACACCTGGAGTAACAGGCAAATTTGGCCTTGGA